TAAATAACAATAAATAGGAGAATGAATGAAAGAGTGAACAAGAAATAAATTGATGCAGAATAATAAAAATTAAAATTAAATTGCTATAAAAGATTGACGACAATTAAAATTAAATGAAAATAGAATTTAAATAACTGAAATTTATAAAATTAAGATAAAGTGTTTTTAATAAAAAATGCAGGAATAAAAGATTATTTTAAAACAAATAGTACAATAATTAAATTTGAAATTATTGAGAGTGATAACTATATGACTAAATTGCGAATTAGAATTGAAAATAAGATGAATTTAAAATAAAAATTATGCAATATTGAAATAAAAATTCTAAATAATTAAATTACAAAAATTAAAATGAGCACTAAATAAATAAAATAACTAAAACAAGATAAACTAAAGAATGCAATAGAAATTGGAAATTAAATAAAAAAGAACAAACCAGTAAGTACACTAGCAGCAGATGAATTCGCTTAACTAAAAATTAAATTACTGAACCGAGAGTAGAAAAAGAAAATAGGGACGAGATAAAACATCAATTCTCACCCAGGTTAGAAGATTCTGATTGTTGTAAGACCTCTATTTATAGAGGTTTGAATAAGAGAAATTAAACTTAAAATTAATTATAATAAAATCAAATATTTCTCAAATAAATAATTGCAAAATCTAATTGATATAAAGAGAATTTTTTGGGACTGATTTGGAGAAAATAGTCAGTTTCTTTCCTATTTTGAGTGATTTAGCATTGATTTGTATTTAATTCTTGATTTCTTGCTGACCTTTAATTAAGCTAAATTAGATTTCCGCATCAATTGATTTGTTTCAAAATTTCTATTTGTAATATTCTCGCAAGTGGTTGCATAAGCAAACTTGGACTTTAAATAATAGTGAAGCTTGATGACATCAATTTGAACATTTTTTTTATATCAATTTGGCTTATCTCAACTTTTTTCTCCTATAAGAGAAAAAAAAGAAATATGCAATATGGATGTATACATGTAATAAGAAGGTAACTCGAATTATATTATGTTTTTAATGAAAACATATAAAATACATCGTTCATGAATAAAATAACTTAAAAAAAACTCTTAAATAAAGAAATAAAAAATGAAATAATATATATCAATATCATTATAATGAATTGTTATATATAATAATATAAATTCTTTTATATTATAATTTAATCATATATTTAATTAATAAGATTTTCAACCTATTATGTATTAAATTAACTCAATTGTATTAAATCAACTTGTATAATGGTAATGAACTCTAACAACGTGGAAAGCTTTATTTTCTTCAAAATTTTATATATACAAATATTTGAAGAATATTTTACTTAAAAAAAAAACTGATTTTTTACTAATTTTTATTTCCTCTTTTTATATAATATAATTTTATTATATTTAATACAATTTTAAATATGTTAATTATTAAAGATTATACATGAATAAACTTTTATAAATGATTCGTAATAATTCAACAAAATTAATTATTAATATTTTGTTATATTATTTACAATAAATGTAAAATATCCAATATTTAAAATAATAAAAATATATTAATAAATTTAAATATATAAATGTGATGCCTCTTTTTAACAAATGAAGAGGGAATAATTTAAATCATCATTTAATGGATTAATGTGATGTATCCATGAAATAAGAAGGTAGTTCTTATTTTTTTATTTATTATTCATATCATGTGACATGAAAAATACTCTTCTGGTCACTGATTATTTATTAACTTTGTTTTTTTAAATAACTTATCTTAATAAATCTTATGTAGTCAAGATAATTAATACACCGAATTTGATGAAAGAAAAAATAAGTTAATCGACTATAAACGAGTGTTTAAAAGTTTTTTCTTAAAAATAATGTAATTTTTAGGACTATTTTTTTATTTTATATTTAAATATAAATTATAAAATAATAAATTTTTAAATTTTTTTCTTATATTATTTATAAAGTTATTTTTTCCAGTCATTTATTTAATCTTTTATCTTTTTTTTAAATATCTTCAAACAATCAATTCATTATATTATTTATTTTCTGATATTTTTCTACTTCACATTTCCTTGACTTTTTTAATCAAGATTTAAATTATATATTTCATATTTATTAATATTTTAAAATTATAATTTAAAAAATATTAACTTATACAAGTAATAAAACTTTGAATAAAATATTATAATATAATAATAATATATAATAAGTATTGTATATGGGAAAAATAATAATTAAATATTTTTTATAAATATATTTTAGTATAAATATAATAAATAAAGTACATACTTATTAATAATAATTAAAAAATTTATAAAATTAAAAAAATATTTATAATACATAAAAATATATTAAAATTAATTTATTATAAATATTAATGTAATAGTAAGATAAGTACTTAATTTTTAAAAAGGGAAAGCGGAGATGAATATTTATATTTTATGACAATATTTGTTTTAATTTTTATAAAATATGTAAGAAATATTTGTTGTATAAATTAAAATATTTTTTTTAAATTGGCAAAAATAACTATTTTTTTATTAGTGAAATTATACAAAAATTAAAAATAACTAAATTATAATTATTTAAGTTATTTTTATTTTAATTATTAATATAATTATTATTATAATTTTTATAATTATAGTTATGTTAATTTTTATTATTACAATAATAATTATTTTTTATATATTATATATAACATAATCCATTGCCTTTCTGCGGCTTTCTTCTCACAAATCCGAGGATGATTTTCTTTTTGGCAACCGCAATTTCTTGCATCAAAAAATCAAGATCCAAACAAACGCTAAAGGAAAATTATATATTATCTCAATATCACTTGTCCTGATCAGATGATAATAGAAAATTTAATTCGCAATATAGAAGAATTTTTTTTTAAATAAACGAAATGTTTAGTTAAACAAGAGTTTTTTTTTGTTTGTATTGCAAGATAGAAGGTTATGAAAATTTTAAATTCGTATAACATAAAGTTTGAAACTATATTAAGAGAGATGTAAAACCACAATACTTCAGAATTGATCAATAAAAACGAATCAGATGCATTAATAGCCAACTTTTGTTCTTACTTTTTCACCAGAGAATATACTGTATACACAATAATATTACATTAAAACTTATGCATGAAGGAAATATAAATAACTTTTTTTTTCAGAAACTTAGATCAAAATTTTATAATTTATTAGATACGTAATTTAAAAAAAAAATTATTGAAGACATAAAACAAAATCACCTTAAACTTCTTTAAGCCAAACAAAAACATTTGACCAAACCGCTAATTCGGTTTAACTTTTTATTTGAAAGAATGAAATATTTATTTTAGTTTATAAATATACGAAAAATTATGTAATTATATTCGTTATTAAGTTCTATGACACTTTTTTCTTATTAAAATGATAATTTGAAAGACTAATTTAATAAAAAAATCAGAGATTCTTTTATTATTAAGGTATGATATTAAGAATAATAAATTTAAGCATAGATAAAGAAAAGGTTTTGTACTATTTTTTTAATTATTTTCCAAGGCACGTGTGCTTGTGGTAGGAGCCAACCATATTAGACAGGTCAAAACAAAAACACCTGGCCAGTTTCGTGTGACCTAACTAACCTTCTTATATCACTTGCCATCTTTTTACAATTTCCAAGGAAAATTTAGGTCTAACTAGGAACTGGAAACAACCTACTTCCACTTTTTTTGACAAGGTATTTCTTCATGGGACAATTATGTGTGAAGAATATAACCTTAAACAAGTTTGAGGTTTCTATAGATGACTTTTATATTTCAACTTTGAAATTTGATTAAAAATATATATATATATATATATATAATTTATATTAATAAGTTAATTATTTCATATTTAAAATATAATAACTAAAAATTTTAATCTGAAAAGTTAATTAAGTAAAATAAAACAAAACCTTCCATCGACCAAACTTTGATGATAAATAACAAATTTAAATCTTCACTTGTCTAATGAAAGTTTCTCCAAAAATGATTTTTTTAATCCAGACTTTTGACATCCTCTCTGAGATTTACCTAACAAACAAAATCACTTTTTTAATTGCCTGCATAGAAAAATAGTTTATATTATGATAAAAAAATTGACCTATTTTTAATTTTAACTATATAATTGATATGAAGTATTTTTCATTTTTACTAATGGTTTATAGCTGATTTTTCTGATAATTAATTGTTATAAGAAAAAAACTGATAGAATATCTTTAATGGAACCTTCTTATTTGACCACTTTTTTCTTTCATAAATATTGAATTTTAAGATGGCTTCTTCTTTTTTTGTTTATTTAATTTATATAGAAAAAATACAGAAAAAACTAATGATTTAAAAGAAGGAAAAAATAATTATTAAAAAATAAAAACCACCAATGACTAATAACAAAAAATTTGAAACAGCCTAAATACCAAATTTCACTCAGCACCGCATTATTCTTAATATTGTTATTATCATTATTGATTCATTAAGAAAACACGTTTCTTTGCATTGTCTTTATAGAGACCAATTCTGTTCGCAAGTTTTCTGGATCGGCGATCTTTCTTCCCATTTTCTTTGACTTTTTACGGTATGTTATTCTTCCGATTCCAAACCCTAATTAGTTCGCTTCCATTTCGCTTTTCGTTCTTCATTCATCCTCGCCTATTGTTCCGCTAAAAGATTCCTCTCCTTGTAGCTTTTTCTTCATCCGGTTTTTACATTAATAATTTCTAGTGCTTAATTTATGAGTTCCTAACATTGAGGAGCTGATACAGGTTGTTGTTGTGCTAGTGAAAATGGCGTTCTTCAGAAGCATTTCTGCCTTTTCTCGGCTTCGCTCTAGCGTGGTAACTGAGAAAAGCAATTACTAACTATTTGTTTTGAGCATTTGTTTGTGTTTGATTATTGTTAATGTGACTTATTGATTTTTTATTTTTATTTTTTATTTTTGCTATGAAATGACAGGGTCAGCAATCTAATCTTGCGAATTCAGTTAGATGGCTCCAAACTCCGAGCTCCAGTAACACTGTATTTTCTTTCTCTATCCTTATCAGTGTCTTTGATGCTTGTTGAAAAGTTTAACTGAACAGTGTTAGATACTGTGTTTTATCTGAGGAGGGTGTTGCTATCACTGTTATTGTGGTGAAGTTTGGAATAGGTATTCTAGTGTAATTTGTATCTCTTGTGGACTTTGGAAATGAAGGATACATCAGACTAATTGGTGTTTGTTATAGCGTGAAGTTGGTTATATATATTGTATTTAATTTTCCATTTTTTTATGTGGGTTATTTACTATTTTGCAGGATCTTTATTCTGAATTGAAGGAACTGGTTCCTGAGTATCAGGTTTGTCTGCATTTTTAAGCTTGATAGTTGATAAGATTCCAAATAAAATTGACGCAAAAAGATTCAGATTTAAAATCAAATAACAGAAAATTAGGAATTTGAGCAAAGAATTATAAGCAAACTTAATTTGTCTTAAATGGTAAAACTAATCAAATATTAAACTAATGGTTTGGGTTCAAATCCCAGCTCTAAAATAAAAAATCATTTTTATTTTAACTCTCCAATCCTTTTATTTTAACTCTCCAATACACAGCTAACCAGCTTAGCCTCCTCGGTGATTCTCAGACACTGTTTTATGTTGGATGCATTAATGTGTAATCCTGGTTTAGTGTAATAATTGGACTTGGTGGGTGCGAGATAATGTGAATTAAATTCTTCTTTGTGCTCAACTATCAATTCACAATTTAGTTGCAGTGGTTTGTGCTTGCATATGCTATTACAAGTCTGAGATTCTTGGCTAATGCCTTGCCTGATTTTTAATTCTCAGTGATGGTCGATTTCATAAACAATGTTTCCTTTAGTCCTGTTTCTTCATGTTAGCTTGTAACTTGCAAAACATTAGTTAATACTTGTAAAAACTTGTTACATATCTATGTCTTATGTTTTAATCTGTACAAAAAATCTTGGTTGCAGGAACGTGTTAAAAAGCTGAAGAAAGATCATGGAAGTATTGAGTTGGGAAAAATCACTGTTGATATGGTAATTATATTATATTTTTTTTCTGCAGATATATATCTTTTAATGTTACTAGTGGCATTAAAAGCTGTTCTCATCTCCTATCAATAAGCTTGTGATTTAACTTTTGTCACAATTTGAAGGTACTTGGTGGAATGAGAGGAATGACAGCTTTAGTATGGCTAGGGTCAGCTGTTGACCCAGATGAGGTATATATCTAAATTAACCCGGTCTCCACACTTCAGATATTTGTGAATTATTAAAGTGAATCAGCTTTTTCTTATGACTCATTTGATCAATTTGTATAATCTTTGTTGTAGCATTTTTTTGTTAATGTTTACTGTTTACCAAATGGTTTCCTGAGAACAGCATGTTATACCTTACAGGGAATTAGGTTTAGGGGCATGTCAATTCCTGAATGCCAGAAAAAGCTTCCAGGTGCTTTTCCTGGTGGGGAGCCTTTGCCTGAGGCTGTACTGTGGCTTCTATTGACAGGAAAGGTATGCAGTAGTTTTAGAAAATCAAATTTAATTAATTATTTTGAATTTTGCTTAGTTGTAATGTAATATATGACAATCCTTGTACAAAGGTGTTTTAATATCTTCACTCAGTTCAGATTTTGCGTATATTCTTTGATTCCTACACTTTGTGACAGATACCAAATAAAGAGCAAGTAGATTCATTAGCGCAGGAATTGCGAAGTCGTGCAACTATCCCAGGTTCTGTTTCATTTAGTTGTCATACCTTGGTTATAATTACCTTGAAGCTATGTGTTACTCATTGTGATAATATATGTTCAGGATCATAGATATGATTATAAATTTCAGTCTCTCATGCTAGCTCATGTTTTGTTTAGAAACATTGCTGCAAAGGACCTTTATGGCTTGAATCTCAATTGTCCTTTTTTTATTCGTATGGTTCTTGTTTGAGGAATTGTATTGCTGCAAAGGACCTTTATGGCTTGAATCTCAATTGTCCCTTTTTATTCGTATGGTTCTTGTTTGAGGAATTGTACATCTGTAAGTGCATAATATATGGACATGCTTTGTTGCATTTTGTCTGAGTTGTCAGCATTCACTCTTTGCTCTTCTTCTTGCTGAAATATCACTCATTGTGTGTATAGAAGTTTTTAACATAAAATTTGCTAGCTTGTTTCTGATGTAATTGAGTCTGATTTCATTCTTGGACTTATTCTTATTATTATTATTTTTTATTTCAGATTATGCTTATAAGGCAATTGATGCATTGCCTGTTTCTGCTCATCCAATGACTCAATTTACAACTGGTGTCATGGCACTTCAGGTTGAGCAACAGATTCATTGATGAACTTTTTAAATTTATATAGTTTTCTTTCTGTTCCTTTTAGCTGTAACTTCTCTTCTGTGATTCAATTGGTTTATCAATCTCATTTATTTGCTAATACTTTAATAATATCAAGACTCGAGTAAAGAAATTTATAAAGTATGATTCAGAAGTTGACAATGGATCAAATTTTAGCTCAGAATAATCAGAAAATGGGAGGGAAATCCGCTGATAACTATAAGCAATATTTGACTAGAACATTCTTGATTAACATGTCTAACTAACATATAAGTGGTTTCTTGGTTCTTTTATTATCATCCCTCTCATATGAGATAATATAATCTGTAGGAATGCTGGCGCAAGTTGTTTGTCTCACCAAAGCCTAAATATTTGAAGAGTATCATAAAATATTGGATTCTGGCATATGTGTAGAATATAATTGCGGAAAATACGTTGTGTATTTCTTATTTTGGAAAAGATACAAATGAGGTATAAATAGAATACAAGGTGATAAACCTATGCATTAATCTATCCTTGAAAATCAGGGAAATATTCGTCCTATAAATGCTGTACATAATTATTCATAAATAATAAAATAAAACTGATTATACTATCATTAAATCCTATCATAATTGAATTATTCTAATTGATAGTGCTGATTTCCAACAATAATCAAATCATTTTTGGTTGATTTATTCATCTAGTTTCTGTGCTGTAGTTAGTTGCTTAATATCAACATTTGTTATTTTCTGCGAATTATATCTATAAAATAACATAGATAGAGAGTTAACTTGGTTGCAGTTGTAAAAGTAGAAAAAATGAAATATGCTTAAAGTATAGGGCAAATATATGTCCCCCCCCCCCCCCCCTTTTGCTATTTCCTTCTATTACTATTTTTCTTTCTACTATTAGTGTGTTTAGATCAATGCTATCAAACTTGCAAGTATACTCATAAACTCGCATGATGTTGCGAGTGTTGGTGGATGCTGAGGCAAACTCAGTAGGTGACATAGAGATTTAACCCAAAAGTAACCAAAGTTGTGTTTGTGCTTTCTGTGTTGGGTTCATTGACTCAACTTAAACGTTAAGAAATACAATCCCATTTCATCTAGGGTTTGCAAATGTGAATAATAACCATTTTGCCATCTTTGTAATTATGACCCCAACAAGCTCTATGGCTTTACCATTGCCATTGTCAATTGTTGCTGCCTCTTGCATCACCTCACCTTCACTATTGTTGACCCATGGTATCATTGTCTCTAACCCTCCATCATCATGTTGTCTAAACTCTCATCATTGTCATCCCTAATTGTTAAAAGTGCATAGTGTGAACATAGTTAGGTTTGGGTAGTTGGAAGTTTTCTGATTTGATATTAGTTCGTGATGTTTGGTCTACTATTTCTTTTTAATATTCAATTATGTTCTTCTTTAGGAATTTATATGTTACTGAGTTATTGTTTGACTTATGAATCTATTTTGAGATGTGTTATGTATTGGATTCTAATATTCATGAATTATTATTGTTCTGATATACAATTCACAAATCCCACATCGTTTAAGAATCAAGATCAAAGATAATTTATGTGTATCTTTTTTTCTCATCTCATTGAGATATCTTTTAAAGATAAAATCATGACGGATTAGAATTGAAAAGTGGACAATTGCCACTTATCGGGAGATCGAGGGTAGAGTCTCAATCCTCTTCTATCCCTTAGTCCTCGACTGGGAGACTATGTTATGATATACACTCATAAGTCTCACATTGCTTAGGAGATAAGATTAAGGGTAGTTTATATATACTCTTTTCTCTCAACTCATTGAGGTGTCTTTTAAGAACAAAATTGTGATGGATTAGAGTTCCAAAGTGAACAATATCTTGGACTTTATGGATTCTAATGATGTTATCATAACTCAAGACATTTTTGTTCTTAAACGAAACAATTATGAATTATTATTCTTACCTATATTATTTTTAATGTATGTGTATGTCTATAAATATAATTTTCTTATATGCATACCTATTATGAGTTAAGTTACGATCTTCTTTCCCCCTTTTGGAGTTTGACAACATTAGTTAGGATTACTTTTAAAAATTAGATTATTTCAAAAATCATTTATAGATTTACTTGATCATACCACTTATACGATTGATTATATGAAACAAGTTTTAATTTCGGGTATGGGGGAAAAGTTGTTTGAAGATAATCTATTTTGTTTTAATTGTATGATGTTGTTGTACTTTGCTTTGTATTTAAATTAATCAATTGTTGTGAATAAAATGGGAAACAAAAGTTAACTAAAAAATAAACTATTAGCTTTATTCATAAGCTTCAAAATTATGTATAAAGCTACTTCCTTGAGATTATAATCTAAACGACCAAACACATTGGAATAGTAACACCAAAACTTTTTCTATCAACTAGATAGTAATCTTTAAATGGATTTTAATCTAAACATTCTCTCAATATTCATCTAGATTTAGATTCTTTCTTCAAAACAAAAAGGAAAATGAAGACAGATTTAGTTACATTTGAACTTAAAAAAATTCTAAACCACTAAGCAGTAACAACAGAGTATGTTCAATGTGCTGGGATGGCTCCTACACTTAATGATAAGGATTTCCCGAGGGTGGAAGATCTGAATCAACAAGCAGCCAGGCTTCGGAAGATGGATGGAGGATACTCTTGAGGTATCTCAAGATTTGAGATTTAAGACATGATAACTAACTATAGATGGAATGCAAATTCCATGTTGTACGTGGATACTACAACAAAAGATGTTCTTATCCACTTATCCTACTCTGAAAATGATTTACACCTAAATGGAATGAAACCTTTATTCTTTTTCTATGAACCCTGACCCTTTTAGTGCCATCTAGAAATGTCTGCCACCCTTAACATCTTGGAGTCTATAACTATACAACGCTCAAAAAAAATATACTAGGTCAAGAATCGGATGATTAATTCCCTGTTTCATAAATCCAGATTGCATGGAATGTTAAACTAGGGGAACACAAATCCTGTCTCTGGGACAGTATGGGTTTTCCTCACATCATTCTGCTTTGGTCACTATGAAAGCTGTATCTGTTCATCGCAAAGCTGGTCAGATCAGAGGATTTTCCACCTATTACCAATTACTCTTTAAAAGTTTATGAAGCTCCTAATCTCTTTTCTGCAATACGGGTTTCTCTTCACCTTTTCTTGTGAATAGAAAAAAATGATTACAATCAATTCATTATATATTTCAGGTGCAGAGTGAGTTTCAAAAGGCATATGAGGGTGGGATAGCTAAGGCAAGGTAAAATTCTGAATGGTGTTTGTTTTATTTGCAACATGTTACTCTAGCTGATTTACTGCTTGGATTTAGGTATTGGGAGCCAACTTATGAGGATACCATGAATTTAATTGCACGGTTGCCAGCCATTGCTGCTTATATTTATCGGCGGTATGTAAAGCATATTCTACCTAATCAAAATTACACATTTGTTATGCTATGGGATGTTTATTATATAAAAGAAGAACAATGAGATATATCATAATATCATATATTGTGGATGACATTGATCAAAAGTATGGCAGATTTCTAATATCTTGTGACGTTTGAATTAACTTGTTATTCCATTTTAAAGGAAATACAAGGATGGAAAAATTATACCGTTGGATGATTCTTTGGATTATGGTGCAAACTATGCTCATATGTTAGGTTTTGATGATCCGGAAATGCTGGAGTTTATGAGGCTGTATATTTCCATCCACAGGTTTGCATTCCGTTGCTAATGATGGCTTGTTCTATGATTATGATCAGTTGTATATGGATCCTGTAATTACAGCAACCCAGTAATTGCTAATGTTGACACTTTGATAATGATGAGTTGTATAATTCTTTTCTAATTACCAGCAACCCCAGATTCTAATGTTTGATTTTTTTCCCTAAATTTTGTTTGCAGTGACCATGAAGGTGGAAATGTTAGTTCGCACACAGCCCACCTAGTAAGTTACTTCCTTTAATCAAGCACTTTTCATCCTGTACTAATTTTGCTTTATAAAATACTAATATAATGTATTTTTAATAGACATCATTTGTGCTGTGGTAAATCCCTGTGTTTTTATTATATTTATTGTTTTAATGTAATGTACTGTACTGTGTTTACCCCTCAGGTTGCTAGTCCTCTATCAGATCCTTACCTTGCATTTGCTGCTGCTTTGAATGGTTTAGCTGGTCCCCTGCATGGTTTGGCCAATCAGGTTATTTTCTTATTTGGTTTTCCATTTTTATCAGTTTTCTATTTATCTGATCTGATATAGTTCATCCTTGTGTTCAGAAACATGTTTGGTTACAATGTTTACTCATTCCTATGTAGTAACCATTTTTAATAAATAACACTTTTGCTTTACTATTATAATCCGTTTTGATTACTACAGTCAGATTCCATGCAAATTCCTTGATGTTTAATTTTGTTCACTTCTATTATGATGTTACAGGAGGTTCTCCGATGGATCAGGTCAATAGTTGCAGAGTTTGGAACTCCCAACATAAGTACTGAACAATTGGCTGATTACATTAACAAAACATTGAGTAAAGGGCAGGTATTGTCATGACTGATGAATCTTGATGCTAAATTGTGATTTTTTACTTGTTTTGCTCAATTATGACTTTTGTTTTTTTGTTCAAACTTTTAAGTGGTGAAATTTGTTATGGAAGATCTGTGAATATGAATTACACTTCCAAAAAAAGAAGAAAATCAATTGGACATAGCACGCCACTGTGTCCAATGTGTTATGTTCAAATATTTTCTTCCTGAGGAAAATGATATGTTGGCTGGAGGGCATAATGGTTACAGTTCCCTTCTATGTATCTGGACAGTTCCCTTCCCTGACAAGAAGTTTCTACTAGGAAGTTCAACAGAGGTTTTGTAAATTTTCAAAATATAAAAGTGATAAATGTAGTTAGAGAAAATTACAGAGGCAGGATGAATATATTTTGTTTATTATAATACAAGTTTTCTTTTTTGGTGGTGTGTATATATATATATATATATATATATATATATATATATATATATATGCATCAAATGTTTTAGAAAGAATATCACCTTTAAATTCCAAGATAATATAGGCTTTGGATTTTGAATTTCGAATTTTCAGGTTGTGCCTGGATATGGGCATGGGGTTTTGCGCCAGACAGATCCAAGATACACGTGCCAGAGGGAGTTTGCTTTGAAGCATTTGCCTAATGATCCACTTTTCCAGTTGGTGATCACTAATTTCCTAATTCTAGATTGTGTTAGCTTTGAAGTGCTCACAATCAAAGCTCTATTATAATTTAATTTCTTAATGATCTAATGCCACTGTGAACCTTTCAGGTGTCTAAAATCAAAGAGGTTGTGCCTCCCATTCTTACAAAGTTAGGAAAGGTAATATTTATGTTTTCATTTTTCAATATAGGTTTCTATGAAATTATTTATTCTCAACTCCATTTTTTTGTTACTTCAAAATTATGTATGCTCAATGAATGTACTGCCAAATGCCAGTCTTTTAGGAAAACACGTTTGCACTAAGATTATATAGGATTCTAAGGTTGAGCACGGATATTGAACTAAACAGAGCGGATTCTGAGGTTTAACACCGACATTGAATGAAACAGTGCAAGGAAGATGGTATAGGGGCTTCATGCAAGAAATTAGAATAGAGAAATGCTAGCAATATACTATTTGGTGCACTCTTTATTATTTGGGTAAACTTCTACAGAAACTAGATCTCAGTAATTGCTGGAGAGTTCCTTCTCTGATAGTAACATTTATCATTAAAAATAAATGGTCAAAATTAGTTTATGTCCAAATTAAAAATAAAATAAAATTAGAGAAGTTAATTTCATTTTTTCTTCAAATTATTATCTTATAGAACTTCTTGTGAAGAAGTTTTTCATACCATACCCTCAATTTAAATTTAAAAGAAAATGGATAAAGATTCAATAGGGGGGAAGCATAGGAGAGAACCATGCTTGTAAAGTTGTCTTAGTCTTTTGAATAATTTCATTATGATGCAAGTATTGCCTTTTTTTACTGTAGTCAGTCACTATTTCTTTACACAATCACATTATTTTGGATCTGATCCTTCACTTTCTAAGTTGTATCTGTTTGCTTTATATTTTGCCACGTACTGTTTTGATGTAGAGTCCCGCATTTAATTTGATACAGGTTGAACCAAATAATAAATGTACTCATTACAATCTTGCTAGTCGGAATTTATTGCTGATGTGGTTTAATTTTTTCATTGGTGTAGGTTAAAAATCCATGGCCTAACGTCGATGCTCACAGTGGAGTGCTACTGAACTACTATGGTCTAACTGAGGAAAAGTATGGCCCCTGCTCGACTTGAAATAGTTTTTATTTTGCAATTATTTTAGGGTGAATACTGATTCTGATGATCTGTGACATTGTTGTTAACAGCTATTATACTGTACTATTTGGTGTATCAAGGAGCTTTGGAGTTGGCCCTCAGGTCTGTCCTCCCCATTGTTTCCTCGTTTACATTTCTGTTTTTGTTACCTTGGATTAACGTTTATCTTTTGGTGGATTTCAGTTGATATGGGACCGGGCTCTGGGAATGCCCCTTGAAAGGCCGAAGAGTGTCACACTGGAGAAGCTCGAGCAATTGTGCGCCAAATCATCCTGAAATTTGAAGTACCATTTCTCTGTTAATAATGGCTAAAACACTCGGTAGATGTGTGGTCTTGTCTAAGTTAAAAAGTTTGGTATGTTGTAATGAGCAATATTCATTACCTTCCCCCATCGTTTTCATTTTAGAAGATTTTGGTATTTAGGTAAAAAGGGTGGCTCTTCACCCTCAAAAGTGGTCTTTCCACATTTTTTTAATAAACTGCATGAATTAGGTTTGAGGGACCATGTATAAGAATAAAGGCATTTTTTGTCGTGGGGATATCCCCTTCCATTCTTTCTAAATTGGAATCACCACATTTGACTAATGATCGATGTCACTTGATCATTGAGTCTTACCTGTGGATAAATGTAAACTTCGTCGTGTAAAAAAGAATGAAAATGTTGCCACTGTATTCTCTCAACACTTTTTTTGATACTGCTATTGGTTAAAATTCATAAACGTCTTATCAAATACGAGTTTGTATTCTCAAATTTGCTGGATGCATTTGCTTATGGATGCATTTGCTTATGAATTTTAATCAGTAGAGAAGTGTGTTAAAATGTCGTTGTCAATGATTATTGTTGTCAAATTATAAATTAAATTTTGTTCTTATCCATTGTTAATTTAATTTATTATACCCACTTCAAAGAAGTTGAATTTAAATAATTAAATAAAAACTGCCGAACTATATGGCCATGGCACTTGAGCATTGATATTATGTGTGTAAGGTTTGATTTGGTTTTGGATGCTTTGAGTACCTAACCCAAAAATGTCCTGTGAAAACTTGAAAATTTGACTTAGGATTATAAACATGGAGTTCATTAATTTTTTATTTATTTTACATTATCATATTAAATTAACGTAAGACTGAGGATCCTAATTTCATTTCATTACACTGTATTACAGTGATGGTTCTATGCATTGTATGATCTTCGATTCATTAATTATTTATTTTTCGCATGTACTACTGTGTCAGTTTTTTATTTTAAGTTAATTAATTGGTATTTCAAGTAAAATTGTACAACGAAGCATTGTTTATTGTATTCTTTTATTTTGTTGTATATATATTTTCTTATTTTTAAAAATAGATGATTCTCTACTTTTTTAACGTTTTGAACATGATTTCAGAGTAGCTTTATTTATTATTTTGCTTATTTTTCAATGTCTAATTTTGCAATATCTTTTTAAAATATTACTATTAAACAAGAACATAGAGCAATTTAAACATTCCATCTATATAATATTTATTTTTTTAATGATATATATATATATATATATATATATATATATATATATTTTCAAATTAGCACAAATGATTTATTATAAAAAAGTGAACATTTTTAAATATATAATTTTTAATATGTATATTTATTTTTTATAAATGTATTTTTTTATCAGAAAAGATAATTACTTTCAAATAAAATCAAAGTTTTTAAAATTTGTCACAAATAATTTCTATTATAAAAGATAAGTTGAAGTTAAAATATTAACAGTAAGTTTCTTTTATAAAAAAATTTATTAATGCATTCAAAATAACTTCTTATAAAAGTTAAGGGATAAAATGATAGTGAAATTCTTGTAAAAAAATATTTTTTTAAATCTCAATGTTAAAAGATGACTGTTTTTCATAAATTCATTTTAAAAAATATTTTCTAAAATAATATCTATGTAACATTATTTACCTATCTAGCACCTGTTTAAGTTTAGAATTTGATTTCCGGTAAATCGAATTTTGAACTATCATTTCTAATTTTTTTATTTTTCGATAACCAAATTTTGAAATGGTTTTTCTAATTTTTTTAGTTTTTGTTTTATTAATTTTATAAATAGAATTTTTTTATAATTCTAAATATAATTTCTTTTTAAGTTTTATTTTAATTTATGCAAAATATATATATATATATATAATTAATTTAAAGTTCATATATATAATTATAATTTATGTAATATATATATAATTATAGTTTATATAATATATACAAGTTATTTAACATTAAAAATATATATATTTTTTATTAATTTTATAATTATAATTTTTTTAACTTTATAATTATAATTTATATAATTTATAAATAATTATTTTTTAAAATTTTAATTTGATATATATTTTTTGTTTGTAATTATTTAATATATATTTAAATAGTTTATTTATATGTGACTTTTTTACATATAAATAATTACATTAAATAATTTATTTACTTTAAATATACATTAAATAGTTATAAATAAAAAATATATATCAAATTAAAATTTTAAAAAATAACAATTTATAAATTATATATATATATATATATATTATATAAATTATAATTATAAAGTTAAAAAAATTATATTTAGAATTCTAAGTTTAGAAAAATTATAATTATAAAATTAATAAAAATATATCTATTTTTAATGTTAAAATTATAATTATATATATATATATATTACACAAATTAAAATTATATATATAAACTTTAAATTGTATATATATATATATATATATATATATTGTATAAATTAAATAATAATTATAAATTTAAAAATAAATTATATTTAGAATTAAAAAAATCTATTTATAAAATTAATAAAACAAAAATAAAAACTAAAAAAATAATTAGAAAAATTAATTTAGAATTCGATGGGGTCAAATTCTGATTGAAAAAATAAAAAAAATTAGAAATGATTTAGTTCCCAAAATCGAATTCCAAAGTAAATACCCAAATATATATATATATATATATATATATATATATATATATTGTATAAATTAAAATAATAATTATAAATTTAAAAATAAATTATATTTAGAATTAAAAAAAATCTATTTATAAAATTAATAAAACAAAAATAAAAAATTAAAAAAATAATTAGAAAAATTAATTTAGAATTCGATTTCTTGGGATCAAATTCTGATTGAAAAAATAAAAAAAAATTAGAAATGATTTAGTTCCCAAAATCGAATTCCAAAGTAAATACCCAAAATCGAATTCCAAAGTAAATAGAATTAGATAAGTAAATAATGTTATAGAGATATTGTTTAGGAAAATATTTTTTTAAATGATATTATTTATGAAAAAAAAAATGGTTAAAAGACTGTGATTAAACAAGTAACATATAAAGAATTTAACACAGGAAATAAATGGGAGAGATATTATTGAAGAAATTGACGTGTGTTTGAGAGAGTGATATGGCGTATCTCAGATTCTTACACGCACCACCACCACCGGCTCAGCTCACACTAGGGTTTCCTTCACCACCTCAGTTTCTCTCCATTGCTCCACCTCTCAAACTCTCTCTATCCTCTTCTAACTTCAGGTTCACACTTTTTCATTGATTTTTTTTAATCTACTCATTCTTAAATTTTCTGTATTTTTATCTTAGTTCTGTATTTTCCTGTTCATTTTTTTTTGTTTGTATTTGCTCGGTTTGTGTTTCAAAAATGCTCACCACTTTCTATTGATTTTTTTTTTTAATTTCAACATTTATATGGTGATGGGGGTACCCATGTTAGTTTTTGCAGTGTGCTGAACCAACAAAATTGTTGGTTTAAATCGTTGCAATAAAATCTTGATATTTTCTATTTTCGGTTAAATTTTTTGACGGAACTTAGATGCAGATTTTTTGGTGTTGTTCTTGGGTAAGGATTGGAGTTTTGTCTCGATATCCTACATTGATCTTTAATGCAAACATTGTTATGAAGTTAGTGACATGAAACTCCAAATTTGATTAGAGAACGTTACCAAAAGCCTCATTAGAAACTGCGTGCAGTTTTGTCTTTAAATTTTTGTTGTTTTGCAATGAGAAAAATTGTGGGGCTGTCATTGAATAAATAAATGCAAAGGCTTTCTGAATAAAAAACATGCTATAGTGAATCAAGAAACAGTGCAGAGGCTTTGATTCATCATTCTCTAATTTCCATTGGACAAATTCTACAGTCTCACTTTGTTAAATGATTATTTTAAAATCTTTATTATTTTTAAAAAGGTTTCTCATTTATCTTAGTGTTTGTATTTGCAATGTGTTGAACTTGATGAACTAGCAGGATTGTTGGTTTAAATCGTTTTAATAAACCTTGCTTGTACTTCTTCAATTTAAGTTTTTGACAAAATTTGGATGCAGTTTCTTAGGTGGTTATATTGCTGTTTTTCAATTAAAATTAAATTTTTACCTCGATAATCTACTTTGACCTTTAATGCAAACCATTTACTAGTCGTTTGATTGGAGAACCATGCAAAAAGCAATGCAATTGCATCAAAATTGTCTTTAAAATTTGTTGTTTGGCAATGAAAAACTATGGGGCTTTCAGATAATAAATTAGTGGAGGCTTGGATTCATCATTCTTCAATTTTCATAGGACAAATTGTACAATCTTGAACTTCGCTTTGTTTAATGGTTCTTATTTTGATCCTTTACTTATTTTTTAAAAAAGGTTTCTCATTATCTTACTGTTTGGTAAACAACTGGAGGATTTGGAAGTGATTGAATGGGTACATATTTATAGGTGAAGATGAAATTGGGCTTAACTGCTTTTATACTTGTTGTAAGTTATTTTCAGAAACTATTCAGAGTTTATTAAATAAACTGAAAATTTTCATAAGCACTTCCAAACCTGTGCACGATTCTTATGTCACAAGATAAATCTAAAAAAGTTAAGCTGTAATCTTTCAAACAGACCTTTTAGCTGTAATAATGAGTGGAAGGTTACTTGTTATTGTGCTTTCTATTCCTCATAATTAAAAAAAAAAAAAAAAAATATGAGAAATGTTTACCTAAAATGAAACACATCTCCTCTCTTCCATTCCATCATGTTACTTGAATGAATAACAGTGTATGTATTCTACGTTGTTGTAATAATTGCATCCTTTTTAATTTAATCACAAATTTTTTATCTAATTTGTGTGGTAATATAACATTAGACTGAGACTGTATATATCTTCTGGTTTTGATTGTATCCAGGTGCAAAGTTTTCAGGAGATTGAAAGCTAATCAAAGGCTGTTGACTGTTTTTGCAACAAACCCCAACTCTGTAGATGGGAAATCTCCCATAGAAGGATCAGATGTAAATGAAATTAGCAATGCTGCTCAGGGACCTCCTCTGCTTACTATTTTGGCTGGATTCTTTGTCCTCTTCGTCGTTTGTTGGAGCATCTGGTCCATTATAACGTGGCTGATAAGTTTGATTGTTACTGCACCTGCTCCGAAATAAATTTTACTAGAATGTTTGTGTTTGTATTTTAAGCTACTGCAGTAGTCCTTATGAATTTGTCTTTGTTTCTTTTTATGTTTTTGGACTTCATAGTATTTGAGTGCTAAACATGCTAAAGTGAGCCAAAAGCAGGATAAAGGGAAGAAGCAGAATTGGCGAAGCCTGATGATGCGAGAGAAAGCTTATGTTCATCTCTGGGTTTTGTCAACCCTCTTTTAGTTTTGGAATGTAGTTCCATTGGGTAATCATTTACAACATATACCAAAATCTCAATAAAAGAAAAAACAAAAATAGTGGGAACTGGGTCAATATCTACAAAGTAACAATATATCATGACCAGCAGGGATGTTCATGGTTCGATTTAAAAATCAAATAGAATCAAAATTTCGTTTTAGTCAAATGTGGTTCAGTTTTAATTTAATATAAAAGATCAATCAAATTAATTTAATATTCATGACTTGGGTTAAATGGATTTTATTATTTTGGTATATATTGTTAAACAAATTTTACATAAAAACTATAGAACTTGTTAAATATTTTATGGTGAAAAATTATCAGATTTTGGAATAAGTTTGCAATTTTTAGTTACAGATAAGTTGTTTACTAAATATTTATAACGAAAAATTATCAATATTATGAAATCTTTTTATGATTAGTGTTATATTCATAATTTTAATTTTATATATTTATAAATAAATTATATAGTCATAATTTAAAATTACTATATAATATAATCAAATTATGATTATATATATATATATATATATATATATATATTAATTGATATTTAAATCTAAATACATGATATTATATTTGAATACATCAAATGATTTTATTCAATTTGATTCGATTTCTAATCTTTAATTTGAACCAAAACAGTTTAATCAATTTTAAAAAATTACAAAAAATTCAATTCAAAGATTTGATTTTAATCAATTTTTGGTTATTTATTTATTAAGTTTATTAAGTTTAGTGAGGACAATTCTGAAATCTACTTCTAAAGAAGTCAATGTTTACAAATAAAGGAATATTGTCCCATTCTGTGTAACAATGATACTATTTAGTGCTAAAATAGGCAAGTTTATTTGTACAATACTTCTCCCCTCTAAAAAATGCTAGTGAAATGAAAAAACATGTCTAGACTTATCAAAGCAATTCATCCACCAATTTTTAAATTTCAAGGTATAATGGTGATGTTTGCAAAAGCACGAGAGTCACTTAATCTAGAGTTTTAAAATACGTGAACACTTTACCCAACAAATATCAATGACTGTCTTATATTTTAAACATACATCATCGCCATTTCAATTAAGAGGAAGAATATAGGATAAAAAAAACACTTACAAACAAACCATCCCAAACAAACCCTTAAACTAAGTGTTAGGTTTGGAATTTCTCTTTCAATTTTTATAATTCGTAAGTTTTTTCTCCTTGCGTTTCTTCCATTTTGCCCATCTTCATTTATATTTTTTAAATATGTAACAAACAACTCAAGCCAATCCAATAACTTGACGTCTATATATACACTTCCCCACTCCTAACTCGTCACAACAAAGTAAAAAAAAAAAAAAGTGAAATGAAAAGACAAGCGATGACTAGTCACAAAAATTACCAGCTCCATGAAGCACGCACTCGCATCAATTGGGCAACAATGATCATTGAATATTTCAGGGAAGATGGTCTAAAATATAATGTCCAATACGGCCAGTACGGAAAAGATTAAGCAGCTTCCCGGCAACCTTGTCATGAGCATCTTCTTCACATTCATCTGAAACATGGAAAGCTTCCTGCAAGGCAATAAACTGCCTAGAAATGAGTGCTAGCATTTCATCTTCACATTTAATATCGCCTTCAAAAGATGAAATTGTTTCGAAGAGTGTCCGTCGAACATCCTGCACTATGCAGTCCTGGGAAACCAAAAGTTAAAATACATGTAAACCTTCCGAGAGAAAAGACAGATCATATGAAATTTTGTTTTAATCAATCTTCATCAATCACATGAACCATGGGAAGTGAAGAAAATAAATGAACAGGTGGAACTTCGTCATCCAACTCAGAAGTTTTTAATTTCTGGTGTCAAACTGAAAATCCTCGTGCTGATTCTTCACTTGCTCCAATAGCATACAAGCCAACTTCCAAAGAAATACAAAACTATTTCTTTAAAGCTTTCGGTTCCTTTATTAGTTTCCAATTTTTTGCACATTTAACAGGGAACCATTTATTTGGGTTCAGTTCTATGCTAGCCCTTTCATTTTTATGCTCACTGTGTTATTTTTAACAGATTACAATTACTATTGTTTCAATCATACAGTAGAAAACATTAGATGAACACTAAGATAATACAATTATACACAATAAATTACAGATACCTGTGTGTGATCTGTAGGGATTTGTTTTTTCTGCTTCATATGCAACTCAGAGCTAGTCAACTGCTCTGTTGTGCCATTAAGGAATGATTTATCGTTATCCTTCATAGATAATCTTGCCCATTTCTTGTACTGCTCACTAGAGTTGTGCATAGCTAGAAAATATTGAGCAACTTCTTTTCGCCTGACTAAACAATCCCCAACTGCTCCTGGATGGAGATTGAAATGAAGGAATGAATGAGAAAAACAAGAACAAGAGATTATCTAAAAGTTTCAAGTACAGAAGCTAACCTAACCCTAAATAACGCATTTGCCTTTATCGAAATACTTTTAGCCCTTCAGTTTGCTTGGAAGTTATGATGTGCTTATGAAATGAAAATTACTCTACACGAGCTTGGTATAAAAAAAGAAATGTAGGATGATGCAAAGTAGGGATAGTGCATTGTGTAGAAAATGAAGAACATATGTAGGCATGAGCATATTTGCAGTAGTCTAGTGCAACATGTAGAGCATAACTGAAGATACTCGAGAACCATTTTAACATGTATCAACTATCAACACAATAAGTTTGAAATGGGATAGTTCAATTTGTCTTTTCGCAGTATACAGTTCATTTCACGGAAGTGGTTTTCCGTGATGCAATTATTAGAGGGATGTGATAATAATATTTTGTCTTGGGGCTTGGTTGTATCAGATGGTAACTTATGCTCTGGTATTCATTTTATGTCTTCTTTCTTGACAGGAAAAGATACTTTTGAAGAAAGAAAAGGCCCCTAAACAAGAAAAACCAAATGCTCTAGGGAACATGATAAAATATAAAAATGCAGCACTGCATGCCCCATTATGCATATTCTAAAATGAAAGCGCCCTGGAAACATCCATAGGCAGACCAAGTTAAGGAGGTACTCTAACACAACATACAAATGTGAGCATTTCAATCTAATTGAATGGACCGAATGGCAACAAAAGCCCTTGCATCACACTGATAACAAAATTTAAACCTCCTTTTCTATAAATACTTCGCAGACAGACAGCCATCAAAAAATGCTCCTTGTAGAACACATCAATTGCATGGATCACATGATGCCATAATGTCCTCTCTCTCTCTCTCTCTCTCTCTATATATATATATATATATATATATATATATCTGGTGCAATGACATACCATTTAAATCCGATGGTTTGAATTATAACTGGCCTTCCTCTACTGCTAACTGTTGGACTACCCTCCATTTCATCAATTAATTTTACCAGGAATCCTACAAGTACACCCCCAAACTATTGAAGGCCAAATTCTACCATCTTGTACACATTAGATGCTATGACAATTTTCTCTCTAATGCATTCATTCTTAATCTTCTCTTGTATGTGTCCACATCCATAGTAATATTTTCATCTTTGCAGGTATTATAAGTTTATTTTCAGGTTGGCTCTGGACCACCCAACATTCTGCGTGTTATATTTGTGCAGTAAATTTTTTTCCTTAAGCACTATTCCATTTCATCTACCCTGTGTGAATCTTATGATTTACATCACCCTCAATTTCCTCCTATTATGATGGATGCAAGATACTTAAATTGCCACCTAAGGATATAAAAAAGCAATTAGTATATTGTTGATTGCTAACTAATTTTGTCTTTTATTCTAATCAACAAATAAATTTTAGGCAGAGGTTTCAATAGTATTCATTTAAGCTAAGAAACAGGGCAAAACGAAAATCAATTAAACATACCTGTTAAAATTAATTTAGATAAAACAGCAACATTAGGAACCTTGGGAGATAAAATAGCTGGAGTGTCTAACACATAGATATTGGGATGGCTACCAATCTGAAAGGAAAGCAGAATTTTCAAAAATGAGAAAAGCACAAAAGATGTACTAATTGACGAATGTGTGACCAAGAAGCAAAACAAGGAGATTATAGTAGCATATATAGGCCAACAAGGTGAACAATGGACATCAACCTTTTCTAAACATTTGAATACAGACTATTTTCTTCAAATAGAAATAGATCCCTTTCAAACTGTTTTTCCAAGGTGCAAGTCATCTTTTAAAATAAAATAGCAACCATGCCAAAAAAAAAAATCTTTATTTTCTAATCTAAGTATATTCTTAAAAGTATACAGCAGTTGGCTATAAATAATTTACATCTTGGAATACCTAGGATATGTTTAGAACACAGGCAACTTACATGCTCAATTAATTTTTATATCAAGCAACAAGGCTATCAATAGCATTGCAGAAAAACAAATAGACTTAAATCTAGTTTTGGTCTTCATAGTTTCATGAATGTGCATTTTTTGTCCCTATAAATGTACCTGCACGTTTAGTCTCCCACTGTTCCAAATATTTAGCAAGTTTGTTCATTTAGCAAATATTTAGCACATAGTGATTAGTGAGCTTTGCTCAATTGACAATTTTCAGTATCTAGATCTTGTTTTTAGTGGTTAAGCGGTTATTATTTCCCCTGCTTTAGTATTCTTTTTTTCATTCAATTTCTAGTGAAATTTCGTCTCTCAACAAAAGAATCTTACGAGCTTACCTATCATGAACATCTTTCACAAGTATACTAGATATCTCTGGTAATAGAGGCCTAGATGGAGCATGTCTGTGCACCAAAAACCTACCAAGAGTTAAAATTATAATTGATCAAGTGTTGTTCTGTTAACGTGAAAATGAGATTTTTTATAAAGATAAAATTGACCAGAGGGAGAATGAGACTCTGATTTTCCAAAATCATATCTGAGGCTAATAAAGAGTTCTGGTATCCTTCAGCACAACAGCAAAATTATAAACTGATAGTCCACATTTTGAAAAATTATATAATAAATCAAGAGAACAAAGGGTTAACCTTAAAACTTCGTATGTCTTTAGTCTCTCCTGGCTCTGGACTCACAGTTGCATGCTTTAACTTTCCTTTTTCTATAAAATAAAAAGTTAACAAGAAAAGATAAAACAGAAAATTTGTGAGTATATACATCCACCTGTGTTTCTCACAAGTTGAGTATGTCATTTAGCCTGTTCCATTAGAATTGTGACAATAATTTGAATACCTGCTGCACTGATTCTCCCCACTTGATGCAAGGCATTGGTAAGGGCGGACTTACCAACATTTGGAATCCCAATTAACATTACTGTAGCAGTATAATTATTGTCACATTGATTATCTCCCCTCAATTCACTCACTTGGCGTTGTATGAGGCTTAGAAACTATCTAAAAGCAAAAATTCTTATTAGTAATTTATTTCATGAACAACTATTAAATCAGTGCCTATCACAAAAATTTTGCTACATTGTAGAGGACAAAATTTTCGTCTCATTTTACAAAATAAAAAAATACTTAGTAACTAGGAGATCCAATACCATATAAAAACTCACAAGTCAAATAAAAAAGGTCAAAAAGGAATCTCTGATTGATAGGTTATGCTTACTACTTAAAGGAGAAAAGGTCCAAAAGGAATAGCAGCAATACGATACAAACGTTTCAGAATTCAAACTGATATGTTCATCTTACTACTTCAAGCGTTAAACAAAATTTCATTACTATTCATGTGTGTACACAAACTAAACTGTAGATGCATCTTACTGATGTAAATTAGTTGCTTGAATAAGTGATATCAAATGTGATTCCAAAATTTATTCAAACCAATTTAACATGATATTTGCAATAAGACCAATCATTCCTGAGGCTCTTTGGAAGAATAAACAAAAGGGAACATACAGTTTACCTGTCTGATGTTGTCCTTGTTATGAGCATTGACTCCACAAGATACGCAGTTCCTTTGCCTAAAATATTCCATCCATGCCTATCAAGGAAACATTTGTTAAAATAAAAGAAATAAAACAAATCATTAATTAAGAAATCTAAAAGGAATACAATTTCAATCATCCCTCGACATGGTTCTTTGAATTTGTTAGAATAGTTTCAGTTAATTACTAACTTCCTACATGGCGTTATTGATTACTCTAGTTAGCTTAGGTCCCTCGAGAGCTTCTGTGTAGAAGAAGCATATTACTAATTTGTTCGCACACAACTTTTCTCATTGAATTTAATTTTCTCCTCACGACTTTCAATTTTCTCTGCCATATTTTGCACTAAATTCACTGAAAAACATTCCAGAAGAAAAATGCTGAGGTACTCTGACAGTCCCATATCATGCTTACCAATATGTTATTTATTTTTCTAAATTAATATTTCAGTTTTAACAATACATGTTTGCTTTAATTTCATCAGCATGTAACATGAATATGAAAATTTAGAAACCTTGACCACATTATACCCAAATATTAAGACTAAAAACACATCTTCCCTCAAATTTCCACGGTTACATACAGATGGATAGACAGCAGAATTTCCACAAACCTTCAAAACAGTTAAAGCAAATAAAATAATCTAAAGAGGAAGCCCTACCTTCACATTTGATGCACCCGCAAGATCCATTTTGTTGAGAGCTATGATTTGTTTCGGGGAAAATGGGTAGTTTCTGAGTATCTCGCATTCGGAGGACAAGGGAATCTGAAAAACGAAGAGAATAGGAGAGCGTGTAAACGAGTGGAAGAAACGAAAGGAAACGAATACTGATTCGTTAAAATGCGTAACAAACAGACCCTTGCGTCTCTGACTTCGACGACGAGATTCGCCAACGGGATTCTTTCCGCGATTGCGCGAGAAGCAGCGGCCATAAGAGAATCGCGCCATGCTCCCTTGCTTTTCAGTTCTTCCATTGCCAGTGTTCCTATTCGTCTGCCCAAACGCGCTGCTGCCATGCTCGAATTAAGGCAGCGTTTGTTTGGCAAAACTTGCTTCTCAGACGCACTTATGATAGAAACACAAATGTCCCGACGTTGTTGTGCTGCTGATACCTTAATGCAAAATAAAATTTTAATTTTATTTACTGGAATATAATTTTCTTTCTCCACTCGTTATTTTTCAAATATTTATAAAAATACCCTCCATTCCATACTCAAGTATGAACAATCTGTGTAAAGATATTTTTATAGGCATGAAAAATGAAAAATCATCTTACAATATCTTTATATAATTTTCATTTACCAGATTAGGAAATATTGAATAATTATACTTCTGATATAGGCAGAGTTACTTAAAATAGTTAGAGTGAATTATTGACATAAATATATAGAAGCAGTGGAGTTCAATAGGATATACTATGATTTGTAAAATTGAGCATTTGCTCTTTCTAAAGGGAAAAACCTTTGGAGAAGAATCCTCACTCCTTAGCTCTGTTCTTTTGCAATCAATCAAGAAATACAATCCTTCGCTCTATTTTTTGTTGAGTTCCTAAAACATTCTATACATGGTGCTATAGTTGACAAACTATGTAGTTCCTCGCATCAAAACATGGTAAGATCTATTTTACAATATTTAAGCCCACATTCCATCAAAATTAAACAAATTACAACAGAACAATCTATAGGAATGTGGGACATTATGCAAGGGTGGGTTATCCATATCTATCTTAAAAAGCCAAAGCAAAAACTTGCTAAGTCAAATCTTATCATCACCTTGATAAGAAATCACAAGTTAAAATTCATCCTTTTTCTAAGAGCAAGCACCATTTGAGATGAAACTACAAGAGGCAATGGTCAGCGGTAGCCTTTACTCCCCACCCTTTCATTTCATTTCCCTTCTAATTTCTGCCGCTTACACAAGAAAAAGATATTGATATGAGCCCCACTTCAGATTAATTAAAATTATGCCAAATGTCACAACTGTGAAATTACATGAGGCTACTAACAGTTCCAGGTGTTCCCTTCACTCCCCATTCTTTCATTTCCCTTCCAACTGTGCAGTCCCTCCCAGTTTCCCCTTGGCATTTCATCACTGCATTCATCCCTTTTCAAGTTACACCATGTGACACAAAATCACACAATGCCAAATATCCTGAATCAGAATGTACAAACCAAACTCCATGGCATTTCCCTTCTCATTCATTTCATACAAAAGAACATTATGCCAAGCACCATGACTATAAATTTACTTGATTCCACTGCCAGTTCTTTAGTTTCATTCACTCCCCATGCTTCCATCTCATTCCCCTTTCCAAACCACATCATATCACACAAAATCACACTATGCCAATTGTTTCCCTCACTCCCTATTCTCACATGAAGCTAATTCCATACTCTTTCCAATTCCCCCTTGGCATTTTCATCAACACATTCATCCTTTCCAAATCACATCATATCACACAATGCCAATCGTCTACTTCACTCCCCATTCTCACATGAAGCCACACTCATTCCAATTCCCCCTTGGCATTGTCATCAACACAGTCATCCTTTCCATATGACATCATTCCAAACAACCCAAAGATGATCACACCTCAGAATACACAACCCAACTACTCCCTGCGGCCGCCCTCACCCCCCTCTCCTTCATCTCCCTCCTCACCCTCTGCGCCTCCTCCATTCTCCCTACACTCGCATACATCTTCCCTAACAGCACATAATTAGCAGCATTCCCCGGCTCCACCTCCGCCAACGCCCGCGCCGCAACCTCCGCCAGCCCCAACTCCCCATAATTCCTACAAGCCCCAAGCAGCGCCCCCCATGCCTTCGCCGTCACCTCCACCGGCATCCCCCGAATCACCGTATACGCCTCCTGCAACCTCCCCGCCCTTCCCAAAACATCCACCAAACACGAGTAATGATCGCTCCCGGGCTCCACACCATACTCCCCCCGCATCCTCGCAAAAAACCACAGCGCCTCATCCGGCAAACCAGCATGACTGCAAGCCTTCAAAACACCAAGAAATGCAATTCCGTCAGGCCGCACACCGGTGGCCTCCATCTGCCGGAAAATCTCCAGCGCGGTCTCCGCCTTACCGTGGAAAGCGCAGGCCGAAATGAAGCTGCTCCACGCAACGACGTCCTTGTCCTTGTCCCTCATTGTCGAAAACATCAAACTGGAACAACGAAGAGAACCGCATCTTCCGTAGGCTTCGACCAACGCGCTGCTCAATTGGTGGTGCGGGTGGATGGAGTTCCTGGCAGCATAACCGTGGATCTCTTTGATTAGGTTAAGCGCGGCGAGGTTGACGCAGGCGGGGAGGAGGGATAAAAGAGTAATTAGGCGCGGCTTGAGGTTGTGAGAGCGCATTTGGCGGTAGAAGGAGATGGATTGGAGGGGATGGGAAGGGGAGAGGGCGGAGATAATGGGGTTGAAGGTGGAGTCGGTGGGGGCGGTGTCGAGGGAGTGGAAGAGGCGGAGGGCGAGAGAGAGGTTGTTATTGTGGGCGTGGAGGGAGATGATGGAGTTCCAGACGACGACATTTCGGTGTGGGTGGGGGGTTTGGAGGAAGAGGTGGTGGGCGAGGGAGAGGGAGAGGCGGGAGCCGTAGAGGTGGAGGAGGGCGGAGGTGACGAAGGGGTTGGAGAGGAAGGAGGATTTGGCGGCGTGGGCGTGGAGGGAGGTGGCGAGGAGGGGGAGGTTGAGAGCGGTGCAGGACTTGAGGGTGAGGGAGAGGAGGTGGGGGTCCAGGGGCAGGAGGAGGGTGGAATGGAGGTGGTGGAAGAGGGAGAGGGCGAGGTCATGGCGTGAGTGCGACACGTGGGAGGACATGAGTTTGGTGTAGTGCAGTAACAGGTGGTGGGTGGTGGCGGACGACACCATCCTTCACTCACTATGACTAGTAGAATGACCTTCGTGCCGTTTCTATTAAAAAGTCTGAGTTTATATTAAAAAGAAAAATTAACTTCAAGTTACGGTGTGAACCTAATTAGAGGAAACAGATAAAACATAAAATCATATATCTTTTCCATGAAAAAAATTTGACTTAGCATATACAGCAATAATTCCACTTGATTCATCTAAGAAAAATTAGAGAAATCAGAATCTACGTAAAGATGATATAAACTTCTCCTGCGCCACTGCACCAAAGATCTTATCACGTGAGACTAACAAAAATGGACTCCTCACTCTGAACTCTGCTCTTATAGAACGTCTAAAAAGAACAAAAAAAAAAAACTGTTTTTTTCTACCTTTTTCCCAATGTCAACAGTTGATTGATACGTGAATAAGAATATAATGAAACTGTTTTTTAGTGATAGGAACAACAGTCCATGTTTAGAGGGAAGAAAATAGGAAACTATTTAGACTTTTCGGCATCCGTTTGTGGGGTGTTGTCTCCTGTAGCCCCCGTGAAATTGCGTCTTTCCTCAGAGGTCGCAGTGATAACTGGCATCCACACATCAGCTGTACCACTCAAGAGTGATTGCACCTGTGGATCTGAAGCCATGGATGCTGATATCATCTCATCCAGATCATCTAATCTTGCTGATAATTTGTCCAACTCCGTGGCAATTTCCAACTACGTACATAATAAATAAAATAAATAACAAAATAAGAGAATGCTATTTCATTTTGTTGTTATTATGTGCTTGTTATTTTCCCAAAACTTGAAAGACTAACCCTTCTTTATTCTAATCAAAATCCAAACCAATTAAGAAAATAAAGCATCATAAATAATAATTTGATAACTAATCCTAAGAGACAACGAGGAAATAAGAAAACAAATTCAGAGGATAATCTAAGATATGATAAAATCTTTCCACATATTCTAATCCATTTCAACAGGTATAATAAGAGCACTCTGCATCGAGTAATGGCTAAACTATGAAGCGAAAACCACCTCGTTAAGTTTCTGGGTTGACTTTGGAGGAACTTTTGTAACCTCTAACCCAAGAGTTTCAATTTTAGAACGGAGCTCAACTTCTTCTTGATTCGTTAGTTCTTCCACCTACACAGTTTACCATAAAAAAATGCATCAGTTTATTACATACCAACCATTACTAAGATGAACTGCATTGGAAGTTAAACTGTGGATGGAATCCAGAGATATGTAATAATCTTCAATCTATGCATTGAAATGCCTAAAATTAAGTGATTTAGAAGTCGGCAATTTGCAGTACGGCCATTGATATTAAAATCTTGAGTATAACATAAAACTCATCAAGGTAAACGTGTTCTAATCTTTTTATGCTTGCAATAACAGTGGAATCAAGTTTAATCTAATTATAAGAAATAGGGGATCAAGATCGTATTTAAATGAAATAATGTTCACATAATAATATATGATCTTCGCCACCAAACCACACTATAACACAAGAAATTCAACTCATTACACTGTCAATGGTTATGCGCAATTCACAGTACAGATTCTCGATGGAGAAATCCAAAACTCCTTAATTTCAACAGAAAGGCTATAGATTTTTTCTTGTGCACAGTATCCTCATTTGAAAGTCACATCACAGGTAAATATCCTAGACACAGTCTCCCCCATTGCAAGGGTAAGGGTGTGTTTTTACTTACTTACATCTACTGCTCTCTAGGTAGGCCTCGCTAGGTGGGAGCCTCATGAACGTTGTTGCCTTTATAATTTTGGTACAGTATCCTCAAATTTGGACAGTTGAGAAGTGCAATGGAAGTGCCAGTGAAAGTGTTGATCATATGGACAATAATCCACTGATCAGAGGCTCACGTAGATCAAGAAAGACTTTGGGTGAGACCAAAAAAAAATATTAATTCTACTTTCTTAAAGATTTTTTTTTTTTACAGAACACAATGGTGTTGTTTGATCCATATGTGGCCAACCCCATCTGATGGAAGGAGGTTTTGGTAGTCATTGTACAATACCCTACTAATGCTCCTTCATCTCCAAACTTTGAAAACAAACAATTACTTTCATCAATGAGTGAGCGTTCAATAACTTGGTCCAAACACACTATTAAAGGTAGATACGAATACTTTTTTGTTTTCCTTGCATCACTATTATCCAAACATCCTTCATCATTGAAACATGGGCAAAGGAGACATAAGAATGACTTAATAGTAAACATGGAAGGGAAGGAGGGATAAGTGAGTTAAGTCCCCGCTAACAAAAACTAAACATAACAACAACTAATATTTGCTAATCCAAAAAAAATTTGAAACATGGATAGCAGCAGCTTGATAAAAAGGAATGTGGCTATATGTTAATACATTCACAGCGATACTGTAAAGTCTGGACATACATATTAGAGTATTAGACCTCTAGGGTGTGTTAGCTATATTAGATGGTAGCATAACAATGAACTACAGTGGCTCTAGAGTCAAATTTTTGGATGCTTGAGTCATGTAGCCATTACAAATACAATAAAAGCTAAGAAAGACAATAACTCATGCAGCTAGAAGAAGGATAACCAAAGAAACCATTCTCAAAAGGGTATGGACGGTGTCTATTTTTTTTTTTTATTATTATTATTAAAAATAGAGTATGCAAAACCATCACTATATGACATATGATCCCAACTAGGTTCAAAGCTTCAACCATTTGCAACATTATAGCAGAAAAATTAAGAAAAGAAATACAGAAGAGTAGGCGGACTGTACCAAAACCTACTCAAGAAACAAAAGTTGAGAATTCCTATTCCTAAAGAAATCAAATCTCTGAAAATACAGAATACCATCCCACCATTGATTACATCTTCCTTTTACATCACTATATAAGAAACATGAAATCTCATGTTTTTACATGCTAGCTATCCTTTTAATTCACATAAATACCCATAAAAGGAATTGATTTTTTTTTTATAAAACTATAGAAAGTTTGATATGATGATATCTTACATGTCACCAAGAAACAATCATCCATTGGCTGTCCAACTATTCATCTAACCCTCGCTTTTATCATACAGATTCAGATGATGATGACATAACAGGAAAATAGCATCTATCTCCCCAATTCACAGATTTTAAGCACAAAGAAACATAAAAATTTACAAAAGCATGATTATTTTGGCTCTAGAACAATTCTGCCCCCCATATTGAAGGCATTACACAAACAACAACAGATAAAGAGGATTAGCCATTTAGCCTACCACACTGTTGCAGTAACCCATTATTTTCCACTAGAAAAACAAAAAATTCTCACGATCACTGGGAGTAATAATATTAAGCAAATAGATGAAAACACACCGCTGAAACAATCACATTCACAATAACAAAAATTACACACGGAGGGGCAACATCAGCACTTCGGACATGCACAAACCTCAACAGGCATGATGAAAACTCGTAAAAACAATTGAAGCACGAAACAAAACAAAAAATCGCAACAAAACCGCAATTCACGGATCCCGGAATCATAAGACGGTAAAAAGTGAGATACCCAGATGATCAAATGCCATAATAAAGGGAAAATTGAAGTTTAATTCGAAATCGGAAAAACATATTGAAAAGCTAATAGGAAATTGAGATGGAAAAACAAAGAGGGTAAAATGAACCTGGTGGAGGAGATTGGAGAGAAGCTGAAAGAGCTGAGCGTCGGGTTTCCCTTCCTCTGCCATGGAATTTCTCTGAAACCGCCTTGATTACCGTCGATGCTGACGCTTCCAAACACGTTCCCTCGCTTTCTCTCCCTCTTCTTAACAGAAGAGAAAGAGGGGCGAGAGAAAGCGGACACTGTCTCCAATACCGATTCAGCGGAATGGAGAGTCTCTTCTGAGAAGAAATCATATCTAAATTTGAAAAACATAGATGAGATATTTACGGTTATTTAGTTTTAATTTTTAATAATTTTAATCAATATCTATCTCTCTTTTTAACACCTTTAGATCTAACAATAATGCTTATTTAGTACGTTTATTATTAAATCTATTGATTAAGATTTATTAATTATGACCTCTCTTGTGTTAATTATGAACTAGAGAGAATTAAATCCTATTTTAACTAGAGAAAATTTATTATCTAAATATAAGACAAATCTTTTTTTAAAATTGGATTGATCAATTGATTAAGATACTACTTATTAAGAATAAAATATTTGTTTCTCTAAGTATTTTTGGATTAATAGCAAACACCATGTCTATAATATTATAGTTCATCTCTATCATAAAAATCATTCCTAAATTATGAAATCTAACTCATAAGACTTCATATTCTATTTAAATTCTAAAATTAAAGTGTCTTATATTAAATATCTTTACTTTTATTAAATATGTGTTTAATTTTAGATTTTAACGATATATACGAATATGAATAATATATCACGCATTATTTATTATTGAAATTTGTTGATAATTATATTTTAAATTACTATAGTTTATTATTATATAAGATAATAAGATAGTGTTTGCATAATTTATTTTATTGTATTATCCTCCATAATAATGTATTAATAATTTGAGTAATTGTGTTAAATTTAAATATTATAAATGATATATAATATTAGTAATTTATAACCTCTATTTAAAATGTTACTTGCAAATTTAAAGTCATTTATTTAAAAATTATAATTTTATGTATTGTTTATTTTTATATCATTAACATCTTATATCTCATTTTAGAAACCCGCTATTTTAATTATTAAATATCACGAGTAAGGATATTAAAATTCGTACTATTATATATAACTTATTTTAATTAAAAAATGTACATTAAAAGTTATGAAATTGATAATTATTATAACTGTTATTATATTTAATTTTTTGTATTCAATAAATCTAAGAGTTTTTATTGCTTTATCACATCAAAGTTAAAAGTTTTATTATTTCTTAGCTATTGTTCTTGAGATAGTTATATTACTCTCTCTTCTAATAACTTTGACATGTTGAAGATAGTTATGATTAAGGAAAATATTTTAAGAATGAGAAAAATGTTTTGCAATAGAAAGAAAAAAGAGAAAAATTAAATCATAAGAGATAAATTGTCAAGAGAATAACTAAAAAAAATAAATGATTAGAAAATAAGAAATACAAAGACAAAATAAATAAAATAGAAAAATTTTAAAATTTAATTATGATAATAATTTTTTTATAATTTTATAATTATAGTCATATCTCAGTATATTACAAAAGAACACTAAATAAAAGAATGAATACTAAATAATAAAAGAATGAATAGTGAAACACACTATATTAAAAAAAATTAATATTTTAAAACTATATTAAAAATTGATTTTATAAATAATACCATAACACTCATATATGCCACCGTCATTAGATATAAATTGTTAAATAAAAATATTTTTTAAATTACTATGACATCCTTTTTAATTATATCTCACATGTAATTGTTGTTAAAAATTATTACTTTTTCTATTTTCATTGATTCGATATTAATTTTAATCAAATAACAAAATTAATTTAATTTATATCTTTCATTTGTTAAAAATTAAGAAAATATTTAATTTATTTATAAAGATAATTTATCAAAAAATATTGGAATAAATATATTTTTTAAAAATAACATATATATATATATTAAAAATTTAAATTATATTAATAAAACTAATTTAAATTTAATGAAACGATTGGATCGATGTATAAATTTTAATTTATATATATACATGTACTTTAAGAAATATTATTATTTTATAAAGTAGATTTATTATATGTCTTCAAATAATCTCGTACTTATAACCAACTGACTATATTGATTAAATTTAATTTTTTTTATCAGATAACTTTTTTTTTATCTAACTTAGTCCATTTTATTGATTTTTCAACCTGAAGTATCCAAAGAAGCACATAAATTTCTGTTATGACATCTGAATTGTTCCATGTGTAACTTTAACTACATATTTTTATATGTAATTATTAATGAAAATAATATATTATCAAAAGGTAAGCACGTATTTATTTAAGTATTAATTTTGAAATATATAAACTTTTTTATAATATTATAACATTTACATCTAGCTTTTCTATCAGTAAAATTATATTTTTAATAATTAGTATTCATACAAAAAATATATACAATTACATATATTGGTAATGAATTATTTTTCAATTTCTATTCTTAATTATTAATTAAAAAAATTATGAATAGTTTAAAATTTAATTATAACTTTACATGATTATTAATTTGAAAACATATCTGTTTTTAATCAATGTTTTTTTTTTATGTTATTATTATAATATTTATTTATAATCTTATTTTAGTTTGAAAAATACATCACTTAAAAGTTATAAAAATTACTACAACATTTATGGAGTTGTTGTATGATGTTGTGAGAAATAATTATTACAACGTTGGACATCAATCCCTCTCACAATTTGATGTAGATTTTTAAAAAATTTAGGTTATTAAGAATTTTGTTCAAATCTTCTTCGTCCCTTCTTTCGTGTAATTCAAAATTAATTATAAAATGTATATTTTTAGGTTATCAACATTTTAAGGTAATATTTCACTTCTTTTTCGTTAATTAAACATTTAACATTGGTTAAGGTCAATTATATACAATTTATATCATATATTGAAAAAAGAAAATAAAAACATTGGCTATATAATAAATTGCCGGAATCTGGAAAAAGAAAAAGATGCCACTGGTAGTGGTGGTTCCGGGGCGACATGTCCAATCCAAGCACATATTCCTGAAACCACTTATCATTAAAAATCTCAAAATATATCAATTTGCCATTTCATAATTCATTCTCCAAATGTTAGAACTATTACAAAAAATATTAAAAAAATCTTACATTCAAATTTATAGATTCTTATTATAAAATAAGATGATTTATGTATGAATTTAAAGTAAAACAAGATTATTTGTGAATTTTTTATAAGACACTATTAACAGTATTTTTTTTCTTTTTTGCTAAAAAAATATTTGTATTATCATTAGATATCGAATGTAATTTAAAATATGTGGTTACACTTTTGCTGAACTATAAATGCAGATACATTGTCCACAATTTTTGTATACCTCTCGAGAGAAAAACAACTATGGCATACTCTCAACTTCAAAAGCTGGAAGCCAATGTGCATATCAAGGCTTCTGCTGAGCAGTTCCATGATGTTTTATGCAACAGGACACACCATATTGCCAACATTTTGCCTAAAAAAATACATTCTGTTGAAATTCATCAAGGTGAATGGGGCACTGAGGGATCCATCATCTCCTGGAATTATTTACTTGGTATGTCAATTTTGATTTCTTCTTCACAATTTTATCCTTGGGATTCTTCTTGTTTGAAAAAAAGAAAATGGTTATGACTACTAAGAAGTAAAATAATGTCTCTGTAACAGATGGGAAAGTTGGAGTGGCTAAGGAGGTGGTTGAAAGCGTAGACAAGGAAAACCATAAAACCAACTTCAAGGTTATAGAGGGTGACCTATTGAGGCATTACAAGAGCTTCAGGCTTATAGGGCAAGCTATTCCAAAGGAAAATGGAAGTGTGGTGCATTGGGTTCTGGAATATGAGAAACAAACAGGCCATACTTCTGACCCTTACACCTTATTGGATTTGACAATTGAGATGAGCAAAGAGATTGGTGCTTACCTTACTCAACAAAACATCACTAAGTAAATGTCCTATGCTAATTGCTATCTGAGAAATAAAAATTGATGTCTTATGTGGCTTAATTGCCTCATAATGGCTTCAATAATAAAGCTTAAAAGCTTAATAAGTTGCATCAGCCATTACCAGGCTGAGAGTTGGGTAACTACTTATGGTTATGGTGTTGTATCATTTGTGTACTGTACCACTGTGTGTTTGTAACCTATGGTTTGAGTATGTTGTTAAGAGTTAAAGTCATCTTTCAAATATCTTCTTTTTGAGGAATTGTCTACTAAATAGATGATCGAATAGGTTAGATACACTAGGTTGACTTGTCAGTTACTGAGACTAATCGCTAAACTGATTTGTAGTTTGTCTCGCTCCATATATGAATGACGAGATAGGATGAACTCACCTAGTTAAAAAAATATATTTATATAATAAAATTAAAATGAAAATTTATAATTATAATTATAAATATTATATATTTTTTATATTATTAAAAAATATATATATATTATAATTTAAATTATAAATTTAATCAATTAAGTTTAAATTATTTATTTTAACATATTTTTTAATTTATCTAATAAAAACATTAATTAATAAATAAAAACTTAAAAATTAAGATATAATTTAAAAATATATATATAAAAAAGTATATAAAAAATATTAATAATATTGACATGTTAGTCTCATGTATAAAAGTAGTTTTCAAGATATTAAAAATTAAAAATATGTTTCAGAAAATATATTATAGAATGTAAAAAAATTTCAAAAATTAGGTAATACAAGACTCTTCTTTCCTTTTTAATGTATTTTTAACACCCTAGAAAATACGTTGCGGAACATACTTTATTAGGTTAAATAAAATAAAATAAAGGGAAATGTAGAAAGTAAAAAGAGGAGTGTAAATAGCAGGAGCGCTAATTAGAAGTGACCGAAAGACCAACCCAACTAACTTTGGCCCGTTTTGTTTAGAAAATATAATGGCCGGTTGAAAGTCCGACTTGGAAAAAATAGGAAAAATTAAAAAAAAAAAATTATATCTTAAGTCGAAAGTGACAAATTTAATTAAGTACCATGAGTTATAGTAATAATTAAGCATAAACTTCAATTAAACATAAATCTTATTAAAAGTATTAGAGAATTTTAGTTCATAATATTTTAGATTTTTATGTCCGTCTAATCAGATCAAATTAGATAAATAATATTTGTACCTAGAACGAAAAGGTAAATTTTGACCAAGATAATTAATAAGAAAAAAAAACTTCAAACTTTAATTTTTATATTATGTGAAAGTTTTAACATAAAATTAATTAAAAATATATAAAATAGTTTAACAATTATTTAAATCTTACGGCATAAAATAAAATAGAAATATATGGGATTTCGAATAAAAGAACAACCACTACGTGGTAGATTACAAACAAAAGCAACTAAGTGTTATTTTTGTTTGGAACTAGTTAACCAACACTGATCTACACATATACATAGCATGAGTCAGAGGTTTTCCTTTGCTTTTGTTTTGTTAAGGAAAAGTCCTAATTTCGCACGCATGTTGCTGTTGCTCTCGACCAAAACACTAGAATGGCAAAGTTTCACAGAAATCAAATCGAAAGTTCGTAGCTTTATGTACAAAACTCTATTCTCCAGGAGCACGATCGGTCATCTTTATGGAAAGTTACAATTTTCCAAAAGCTTTACTTTGTGGCATACGTATCCACAATATTTCTTAGCATTCAAGTAAACACAATAGTCATGTGTATACCCCACTAAGTCAATTGTACATTCGTGGATATTATAGAGACAAGAGGCTAAGGAGATGGCTTGGGTTGTGATGGCTGCCTCAAAATTTGGTAGAAAAATTTGTTTGTTTTGACAATTATTCTGAGGTGGGAAATAATGCAAAAATAATAGCCAAGTCTATGTCTTGTTCGTGGCTTGTCGTTTTGGGAAAAAAAAAAAAAAAAAAGACCACATGCATGACAAGTGTCCCACATAATATTATTAAACCTAACTACATATCGAACCAGGGTGACCTGAGTGAGTGGTCTTGGTCTTCTTTCTTTTCACTGAACCCATCATAGTGAGCAACGTGGATCAACCTCATTCGTTCATCTTCCTTATCTTTCACAATCACATTCCTTCTTCCCTCCTTTCTCTTCTCATCATCAATCAATTGCTAAACCTGAAAATGTTTCGATTTCATTATGTTATATAATTTTTATAATCAATTGAGATAGTATCTGTTTTAAAATTTTAATTTATCATAATTTTATTCTTAAAATATATTTTGATAAATTAAAAGATAAAAAATTATATAAATCATTGTTGATCTTAATTAAAAAAAAAATTCTAAGTATACAAAACAAAAATTTTATATTTTTAATTAATTGAAAGTTATAATAAATAGAAGCTTTACATTGAATATTCCAAAAATTAATAATAATTATTTATTACTAAATATGCCATTTAATATTTAATTATTTTGATTTAACAAACAAATATAATTGAATTAAATATCACTTGAGATATTTAGTGAATTAGTGTATAAATTTATTTTCTATTTATTCATTATTTATAAAGTTAAATATTATATTAATTACTCTGTTATATTATATTTTATATTATTTTTAATCTTTAAATATGAGATGAAGAGAGAAATGAGTAAAATAAGAACTGTATAACTATTTTATTATATAATAAAAAAATATTATATTTAAGTTCCTGCGTAATAACATTAAAAGATAGGAAAAAAAGTGAACCATCAACAACCAAAATATAATTGATGGCATATACACATAACATAATATTTTAAATATATCAACAATTCAATATTTCCAGTTTATAATTAAAAAAAATCACAATAATAAAATATGATAACACATTGCTGCTAAATATTAAATTAAATAAGTAACTAAATCATATAAAGCATAAGTTATCGATGTGAAAATAATTTAAAATGAATTTCATTTTTTCATATAATTTGAGTCTAATAAAATATTATCATTATGAAATAAAAATATCATACTTATATTTTATTTCACATTCATTTACTTCAAAATCTATAAGTTTAGTACCAATTTAAAGAGCTTATCTAAATTTACTTAAATGAATTTAGACATAAATTCACCATAAATTTTAAAAAAATTACTCGAATTTTCCTATAAAGAATTTGGTAGGATGAATGTAAACTAATTATGTTGAGAGTTTTATCTTATTTAGAAGAATTTATCAACTTTATAAAAGTAATTTATAGTTTTTTATTTTGTAAGTTATTTTAATAAAATTAAACAGTGAACTTTATAAATGATAAATAAGTTTTATTCATAAAATATATAAAATCAGTGTATTATTGTCACTAATCGAATTTAATAAGTAACGACTCTGACCCACAGAGTTAAAATTGTAGGATAAAAGAAGCCGAAAGGCAAAAGTAGGTTAAATTCAAATCCCTAATTAATTTGAAAGATAACCTAATTAATGCCACATTAGGTAAGCATGAAAGAAATAAGGCAAGTTAGAATATAAAATAGTAAAAATAATGCAAAGTAAAATAAAAATTAAAGATTTTGATTAAATAAAAAATTAAAAATAATATAAAAAAAACTTATCTGTGTTAAATTTTAAATCTCCTTGAATAAATTATCCTACTTATTTCCATTTACACAATATTTTTATCTCCTAAACCAATTAATCAAAAGTTTCAAGAATCTTCCTTATAAACAATTTAAAATACGAAGATAAAAACAAAAATAATTATTTTTAAACTAAAATTAATTAAAAAAAACGATATTTTAAAAAAGTTATTATCAAACATCTTCTACACTATTAATTTATATATGGGTTTGTTTTTATGATTTTTTTTCGTTGTAATAAGTATTTAAAAGGAAAAAAAAAGGAAATCATATTTTGCATGATTTAAAACTAACTTAAACCTAAATTAAAAGTTGGATTTTAAAGAAATGAATAAGTGATAATTTCTTACAAATTCATTTGTGCATGATCTAACTTAAAAACTTAATTAAAAATTTGTGGACAAATTTTTCTATAAAAAATTTCAAAAGATAAAATTGATATTTTTATAAAAATTATATTTTGACGGGACATACACAATGATAATATAGACAACTTATGAATTAAGAGAGAAGCTGTATACAAAGAATGTTGATGTTGTTTTGCTTCTGCATCAACTCAAGTAAAATATGACTTTTCTTCTTCTCCCACGAATCAAAGACTCCATACAACAATTCCTTCAAAAATCGATTTTTTAAGTTAAAGTCTTATTTGATGAATTAAAAGTCTATAAGTCAATGATTTATTAATTGAAGATGCAGGAAATTGATAAAGTATAACACGCATCTTGGAAGATGTTGTGTTACGTGTAAATATTGCAATTTGTTTTTTTTTACTTGTTTATCCGTAGAGACCAGAAATAAAAATAAAAAATAAAAAAGTAATTTGTTGAATTACAAATATTCATGCAAAGGATTAATATTTTTCAAATAATATTTTTTTATAAACACGAATCTATACTCCAATTTAATTTTTATATACAATATATCAAATATGAACTTTCATGTGTGCCCAAAAAGAATGACAAAATACAAGGACAAAAGACGAAATCGCAGAAGCCATGAGTTAAAGTGTTAAATATATTTTAGAAGTAAAGTTTAGGGGAGCACATGAAGCTATAAAGCTAGAAAAAAAGAGAATCCACCAAAACCAAAAGGGAATCCATTCAAGAAGCTATACATTGACTTGTATGATAAAATCACTTTCCAAAAGCAGATTAAATTCAAATATGACAATAATTTTCATATTCTTTGCTTTCAACAGGATACTGATCAAGTGCCTAATCCTTTTTCCTCTCTTTATTAATGAAAGTGTAACAAAAATAAGATAAAATAAATGAACAACTACCCCAACTACACTTCTTTCTTCATTTAAGCATTAAAGATAAATTAAGTGTTTTTTTAATCAAATAGTAGCATAAATGTTCACAATTCAAATCTTGTATACTCCAAATTTAGACTTCAGTTTACTTCATTCACTACAATGAAAAATTCATAAAAAATAATCGAATAAGAAACAAAATTATACTCTATATTAAATTATTAGTATATTATAAGTTTTTTTTTATGTATATTATTTTGAGATTTTGAATGTATGACTAAGTTTCAAGAGACAATAAAGGAAAATAAGAATGAAACTTGAAGATAGATGAAATACTAGTGATGATAATATAATCTTAACAATAATGAAGGAATAATAATAAGAATACCAAATTATAAATAAAAATGAGGTAGTTAATAATAACAATAACTTTAATAATAATATCTAAAGATGACAATGATAACACAGTACTAACAGTAAAAACAATGAAAATATAATGAAAAATAAAAGACATTAATAATGACAACAATAATAAAAGACTGCAACAAGAATATTGTTAACAAAAAATAACAATAAATGACAACAACGACACTGATGAAGAACATAAAAAAAAATCATAGTTTCAATTTTAATTAAAAAAATAAGAATATAAAATACTAATCTCATTCAAATATTCTAATATAATCAGGGAAGTAAAGTTTATAAAAAAAATAATATAATGATGATGTTGTTGTTTATATTTATAAAAAAAAAAATATATATATATATATATATAATGATGATGTTGTTTGTTGTTTATCGTGACAGAAAAATGTCTAAAATCACCACATTATTACAATTATCTTTACTCAAAAGAAAATTTTCATATATGTATTTTTTTAAAAAGATATAAAACGAATTTTACATCATACCTACAAGATTAATAAAAAAATAAATTTATATCAAATATATATAATGTTTAACATAAATTCTACTTTTTATGTTAGATCTTACATAAAAATATTAATTTTTATTACAAAAATATTTTTTTTTCTAAATATTTTTTTTCACTTATAAAATTTTACTTAGGCTACATATATACAGTTATTATTAACATTTTTTAAATAAAAAATAAATTTTTAAAAAATATTATTTTATATTAAATTGTTGTATATAAAAAAATTTAAAATTGATTTAGTTAATATGATTTAAAATTATAAATGTATTTTATTTTAACTATTTTATTCAAAGTTATTTTAAATATATTTTTTAAATAATTAAATGAGCTTCTATCTTAAATCTAAGTAGTCATAAATCTTTAGAAAAATAACTCATAATCAATCTATCACAATTTTTATTATAGTGAAATGGTTCGTTTTTAATTATATTATATAAAAAAAATTGTGATAAGTGTATTAAAAACATATTAATAATATTTTTTCTAAGTGACCTAATGGTAGTAGAAATCAAACTCAAATTTGTTTCTAGATATGCAATTAATAAAAGCTTCTCCAACACCTTTTCTGCTACCTTTTAATTGTCCTTTCCCTGTTTTAAGCAAGGTGTTTGTTTTAGAAGAGGAAACAACTACACAAGACTTCAAGTGATGACGTGGCCTTCTTTGATTGGATAAACATTACCCGCTAAAGAGCATTGACTTTAAACCACCATCATGCAGGTGATGCAACCCTCCCTCAGTTACCATGTTCTCTCTCTTTGTTCACTCATTTGTGAGTTGTTGATTGCAGTCACTCACCCATGTTCATTCCCAACAAATACTACTGCACTCTCACTATCTCTCACACTGTCTAACAACCATGTAAGCTTCTTAACTGGTTTTCCCTTTCACTTTCTTGCAAAGGCCTTGTTTTATTTATTTTATTGTCACTTGAACTTGTGCTGATTGCAGACCCTCCCTTCTGTTTTATCTCTTAAAAAAATATTACATGAATGATTAAGATGTGAATTTGATCTTCCTAGTCACACTCCCTTCCACATGCTTAGTTGCCCACAACATGATTCGTGTAAAAGTTGATCCTTTTTTGCTGTTCTGCATGATTGGTTGCTCAGAGATAGTTGGGGACTGAAGAAAGTTTCTTGCTTGATTGGTGTCTCTTACAGAAACCAAGATATCACTGCCTCTGTGGCAGAGTTTTATCCATGGCCTTTTGAGGTGTGTTTATTGGCGCTTTCTTGCAATTGGGTTTTTGTTTTTTCTTTCAAGTTCTGAATTTGGAAAATTGGTTTTACTTCTGTTTCTTACTGATCATGGCAATCGTTGTTTTGGGGAATTTTCATTCCATGATTTTTTCCTCTCCCAGTTCGTTTGTATGTAGTTTATATGGGTTTTCATGGATATTCAACTTTTCATGACAAATGGAATATAATTCTCTCTTTATGATGGATCGTAAGAATAGAATAATCGCATCCAACCTTGCCTCTTATGCTCCCTCAAATCTTAGTATCTCACACAGAGCGATAGTGAGAAAAAAAGGGGTAGAGAGGAAATATTTCTTTTTTTTTCTCTGACTGTGACAAATAACCAAACTTCATGTGTTCGCGTTTCCAATTATTAATACGTGATTACTATAGCAGAATTGTGAAGTGTCAGTTTTCTGATTAGATTTTCCATCACTTCCTATAATTGTCATCTATTCTTTTTATCCTGAAGGTGTTTGCTATTTACTTCAGTGTTTCACTTTTTTACTTGTAACAGAAGTGACAAAGCTTGAAGAATTATAGATTGATAAATTGAGGTATCAAGATGTCATATAGAAGGGTGTCTGATCAGCCACCACAGAGGCGGATATTACGGACTCAGACTGCTGGGAATTTAGGATCAGACCCAATCTTGGACAGTGAAGTGGTGCCTTCCTCACTTGTTGAGATAGCTCCCATCCTTCGTGTTGCTAATGAAGTAGAGGCTAGCAATAAAAGAGTTGCTTATCTCTGTAAGCTTCTGTTAGCGTTGCACATGTGTACTGTGTAAGATGTAGGTTATTTGACAAGTTTGGTTAGATAACTACAGGATAAAATTATTAGTCCTTTAGGGTGTGCAAAAGTTGAAGTCTAATATTGTTTACATCAATTTTATCCAAAAATAGATAACATGTTGCTAATAATCATTGAAAAAGGAAGACAAATGTAGTTGTAGCTCTCATTGATGAATTTGACTTGCCAGATTCTTGCTTTGATGGGAAATGTTTCAGAGGGTTGTTGTAAAAAATAATCTTGTGTATTATATATCATTGAATATTTTATAGAGTTTTGGGATGGGAAATTTCTTGTTAAGTTCCAAACCAGTCTTTGCACGAATGCTTAATTTTATGTCAATGTTCTTTATCTAATGCTCATGTCCTTATCGTCATTAGGTCGGTTTTATGCCTTTGAACTAGCTCACAGACTAGATCCCCAATCTAGTGGACGTGGTGTTCGCCAATTCAAAACTGCTCTTCTTCAGCGTCTGGAGAAGGTGGACTTCTGATTTCATTGGTTAAGAATTAGGAGATTTAAAAAGGCTTGTTTTATGATTTATAATTTGAGTATATTGTTGGATCAGTAAAACTGCCCCAAAAAAAAAAAAGCATCCCATGTTAGAGTAGAATATATTGATATGCAGTTGTGTGGAAATTTGAAGATATGGAATTACTTTCCATTCATAACAGGAAAATGTCACAACATATGAGGGAAGGAAGAAGAGTGATGCTCGTGAAATGCAGGCTTTTTATAGGCAGTATTACGAAAAGTATATTGAAGCATTACAAAATGCTGCTGATAAGGACCGGTGAGTTTACAATCTAATTGAATCAATAATTTGGTCATTTGACTTATTTTTTATGACACAATTATCTGTGAATTATACTAATATCTGTGAATCTAATTTCTTTTTAATTTTATAAAGAAAATACTTTAATTAACTTTATTTGATTTCCAGTGCTCAGCTCACAAAAGCATATCAAACAGCTGCTGTTTTATTTGAGGTATTGAAGGCAGTAAATCGAACAGAAGATGTTCCTGTGTCTGAAGAGGTAAAACTGCTTTATCTATTAGTCAATAAATAAAGTTTACATATAAAGATAATAATGTGTCACTCCTTCGTTGTTTGTTTTCTTTGATTATTATATTTAATTGCAGATTATGCAAGCTCATACTAAGGTTGAGGAACAAAAGCAATTATATGCCCCTTATAATATTTTGCCACTTGATCCAGAGAGTGGAAAAGAGGCTATAATGAAATATCATGAGGTTTGTTCTCTATAGTTATGTTCTAATCCCCTTTTCATTTGAATTAATGCTTGATATGTAAGGTTAGAAGAGGTAATACCTGTAGTGGAACTTTGAAACTCTTGTTAATGAAAAAAGGAAACTAAGTGAAAAGGCTGTAGAATCACTGAATCAAAAACTGATTGCCTAGAAACATCAAGTCTTTCAGTGGGTTAGCATCGCCTTTGTTACAAACACAGGCTGAAATGATTAAAAAATTGGGTAATGAAACTATATATGGTGAATAGTTTTTTCATCCCTTTTCATTTTTGGCACCTACTTATTATTACTACTTTTAGCTGATGAATAACCTGTGCTAGAATTTTGTGCAAAGTGTTGATTAGGTTGCATGTATTTATTTGCTTTTACAGATAAAAGCTGCTGTTTCTGCGCTACGTAATACCAGGGGTTTGCCTTGGACAAAGGATCATGGTAACAAAGTAAATGAAGACATTTTGGACTGGCTTCAGCTGATGTTTGGTTTTCAGGTAGTGACTGAACCGATTTGTATCTACCATTAGGTGTTTAATTTTTTATATTTCGCTCGAAGGTTATCTTCTCTGTGCTTGTGCAGAAGGACAATGTGGAAAATCAAAGGGAGCACTTGATTCTTTTGCTTGCGAATGTACATATACGACAAATTCCAAAACCTGATCAACAACCCAAGGTTTGCTTTTATCTATTTTTTATTTTCTGATGTAAACGTATTGTTTCTTACATACTTTACTTTCCCTATTTAGTTGGATGACCGTGCTTTAAATGAAGTGATGAAGAAACTCTTTAGAAACTACAAAAGATGGTGCAAGTATTTGGGTCGAAAAAGTAGCCTCTGGTGAGATTTTCATATTTTAATCTAGTAGTTACTTCAAAAGCTAGTTTATCTGAGTTTATTCAAATTGAAATTTATGCTCTTATATATAGAGCTAGTGAGTTGAGGGTAGAGGTCGATCTGTTTCTGAGTCTGTTGGCATTGTTAAGTCATCTCCTATGATGTATTGTCTATCTTGATGCTTGGTGACTTCAACACGATTTTTTCCTAAAAACAGTTTCTTAGTAAGTTAAAGGAGGAAGAAGTTTTATAAACTACTATTAGCTTTAACTTCTAAATAATGTAGGACTTTAACTATTAGAATAAGCACTTCAGTCAAGGTCAAGGGGCATGAGAAGCCTAAGCCCTCCTTCTTGTGCCAATGTTTTGACCTCAAGTCTATTAGCATCATTATGATCAGACAATACCTCTTAAACGGTGACCCTAATGATGCGAAACAAGCTTGAGGTCTATACATTATTACTAGAAGAAGAGCCCTAGGCCACTCTTACCCTTTAGCCTTGACTAGGGGGTTTGTTTTAATAGCTGTAAAGTCTCTGTATCTTTTAGATGTTAGTTTGTAAACACTATTCTCCTTTAACTTACCAAGACACATTTTCAAGACAAAATTGGGACAAAGCCATTGAGCTCTCTGTTAAGGATATGAGTTTTGTGTGTCTAGACCACAATAGAGCTATTCAATTTATAGGAGAGAAAACACAACTGCAAAATATTCAGTTTTCTTATTTTAGTCAGACTAGTGGAGATATGGTGGCTTGTCATAGTGATTTCGGTGAGGTGGTCACTGGTCAGAAAAGGTTGGTGGCAGCGATGACATTACTGGGCTGAATAGCCCTGCAACGGACAATGATGCCGGAAAACAAAAAAAAATTTATACACCACCCTTGGGTTCATTGGGATATCATGGAGGCTCTGGATACCATGTAGAGCATATGAATTTTGGGTTTCTAGAGTACAATGGAGTTATTCAGTTTATGAGAGAACATAATTGCAAAATATCCAGATTCCTTATTTTGGGCTAAATTATAAAATATAGAATCAATCTAATTGATCCTTATATCGTTAATTGACGCTAATGTCATATTATAAGATTCTAACATACATTTAACAACTTCTAAAGTGGACAATATCTTGAATTCGATGACCCCGACGATACTATTAGACTTGAGGTTGGAACAAACATTGACCTATGCGAGTTGAGTGACTTAAATGAAACCAAGCAAGTTATATAGACAAATGTATATACAGAAGGTGCATTTAATCTTGGATACGTTGATAGTATTAGTATTGTACAATTGTCTTTGTAATATTAGAAAATTGTACTTGTATATGGATTATGGTTGATAAGCCAATGAAAACTGGGATTGAGAAGGCTTTAGATTTGCTTAAGGTACAAACTGACATGTACTTTGTTGTTTTGGTACTTAAACTAGCATAGTTTGGTGTTGACAAGGCTTTTTGTTTTTTCGGTTCTTTCCTTCTTTGGGTATAGGAAGGAATTTGCTGATATACTTTATATGCATAAACAACCACTCTTGGACTTTGTAATATACTATTTTAAAGTTTTTTTTTTCCCAAATGATTGTTAGGTTGCCAACTATTCAGCAGGAAATGCAACAGCGCAAATTATTATACATGGGTCTATACCTTCTTATATGGGGAGAAGCTGCAAATTTGAGATTTATGCCAGAATGCCTTTGTTATATCTATCATCATGTAAGTATCATTAAAAAAAAATTAGTCTAAAATGAGAGATTAGATCCTTTGCCTCACTGATGGTAAATATTGGGGAAAACCCAAGTCCACATTGACTACAAATAGTGGTAAAATAAACTATATATCAGTGGAGACAATCTTAATTTTACAAACTAGTTTTATAGGATTAAGTTAAACTTAAACCGCGACCCATTAAGAGTAAACTCATTTCCACTATAAACCTCTTTTGACATTCACTACCTAGGATGTTTTTGTCTATTTTCTTAGAAATTGGGAATAGGAACCCTACAAAGCTAGATTATAGTGTAAGGACTACCCAAACTTTATAGCCTTTATTTAAGCCATATCTTTGGTCGGTGTGGGACTAAATTGCCGCCTGGAGATTGCAATGAAGGTAGTGCAGAAACAGGATACGATTATGATGGGCTAAGGATGACCGTAACTAAGGCAACTTTCAAGCACATACTCACTTGCGCCTTTTTAGTAGTTCAGAATTTTAATGTATCTATGTAAAATCTACATTCTGGTGTTTGATTTGAATGTCTAAATAATTATGAACAAAACCTAAGCATAATTTTTTCGTCAATTACCTAGATGGCATATGAGTTGTATGGGATGTTAGCTGGGAATGTTAGTCCATTGACTGGTGAACCTGTAAAGCCTGCCTATGGTGGTGAAAATGAGGCTTTTCTTATGAAAGTAGTAAAACCAATATATGATGTAATAGCCAAGGTGAGTTCTGCCTTAAGAATTGTTTTTGTTTACTTTCAACATTTGATAACCTTCTTTATTTATGTCATTGGATTTTTTTTATCTACTGTAGGAAGCTAAGAGAAGTAATAGGGGAAAAGCAAAGCATTCTCAGTGGAGAAACTATGACGATTTAAATGAATATTTTTGGTATTATGCTTCCTTTTATCTGTTTTTTTTTTTTTCAATGTACTAATTTTTATCCTTAAATATTTGATCTTTCCCAAATTGTAGGTCAGTTGATTGTTTTCGGCTAGGTTGGCCTATGCGTGTTGACTCTGATTTCTTCTCTGTACCGTTTCCTCGGGAGCAACTTCATGTTAACAAAGATGAGGTATGACATACTTCATGTCTGGTATGTGATTAGAGTTATTATACAATCGTTTAACAAGAACAAATTAGGCTTCTTAGTTATTCCCTCTTAAAAGTTATTTTTGAAAAATCCAAATGTTTTCCTCAAACATGAAACATGAATGAAGCAACATCTGTCCATGATCTTATCCTAACTGCTTGAGCCTTGTGCTTGATTTTGGAAAGTAGGAAAACAGAGTTCAGGCTGCACACCGGTGGAGTGGAAAAACTAATTTTGTTGAAATACGCACATTTTGGCATGTATTTAGAAGTTTCGATAGAATGTGGAGCTTTTATATACTCTGTTTACAGGTAATAGTTTCATTTTTGCTTTTTGATATTCAACCTTTACTTCACTCTGCATCCATTCAATCTAATGAGGGTACTGATCATGCTTTTTAATTAAGGCGATGATAATCATTGCTTGGAATAGTTCTGATGGCCAATTAAGCTCTGTATTTGATGGTGATGTTTTCAAGAAAGTTCTCAGCGTCTTCATAACTGCTGCAATATTGAAGCTTGCACAAGGTAGATAAAAAGTGTGCAACTTTTTTTTCCCATATCATTTTTCTGCCAGAACGCATCAAAGCAGAGATGGAGAGAAGCACTATATAACTCAGTTTTTCAGCCTCGTGTCTTTCTTTCCACTCCACATTTTTTTTTTCATTTTAGCAGAAAAATGTTAAAAATTTATTTCTAAATATTTATACTTACAAACTTTAGGATGGTTGTAGCTTATAAAATTCCCAAATTTGTTTATCTTTATGTTCAATTATCAAACAACAATGCGTTTTACTTAATGAACTTGAAACTTAATTATGCTGTCTTATACGCTTTTCCAGCCATTCTAGACATAGTCCTTAGTTGGAAATCAAGGAAAGTCATGTCGCTTCATGTCAAGCTGCGGTACATATTTAAGGCAGTTTTAGCAGCAGTATGGGTCATAGTTTTACCAGTCACTTATGCTTACAGTTGGAAAAATCCATCTGGCTTTGCACAAACCATAAAAAATTGGTTTGGGAATGGTACAGGCTCCCCTTCTTTGTTCATTTTGGCTATCTTCATCTACTTATCTCCAAATATTCTCTCTGCACTGTTATTTGTGTTCCCATTCATTCGGCGGTATCTTGAGAGGTCAAACAATGGTGTTGTGAAGCTCATGATGTGGTGGTCTCAGGTAACCAGAGGCATATCTGGCTTCTATGTTTATTCTTATATATTTTATAATGACATGTGTACTTTCTTATAAACCAATGTCTTTTTATCTTCCTTAAGAAATACTTCTGACAAATATTATTTCTTGTCTAGTTTTTCATGTAGATGATAGGGAGACACTGGTTTATGAGAAAAAACATATATTTAGTAGCATTTTGTCATTATTTTTTTTATTTTATTTTCTCTTAATTTTCGTGTCAACAATTTGCAGCCTCGGCTATTTGTTGGAAGAGGAATGCAGGAGGGTCCAATTGCATTGTTGAAGTAAGAATAATAAGTTAATTTCTTCAATCCTCATCTATAATCATTTTCAGTTGTCAGCTCTGTTGATTAAACTGTAACTGGATTAATTTTCTAGGTACACTTCATTTTGGATTCTCCTAATTCTAGCTAAATTAGCATTCAGTTACTACCTTGAGGTAACGATTTGATCTAGAAATATACAATCTTTTTTTTTGTTTATTTCTTACTTTTTTAACTTAATATGGTAGTGATGTTGCATTGTTATGTTTTGGCATCACAAACAACAAACAATCTTTGTAGCAACCCAGAATAGGATAAAAGAAAAAGAAAAACAATACAAAAAAACTGGGCATTTGAACATCAAGCGTAGTAGGTAGAAGAGTGCATTCAATAGCGAGTCTATAATTCTTTTATTTTTATTTGGATATTGATATATAGAAATTTTATCATATCATAGTTACTATCCTATTTTTTTTTTTTTTTTCTTTCTTGTTACTTTCTCTTTTGCAGTAAGTTCCATTTATTTCTGCTTGGAGGAGGTTTATTGACTGATTATTGGAAAATATATTTCTTATATTTTCATATTTCCATTTGATCTTATTTTCTTCTTTCTCCTTACTTTGCCTGTTATTTTTATCTGAGTCCATTTTCTAACTGGTTCACTTCTACCCAATGTCATTTTGTGCATATCAATATAGTATTTGCTTCTGTATATTATCAGGAATTCCATATCTTGGGATTATTGTAAATGATCTAAGGAGTCTTTACAAGTTTAGGAATGTATATATATCTGCAAAGGTGCAGAGTTTTTATATAGCATCTTATATTCCCGTGTTTGTGAAAATCATCAGCTACATTTTCTTCACATTGCAGATTAGGCCTCTTGTGGATCCAACAAGAGCTATCATGAATGCCAGTGTATCAGTTTACAAATGGCATGAGTTCTTCCCTCATGGTAACACTTGGAGTAAATGAAATATGACTGTAGTTAATATAATGGATTTGTTCTTACTATCATCTTCTATTACATGCAGCCAAAAACAATATTGGTGTAGTGATTGCTATATGGTCCCCTATCATACTTGTACGTTTCCATCTTTCAGTCTCATGTCTCATTGTATTATTGCTTTTGTCCTATGTGTTAATAGTCAACTAGGTGTCCTTTGTAGGTCTACTTTATGGATACACAGATTTGGTATGCTATCTTTTCTACAATAGTAGGAGGCATATATGGTGCATTTCGACGATTGGGAGAGGTTTGTCTATTATGTGTTTATTTTGATCCATAATTTCCATATTTAGAAGATTTTATCGGTAGTGTAGTTCATGTGGCTAAGCCTTTAACAACCTTCCAGCCTATGCACAAATTTTTCAGTCTTTTCAAATTAAGTCTTCTTATTTTCTTTTCATACACTTTCTTGTTGCACTTCCAACAACCCTCCTTACATAGTGAAGAAGCCTTTGTTTTTTGTTGTATTTTATTTCTCTTATCAGTGTTAAATTATCCTTTAATTATTTTAGGAACCCAAATTAGAAAATAGGAAAAAGAAAGAAAAATATTATTTCTTTATTACAGAATAGCCGAAAATAAGAGAGATAAATTTCCTCCTAGAGGTCAATTCTCAAAAGATACAATGTATAATTCCACTTTAACAAAGAGCAAATCCTAATGAGAAGCCACTGGTTGCATACTGTATAAATAGCTTACTTTAATGGACAAAAGCTGCAAATTTTGGCATATATGGCTGTTGGCAGTGGCGGATCTTGACTGTTGATCTTGGGAGAATAAATAATATGTTATTAATAAATAATAAATAAATATAAAAGGAAGAAAGATGATGAAAGGGTGAAAGGATAAAATTGTAGATATATACTTAAATATATTAAATGATCATTAAGTTTGAGAGAGATAAAATCATAAATTATATGAGAGTTAGAAAACTACGGAGGGACTGAGAGGATAAAATTGTAAATATACAAGTAAATATATTAAATATTCATTAAGTTTGGGGGGTCAAAATCATAAATTACATGGGGGTTACAAAACTTTGGGGGGGCCACGGCCCCCTCAGCTCCCAAAAAGATCCTCCACTGGCTGCTGGCATAAGGATTTCAAACTCAAAAATGGAATTTCTTAGTTGGAAATGTAAGTATGAAAAGAAACTTGGTAGAACCACACCACAAATGGCAGTCATTGTAGCGAGAGCCCTGTAAACAGCATGCTTCCAATGTACCTTACAATTGGATCCTAATATTCCGTCACAGTCCTCAGGACTAACGCCCACACATGTTAGCTGTGCACTGGTCTTTCTACTAGTCTGAAGCAAACACCTCAATGCTGACATTACTACTTGCCTGCTCATTTGCAACTGAAATCGATAAGAAGAAAGCTCAGATAAAAATGATGAGAGAATCTTGGAGGACCACACCTCCAAATCTATCCGCTATACTTAGAGAGTCCAATACCTTATAAACCTCATGCTAGAATACCATACTACTAATCTTTGACTCAAGTTCCATACCTTGAAATTGGATTAACAAAGCAACAATATCATTGAAAGTTATAAGATGATCCAGATGTAATGTTCAAAATTTGAATTGATTTCTTATACATCCTTATGTTAATTTTGTTGTACAAACTATCCTTCAAACATTGGTAAAAAAAAGCCATGCATGTTTTTTCTGCTACATTAACTGTCGTTTTATTGATCTTGAAATATGTCAGTCATTGTTTTCATTTTAATTTCAGATTCGAACATTGGAATTACTTAGGTCTCGTTTTGATTCAATTCCGGGTGCTTTTAATGTTTGCTTGATTCCTGCGGAACAGACCGAGACAAAAAAAAGAAAGGGACTAAAGGCCCATTTTTCTCACAAGTTTGATCAGGTTTTGAAACTTTTTCACATTATCATGATAGCTTTTATCTGAATATTCATCATTAGCATGGAAGGTTGGATTATATGATTTAGAGCAGACTTCTGAGCTAACTGCAAGTAAGTATCTTTGGGAGCTTTTGAGAACATGTATTCCTAACTAAATCTATCCATCATATAGAGGTTTAGAGTAAAAGTGATGGTAGGGTAACTTAGAGTAGTGCTGCATTTCCTGCCGCATAGTCCATTGGCCTTGGTTCTAGAATTTAAGATGATAAGTTTTTCCAGACACACCTTTTATGAGACATTCTTGCAGTTTAATCATACTTTGGGGGTTTCAATCATGGATTTTTTGTAAGGGTGTTTGACACTACTGAGTTGAATTTGTGGATATCATTCCTGATCTACCTGTCTTGTATTTGGTTCTAAATGTAGTCTTCTTTTTTCTATTTCGATATGATTCTTGGAGAACCTGTTGTTTCAGGTTTCTTCTAATAAAGAGAAGGAATCTGCACGGTTTGCTCAATTATGGAACAAAATAATCAGTAGTCTGAGGGAGGAGGACCTAATTGATAATAGGTAGTGCTATGACTGAACATTTTCTCAATATCTTAATTCTTTACTCTTGATGAACCTTGATTTATTACAATATTGAGACTTTTCACGTTTCCATATGAGGCCTTTAATTTTTGTTGCAAGTAACTCTGACTATAATGAAATGTTAGGGAGATGGACCTCATGCTCGTACCATATTGGGCAGACCGTTCCTTAAACCTCATCCAGTGGCCACCTTTCTTGCTTGCTAGCAAGGTTCATCTACTTGTGTTCAATTGCTTTGTGTGTTTGTGGGAGAATAATCTGTATCCTTTTTAAATAATTTAAAACTCATTATTTGTTGCACAGATCCCTATAGCTGTGTCCATGGCCAAAGACAGTTTTGGAAAAGGACAAGAACTGGAAAAAAGATTGTCAAGAGACAAGTACATGAAATCTGCTGTTGAGGAATGCTATGCTTCTTTTAAAAGTATTATTAACTTCTTGGTTCTTGGAGAACGTGAAAAATTGTAAGTTTCATATTATCTGAAATATGCATCAAAAGAAAAGATTGACAAAGTTTGATACACTGACATAGCATATGGTTTCACAAATGCAGGGTTATACAAAATATCTTTCAAAGAGTTGATGAGCACATAGAAAACAAAGTTGTGCTGAATGAATTGAATCTGAGTGCTGTCCCTAGTCTGTATGAACGATTAGTTAAACTGATTGAACGTTTGGTAACTATTTTATAACTAGTAACGTTATCTTTTCTCTTTGATTGAGTGGAAACTTCAATCAAATTTTGTCGTTATTTACTCAGTTGGATAACAAAGAGGAGGACAAGGATTCAATTGTGATACTCTTGCTTGACATGCTAGAGATTGTGACCAGAGACATAATGGATGGAGACATTGAGGGGTAAGTCATTTGAAATGTTCTGTATCCATTACTTATTTCGTAAGTTATGATCATTTTGGATTAATTATTATTCTCTTGTAGTTTGCTAGATTCCAGCCATGGTGGGTCTTATGGCAAGGATGAAAGGTTCACACCCCTTGATCAACAATATAGGTTTTTGGGTAAACTTCAATTTCCTGTTGAAACAGATATTGACGCTTGGATAGAGAAAGTAAGTTTCAGAATAACAGATGTCATTATTAAGTAGAATACAAATTATATGTTTGCTTTCAACCTCATTTTGCCCAGATTTCAGATTATCTGTGCAATTCTTTTTCTATGTTTTGTTCATTTTATGGGCTTGTTGATTTTGACAGATAAAAAGGCTTCAATTACTGCTTACTGTCAAGGAGTCTGCTATGGATGTTCCCTCCAACTTGGATGCTAGGAGGCGTATAACTTTCTTCTCTAATTCATTGTTTATGGATATGCCACCTGCTCCCAAAGTTCGGAACATGATGTCCTTCTCGTAAGCTCATCTCGTCTTTCACTTATAAAGCATGTTAAAGCATCATTTTTTTTATTTCCTATGGAGAAAATTACAACCCGTTATCTTCAGTTTTGTGAAAAGGATAACCAATCTGTATTAGTGACTTATATAAGTTTTGTATTGTATGATTGTGATATATACAATAAGGATTAAGGAACCTTTGGACGTGTAATAAATATATCCTGGATATAAACTCTAGATAAACTATATTAATGGCATTATATATCTTGATTTTGTAGTGTCTTGACGCCATACTTTGATGAACCTGTTCTTTTCTCCTTAAATCATCTGGAAGAGCCAAATGAAGATGGAGTGTCTATCCTCTTTTACTTGCAAAAGATATTTCCAGGTTTCCCCATTTCCTCTAGATATTTGTCAAAACACAGCTTATTTTGTTGTATCAAGATAGTGAACAACAATGGTTGCTGTGACTGTAGCATGCCACCTTGCAATGCAAGAGCCCGTTGGGCCTGAAATGTAGTAAAGTTTATTGTATTGAAACCTAAGCTAATTAACTAATGTTTAAGTAGAAGATTGTTGTCATGAATTTAATCCGAACACTTGGTCAACTTGGCTTAGAGCCACTTAACTTAAAATCATAAACTGTAAGGCTATGGATAAAATTTGATTTTGTAATACCAATAATCAGTAACAGATCTACAAATTTTTGGCAGTAGAGGCTAGCAAGCACAGTAGAGATGGGTAGGCTTCAATTTTTCTTACAAATATACTCGTTCATCACCATTTTGTGAATTTAGTTTGAATATAATGGGAGCAATGACCAAATACTACACCGTATTTGAAAATATGTAAAATTTAGAGGGGACATAACCCCATTACCAAGAGCTTGGTCCATCCTTACTGATGATGTACTTTTTCCTCTCATACCACCAGTCTGTTCAATCTGTAGTTTAGTTTTGTACCTGATCATGATTTACTGCAGATGAATGGAAAAACTTTGTTCAACGTTTTCATTATAAAAGTGAAGAAAAACTGAGGGTAGAGAATGAAGAAGACCTTCGTTTATGGGCATCATACAGAGGCCAGACATTGACCAAAACTGGTACGAATTACTTCCTCTCCCTCCAACCTTTCTGCATTTCTGATGCACGATTTAAGGTTACATTCTGATTGTATAATTATGAATTTCCTCTAAGACTTTTCATTTATTCTCACCAATTGAAGTCCGAGGAATGATGTATATACGACAAGCATTGGAGCTACAGGCTTTTCTTGACATGGCAAAGGATGAAGGTATACTGCACACATTCATTGAAAGAGAAAGATATGATTACTTTATCTACAATGCGCTGAGATTAATATTGCCATTTCACTTCACAGAATTAATGAAAGGTTACAAGGCTGCAGAACTAGAGAGCAAGGAAAATTCAACCAGTGAGCGGTCACTGTGGACACAATGTCGATCATTAGCTGATATGAAGTTCACATATGTAGTTTCGTGTCAACAATATAGTATTCACAAGCGATCTGGTGATTCCAGGGCAAAAGAAATTTTAAAGCTTATGATCAAGTATATCTCTCAAACCAACCTCATCACTTGTTATAGATTATGCAAACACTTGGAAGCACCTACACCTCTGTAGAATAGCACATCGCCATGTCCAATATTTTTTGACACGCTTAACGGACACATTTTCGACTCTCCTCAACTGTGTTACAATAAAAGTAAAAAAAAAAAAAAATACGGTTGAGACTATTGGACACGACTTGAACATAAGTAAAGAAAGTGAATTTACATCTATTCTTGATTAAACACTTTCTAAACTCTACTATCATTAAAAAAAAATGTAGAAAATAAATTAAAATAAAACAACTTACATTATAAATGATGTAAGACTATTTTTCTAGGCTTTTCCATTAGATTTAATTAGTTCTTTTAACGATTAGAATATATGTTTCTTATTTAGAATTCTATTGTGAGGGCTGTTATAATAGGGAAACGATAGCAGCTTAGTTTTTATTATGTGTGAATTATATAAATCTTAATTTTCAATTAAGATTTTTTGCCATTTTGATTATATATCAGCCGTGTTTCCGTGTCCCATATTTTGTACATTAATCGTATCTCAGTGTTGTGTCTAGTATCTGTCAGAGTTGGTGTTCATAGACTGTAACATTCAGTGTTAATGTTACAATTGCAGGTACCCATCTCTTCGAGTTGCTTACATTGATGAGGTTGAAGAGCATACCAAAGATTCACTTCGAAAAACAGATAAGGTTTATTATTCAGCTCTAGTGAAAGCTGCATTACCGGCAAAATCAAATGATTCTTCTGAAACAGTTCAGAGTTTAGACGAGGTACTGTTTGTAGACCATTTGCGAACTTTTGATTACTGAAGTTAATATATTGAAATTGATGAAAATCCTGCACATCTTTATATTGTAAAGCCTACTTTTGAAGGCTGTGAAAGGAAAAACAAAATTCATATAAACACACGTGCAACAGACAATTTCTACATTAAAAGCATCTGGCACATCCTGTGGCATCTTTCCCGTTGAAAGGGGAAAAATAGCAAAATGATTTTCATCTATTTTTGTAATAGTTATTGTGTAAATAATCTAACAAATACTTGACTGATAGATTCTTCTCAAACATATCCATCCCTATGACATATTCTTTACAGTAGCAATGGTTTTCAATTTGTTGATTGATTATTTCTGTGCAGGTAATTTACAGGATAAAGCTTCCAGGACCTGCAATATTGGGTGAGGGGAAGCCAGAAAATCAAAACCATGCCATCATTTTCACACGTGGGGAAGGCTTGCAAACAATTGATATGAATCAGGTCTTTCCCATTATTCATTTATATATATATATATATATATATATATATATATATATATATATATATTAAGGAAGGGCATGCTAGCTTTTGAAAAAAATCAGGTTGCTAAATATGAATGTCACAGGATAACTATATGGAAGAAGCTTTCAAAATGAGGAATTTGCTGCAGGAATTTATCAAACCTGATGGTCCAAGAAAGCCAACAATACTTGGACTCCGAGAGCATATATTTACTGGCAGGTGATCTTTTGTAACAATTTCAATTTACTTGATATAACTTCTGATATACACTATGATCTAATAGTGTTTTCTGTTATCTTTATCGACCTTATGTTTCTTGCAGTGTTTCATCCCTTGCATGGTTTATGTCCAATCAAGAGCATAGTTTTGTGACAATTGGACAAAGAATGTTGGCTTCCCCCTTGAAGTGAGTTTTTCTTTTTAGTTTCAGTATTTAAATGGAGGCTTATGATGAGATGTATTGGCAGAATACTAACCCTTGTTATATTTTATCTTTCAAAGCTCGTCTTCAGTATTTTTTCATGATGCCCTCGTACATATCTTAATTACTCAAATATATGCAATTGATGAGAATCCAAGTGTGAGTTGAAATCTCATATTGGATAGAAATGAAAAAGTTGAGTAACCTACAAGTGAGTAAAACTCACAAACCTATAATGTCTTAAAGGTTTTGGGTTGAAAGTGATGTCATATTCTTATATAATTGACTCATTTCCTATTTGTAAATATCTTCTGGTGTTAGTCCCCTTGAAAATACCCCACAATAATATTGTTGAATATAGTAAAAAACTAGGTATAGGGTTAATTTCCCTTCTGTCTCAAACACACAAAGGGTAATATATTTATAATTAAGAGTCATACAAATAAATATGGTAAATACATATATTGTGACTAATAATATCTAAAATATCTAACACTCCCCCTCAAGCTGATGCATATAAATCATATGTACCAAGCTTGTTACAAATATAATCAATTCTAGGTCCCCGTAAAGACTTGGTGAAAATATCTACTAACTGTTCACTTAAGTTAACAATCTTGATCTTAATGTCTTTAGATACAATCTTTTTCTCGAATAAAATAACAGTCAACTTCAATGTGCTTGGTCCTTTCATGAAAGATAGGATTAGAGCTAATATGAAGAACAACCTGATTGTCACATATAAGTGTCATTTGAGTGACATCTTCAAATTGTAACTCTTTAAGTAATTGCTTAAGTCAAACAAGCTCACAAGTGGCTGAAGCCATAACTCTATATTCTGCTTTACACTAGATTTTGTCACAACACTTTGTTTCTTGCTCTTCCAAGAGATCAAGTTACCTCTAATAGAAACACAGTATTCAGAAGTAGATCTTCTATCAGTCAAACAAGCTCACAAGTGGCTGAGGCCATAACTCTATATTCTGCTTCTACACTAGATTTTGTCACAATACTTTGTTTCTTGCTCTTCCAAGAGATCAAGTTACCTCCAATAGAAACACAGTATTCAGAAGAAGATCCTTCCCAGTCAGCATATGAATAACAAACAACTTTAGCTTGGTTACTGTGATCATATAATAACCCTCTTCCAGGAGATCCTTTAATGTACTTTAATATACGGATGACTTCATTCCAATGATCTGCTCATGGAGAATTAAGAAATTGACTCACCACACTAACTGCAAAGAAAATGTCAGGACGAGTAACAGTAAGATAGTTTAATTTTCCGACTAATCTTTTGTACTTCTCAGGATCTGAGAGAGGCTCTCCCTGATTAGATAGGAGTTTGGTATTGGAATCCATGAGTGTGTCAACAGATTTTGAATTCATTAACTCAGTTTCTTCTAAAATATCTAATGCATATTTTCTCTGAGATATAACAATACCATTATTGGATTGTGTTACCTCAATCCCCAAGAAATATTTAAGTTTGCCAAGATCTTTGGTCTGAAAGTGGTGATAAAGGTGTTGCTTCATTTGTGAGATGGCATGATAATCACTCCTTGTAAAAACAATATCATCAACATATATTATTAAATAGATACACCTAACACTTGAGTGACGATAAAACACTAACTGATCTGCCTCACTGCGAGTCATACCAAACTGTTGAACAACACTGCTAAATTTTCCAAACCAGACTCTAGGAGACTGTTTTAGGCCATATAAAGATTTGTGAAGACGACATATCAATCCAAAAGACTCCCCCTGAGCAACAAAGCCTGAAGGTTGCTCCATATAAATTTCTTCCTGCAAATCTCCATTAAGAAAAATATATTTGGCATCCAGTTGGTAAAGAGACCATTGTTGAAGAGCAGCCATGACTATGAATAAGCGAACAAAAACCATCTTGGCCACCGGAGAAAAGGTGTCATCATAGTCCAAACCAAAAATTTGTGTGTAGCTTTTGGTCAAAAGACGATAACTTTGAGACGAATAGTACCATTAGGACCAACTTTGATAGCAAACACCCACCTGCAACCAACAACAGATTTCCCAGACAGTAATGGGATGAGTTCCCAAGTTCCACTATTTTGAAGAACACTCATTTTATCAAGCATGGTTTGACGTCAACCACGATGGGTTAAGGCATCACCTACGTATTTGGAAATTGACACAAGAAATGAAAGACAGGTATAAAAAGGTAGAGATAATTTATGGTAACTCAAACCAGTATAATGAGGAAAATGATTATGAGTAGAAAGTATACCTTTATGGAGGGCAATTGGAAGGTCAAACTCAATTGTCGGAGCCGGAGGAGACAAAGGATTTGGCAGTAGATGTGAGTCATTTGGTGGTGGTGGTGGAGGAGAATCCAAAGGTGGGCTAATAGGAGAATCACACACAATAGAGAAGGACACTTAAAGTAAAAGGAAGACTCATTAAAGGTGACATATTTAGAAATCAAATAACGGTTAAGAGAAAGAGAGAAACACTTATATCCTTTTTATGATAGAGTAAATTCTAAAAAAACACATTTGTGTGATTTAGGAGATAACTTATCAAGACCAGGACTAAATTTATGAACAAAACATGTAGATCCAACAACTTTAAGAGGTAAGGGATGCAGGGGTTTAAGAGGAAATAAAAGAGAATGAGGAATTTTGTTATTTAGAACCAAAGATGGCATGCGATTGATAAGATAACATGTAGTAAGAATAGCATCACCCCAAAAATGTTTAGGAATCTCACCATGAATTAAAGGAGTACGAATTGTTTCAACAAGATGTCTATTCTTGCGCCAACCACCTTATTTTGTTGAGGTGTATAAGCACATGAAGTTTGATGAAGAATGCCATGAGAAGCCATAAAATGTTTAAAAGAATGAGAAAGGTATTCACAACTATTATGACTTCCCAAAATTCGAATAGAAATCTCAAATTGAGTTTTAATTTCATTAAGAAAAGATTAGAATATAGAAAACAACTTAGAACGATTTTTCATTAAAAACAACTAAGTACTTCTAGAATGATCATCAATAAAGATAACAAAATACTAAAAACCTAAATTAGACTTAATACGACTAGGTCCCCAAATGTCAGAGTGAACTAATACAAAAGGGGACAAAGCACGTTGTGAGACACTACGAGGAAATGAACTACAACTATGTTTCCCTTATTGACATGACTCACATAATAAACTTGATAAATTGGGCAACAAGGTGCTGCAATTTGACAAGACAGGGGTGACCTAGTTGAGCATGGAGGAGAGATGGAGACTCCATAACTGTACCAACATGTGTAGAAGGGGAGAGATGATAAAGACCATGAGACTCACATTCAGTGTCAATCATTTATCTCGAATTCTGGTCCTGTAAACAAACAAAATCTTTGGTAAAAGAAATAACACAATTAAGAAAATGGGTTGGATGACTAATAGATAATAAGTTAAAGGGAGACCTAGGGATATAAAGAACATTATCAATGGATAAAGATGAAAAAATTTTAACAGTACATGAGGCAAAACCTTAGACCTATTAGTCATTGTAATTGAAGGTAAATTATTCGGAGAGGATAAAGAAGAAAACAAAGATTTGTTCCTAATAATATGATTTGTGGCGCCTGAGTCAAGAATCCAAGGTCCAATAAAAGGAGATTGAGTTAGGTTAACAAAAGATATACCTGTGAGTGCAACAAAAATAGTGGAACTAGAGTTCTGACGAGCTTCATATCATTTGAAAAATTCGTTGAAAATAGCATATTTGGTTACGGTATAAGATGACATAGGATCCATAGTAGATGATTGTGAGGTAGCAGAAGAAGCCATGGAGGAAGAGAGAGAAAAACCCTAAAAACTTTAAATAGCACGTGGAGACTCCAATCACAACGATCTCAATGGCGCGGTAATTGCCTAGTTGAGATAAGCAGAACAGTGTGGTCGTCAGTCTGAATTGTAACTTGGGCGGCGACAATGGCTCCGGCGATGGTGGCGGCTCCGATAGCGGAGGCGGTGGCGGCAAGTGCAGGGGCAGTAGCGCTGTCAGTGAAAAAAAAAAAGAGAACTTAAGCTCTAGATACCATGTTGAATATAGTGAAAAACTTGGTATAGGGTTAATTTCCCTTGTGTCTTAAATACACATAGGGTAATATATTTATAATTAAGAGTGATACAAAGTGTGGGAAATCAAATAGTATTTTAGGAAAGAATAAATTAGGAAATTTGTAATCTTTACAGATTTGAACAATTAGGAACAATCCCATAAATCAAGGGATCCTAGAATAAAATAGAGTTATTATATTTCCTAAAATAGCTTAGGTCTCCTATATATATCTTGTATGATCTCTTTGCGTTAAAATAATAAAATAAGATTTCATTTAATCTAATTTTCCAGATGGTATCATAGCTTCTGATCTAGAAAGTTCTGTCTGCGCACTATTAACCCTAAGACGATTTGTTGCTACATTTTTCTTAACCCTAAGACAGCAGCCTACATTGCTGTTGCATCGCACCTTCTTGCTATAATGTCAAGGGAAAAGGAAGTTGTCAACCCAACCCCAAAAACGAGGAATATTCAGTCCCAGCAATCTGGAGAACTGCAGAATATTCATTCTGCATATAAACTAAATGGAAGAAATTATTTGAAGTGGGCCCAACTTGTTCGTACAGTGTTGAATAGAAAGGGGGTAGCCGAACAGAAGAAAGGAGGATCAGTAAATGTGGAGAAGAAAGGTGATGGTCTCTGGTGTACCTACTGCAATAAGCCTCGTCATACCCGAGAGAAGTGCTGGAAGTTACATGGGAAGCTTTTAAATCGAGATCAAGAAGGGGGACACAGAGGAGGCTCCTTTAGGAAAGAATGACAAGTTTATGTTGCTGCTGAAACAAATGAAGGAAATAATCCAGAAGTTGCTGCCCATCTTAACCAAGAGGAGATAGAAAGGGTGAGAACCTTTCTTAGTAAGCTGGAAAAACCTACAAGTGTGTGTTCTTTGGCATACTCAGGTAAGTTTTCACTTTCTTTTCGATTAAATGTCTCAGATACACCTTTTAACCATTATTGGATATTGGACTCTAGAGCCACAGACCACATGACACCATTACCCAAACACTTCTCCACATATTCCCCATGTCCCAGCAACAAGAAAATTGCCACAGCAGATGGAACCCTTATAACTGTAGCTGGTCAAGGAAATATCCAAATCAATCCTTTAATAACCTTAAAAGATGTTCTCCATGTCCCAAAGTTGTCCACCAACCTAGTGTCTATACAAAAACTTATAAAGGATTTGTCATGTAAAGTTTTTTTCAACGATCATTGTGTATTTTAGGACAAAGATTCAGGGAGGATGATTGGACATGCTAGAGAATGGAATGACTTTTATTATCTCGAAGATCCAAGTCTGTCCAACAAGAACAAAATCTCTCACTCCTTCATATCTGAATCCTTGATGACCAATAGAGAAAAAATTATGCTTTATCATTGTCGATTGGGACATCCCTCTTTTGGAGTGATCAAAATAATGTTTCCCTCTCTGTTACCAAGTTAGATGTTGAGAGTCTTCATTGTGAGATGTGTGAACTTGCTAAGCACAAGCGTGTAAGTAATAAATTAGAAATTTCCTTTTTTATCTTGTTCATACTGATGTATGGGGACCTTCTAATGTTCCAAATGTGTCTGGTGCTCGATGGTTTGTTTATAGATGACTGTACAAGGGTCACTTGGGTTTTCCTACCCATAAAACCTTCCTATTAAACCTAAACATTGTACTTCTACCTAATATCCTATCTGAGGCATTGTCTGACAGAAAATAGAGGCAAGCCATGGATGTAAAGATGGAGGCATTGGATAAGAACAACACCTGGGAGTTAGTCACCTTACCAATAGGAAAGAGGTCAGTTTGATGTAAGTGGGTCTATACAGTGAAATACAAGGCTGATGGATCAATTGAGAGATATAAGACAAGACTAGTTGTCAAAGGGTTCATCCAAACCTATGGAGTTGATTATTTGGAGACCTTTGCTCCGGTTGCCAAAATGAACACAGTTAAGGTGATATTGTCCCTTGCTGCCAATTATGGTTGGAACTTGGAACAATTTGATGTTAAGAATGCTTTCCTACATGGAGACCTTGAAGAAGAAATATATATGGAGATACCTCCGGGATATGGTAGAGATGTTGTTGCCAACACTGTTTGCAAGTTGAAAAAGGCATTATATGGGTTAAAACAGTCCCCCCGTGCATGGTTTGGCAGGTTTACTAAAGTTATGACAGGTCTGGATTACAAACAAAGCCAAGGGGACCATACTTTGTTCTTTAAACATTCTACGTCAGGGGGAGTAACAATATTATTGGTGTATGTGGATGACATAATATTAACTGGAGATAATAAAGAAGAACAACAATTGTTGAGTCAATGCTTAGGCAAGGAATTTGAGATCAAGACCTTGGAAAAACTAAAATATTTTTTTTGGGAATTGAAGTTGCTCACTCCAAGAAAGGGATATTTATATCCCAACAGAAATACATCACTGATTTGCTCAAGGAAACTGGCAAGGCAGCTTGCAAACCTGCTAGCACCCCATTAGAACCAAACCTAAAGCTTGAAAATGCAGAGGATGTTGCTGTTGAAAAAGATATGTATCAGTGATTAGTGGGCAGACTTATATATTTGTCGCATACCAAGCCAGATATTGCCTATGCAGTGAGTTTAATTAGCCAATTTATGCATAACCCAAAGGAGACCCATTTATAAGCAGCCCACAGAATTTTACAGTACCTTAAAGGAACTTCAGGAAGAGGGATTCTATTCAAAAGGAATGGTAATGTGAAGCTTGAAGCCTATACTGATGCTGATTATGCAGGGTCAATTGTGGATAAAGGTCAACTACAAGATATTGCACCTTTCTTGGAGGAAATCTTGTGGCTTGGAGAAGCAAAAAGCAGGGTGTAGTTACTCGGTCCAGTGCTGAATTGGAATTCCGAGCTATGACACAAGGTATATGTGAGTTGCTATGGCTTAAAATCATCTTAGAAGATTTGAGGATAAAATGGGAAGAACCTATGAAGTTCTATTATGATAATAAGTCAGCATAGCCCACAACCTAGTGCAGTATGATAGAACAAAACATATTGAAGTAGACAGACACTTCATCAAAGAAAAGCTTGATAGTGGCTTGATATGCACTCCATATGTGTCATCTCAAGACCAAATTGCAGATATTCTTACCAAGGGACTGAGCTGCCACAATTTTGAGAAGATTGTATCTAGGGATGGCAAAACGGGCTAGGCCCGGCAGCCCGCCATAATATGGCGGGGGCGGGTTGGTGTTTTCAGCCCACCAGCCCGCTTTGGCCCAACCCGCCAGGCCTGTCAACCCGGCGGGCCAACCCGCGGACGGGCGGGCCAGCTGCGGCCCGCCTAATTAATAAAAAAATAATTTTTTATTGTAATAAAATTAATTATAAAGATAATATATAAAGTTAAAATTTTTAAAAAGAGAATTAAAAAAGTTTCACTCTCACAGCAAATATTCTCCTTACTGAAACACAACATTCTCTCATGTTCTCCTTGTTCATCCTAAGCACCGATTATTTTTATCCTTATGACTTGAATTAAAGGTATAAGAATTACTCAACCAAGAATAATGTGAAGTTTTATCAAATAAAAAAGATATAAGTATTTGAATTTTTCAATATAAAAAATATAAATTTTATAAGTTTTAACGTTTTATATATATATATATATATATATATATATATATTTGTTATTATTTATTATTATTTATTATTATGTAAATTTGATTATTGTTCTAAATTATAATTTCTTAAAACAATGAATTGATTTATATTATTAAATTGAAATAATATATATATATATATATATATATATATATATTGAATTATTGGCAAACAAATAATAATTTTATTATTAAATTTATTAAAAAAAAATTTAAAAATAAATTATTTTTTTCTAAATTATGGCGGGCCAGCCCGCCAACCTGTCCCTTGGCGGGACGGGCCAAGGTTTATAGCCGTCTCGTCCCGCCCGCCCGCCCCGCTTTTGGCGGGCCAAAGGCGGGGCGGGTTGGCCCATTTTGCCATCCTTAATTGTATCTAAGCTGGGAATGAAAAACACCTATTCCCCAGCTTGAGAGGGAGTGTGGGAAATCAAATAGTATTTTAGGAAAGAATAAATTAGGAAATTTGTAATTTGTACATATTTGAACAATTAGAAACAATCCCATAAATCAAGGGATCTTAGAATAAAATAGAGTTATTATATTTCTTAAAATAACTTAGGTCTCCTGTATATATCTTGTCTGATCTCTTTGTATTAAAATAATAAAATAAGATTTCATTTAATCTAATTTTTCAGGCAAAGAAATATGGTAAATACATATATTGTGACTAATAATATCTAAAATATCTAACAAATATGATCTCCAAAACTCTGCTAGTGCTTTTAACAGCAAACTTGTTACCTTTCTCATATAGCCCTTCAATACATAAATGAGTATGCTATCTAGTCTAACTGCGATGCCTTTTGCAAACCTCTCAAATGTTTTTGTAACCCTCAGGTTGAATTCTAGCATGTATAATTAGGCCTCATCTTTAGTGTTTAGCCTATCTTATATTAAAAATGGATTTCAGAGAAAAACAAAATAAAACACCTTTTAGCAATAGGAGTCTAGTTCTCATAATCATAATCAAAGTTACTCAAATGTAGAAATGCAAAGAATATAAATATTAGTTATATTTTCCTACTTTTTTCAGATATATTCTATGTTTCTTTGTTACAGTCGGTCAAAGTGCTGTGTTACAATTCAGATGTTATTCAATTGAAATTGTAGTCTACATCTCTCCAATCCTGTGTCAATTATTGTTTGATGGTATCAGTAATGTTATTGTTCCTTTCATTCAGAGTGCGGTTCCATTATGGCCATCCAGATGTGTTTGATAGACTTTTCCACCTGACAAGAGGGGGTGTAAGCAAGGCTTCTAAGGTCATCAACTTGAGTGAGGATATATTTGCAGGCATGTATTCTAGTTCTCTTCCTGGATCATGTATGTAACTTGTTTCTGTTTCTTTCAAAGAGTTATCTAATAGTAAAAGGTTCTTTATGATGTGCAGGTTTCAATTCTACATTACGTGAAGGAAATGTCACACATCATGAGTACATACAAGTTGGTAAAGGAAGGGATGTGGGTCTTAATCAAATATCAATGTTTGAAGCAAAAATCGCTGCTGGGAATGGTGAGCAGACAATGAGTAGAGACATATACAGGCTTGGACACCGTTTTGATTTCTTCCGAATGCTATCTTGCTATTTCACTACCATTGGCTTCTATTTCAGTACCCTGGTATACATGAACCTACCTTACTTATAGCATATATGAATTTGATCTGTAGTAAACACTGACTTTGATTTTGACAGATGACTGTCCTCACAGTTTATGTATTCCTTTATGGACGCCTCTATCTTGCCCTTAGTGGACTTGAAGAAGCTTTGAACAAACAGAAAGCTATTCAAGACAACAAAGCGCTTCAAGTAGCTCTTGCTTCTCAGTCAGTTGTGCAAATTGGATTTTTGTTGGCATTGCCAATGTTGATGGAAATTGGCTTGGAGAGGGGATTTCGTCAGGCATTAAGTGAATTTGTACTTATGCAGTTACAGTTGGCTCCTGTATTTTTCACATTTTCTCTTGGAACAAAAACACACTATTATGGAAGGACATTGCTTCATGGAGGTGCACAGTACAGAGGCACCGGTCGTGATTTTGTGGTGTTTCATGCCAAATTTGCTGATAACTACAGGCTCTATTCTCGCAGCCATTTTGTTAAGGGGATTGAATTGGTGATTCTGCTTGTGGTCTACCATATATTTGGCCATGCATACAGAGGAGTGGTTGCCTATATTTTCATTACCATAACCATGTGGTTCATGGTAGGGACATGGCTTTTTGCTCCCTTCCTTTTCAATCCATCAGGCTTTGAGTGGCAGAAGATAGTTGATGACTGGACAGATTGGCATAAATGGATAAGCAACCATGGAGGAATTGGTGTATCTCCCGATAAAAGTTGGGAATCCTGGTGGGAAAAGGAACATGAGCATCTCCGGTACTCAGGAAAGCGTGGTATTGCTACTGAGATCATATTAGCCCTCCGTTTTTTCCTATATCAATATGGCCTTGTATATCACCTGTCAATTACTGATAAGACTCAAAGTGTTCTGGTAAGTTCTTTCTTACCCTGCTCTCCTAAGGAGTACTCCTTTTTTGCCTGCATATAATCTCTCCCTTATTCCTAGCTACTAGAATTTCAGTTTAATTGTTGTTACTATTGGCTCACAGGTTTATGGTGTTTCATGGATGATAATCTTTCTAATATTGGGCTTAATGAAGGTGAGATTTCACATTATTATATTCTCTATCGTTAAGATTTGGTGTAATCATTTTTCAGGGATGCTGCTGAGTGCTCTGCATGCAAACTGGCTGAAAAATGTTTATTTTAGTTTATGAACACCCCATTAATGAGTTTTAGTTATTATGTGACTTAAAAAATAACAAATAGTTATATGGTAAAACCAAGATTCACCGCGAGAAGTCTTAACTCTGCATGACAAAAATAATTGAGACACTTCTACTTTTGCGACCTGTGTTTGGTTCAGTTAATGTTTGACCATGTAGAAGTATTAACCGCATTACTAAAATAAATTGACACTTATTTTGGCCTCCTGTGTTTGGTTCAATTAAATATTAAAAGCCCATCTTTTGGTTTAACTTCTAAGTACAATCTCTATGCTTTCTTTACCATAGGTGCGTCTTTTCTCACTGCAAAATGACTAATAAACTTGAGATGAAGAGAACTGTTATCCACACTCGTTTTCTCTTACACCCCTTACTCATCCCTTTCTTAATATTGAATTTTGCAGGGTATATCTGTTGGCAGACGACGCCTCAGTGCAGACTTCCAACTTTTATTTCGATTGATTGAGGGTTCAATTTTCTTAACATTTCTTACCATCTTCATAATTTTAATAGCAGTTGCTGGTATGACAATTAAGGACATAATAGTCTGCATCCTAGCAGTCATGCCAACTGGCTGGGGGTTGCTGCTGGTCAGTAAATACTTTTTTCTTTCTTTACTCACATGTTCTTTCAAGTCAATATATAATTTGATCCATGTCAAAGCTCTTAATCAGGGCAATGCATGTTGTTGCCACTCTTACCAAAATCATTCCTTAATGTTGCTACAAGCTAGAAATTTCATTGTGAAAATATAAAAATGGGACACCACAATATCGCTTCTCATAATCAAGTTTGAGCATATATATATACTAATTACATTTTCTTTGTCATTTGTTTTTGCTCTCTACAAAGATTGCACAAGCTTGTAAGCCTGTCATTGACAAAACTGGGTTCTGGGGGTCGATTCGAGCACTTGCTCGTGGATATGAAGTAATAATGGGCTTGCTTCTCTTCACACCAGTTGCTTTCTTGGCATGGTTCCCTTTTGTTTCAGAGTTTCAAACTCGCATGCTTTTCAACCAAGCTTTCAGTAGAGGTTTACAGATTTCTCGTATTCTTGGTGGACAAAGAAGTGATCGCTCCTCCAACCACAAAGAGTGATAGAGCCTCATTTCATCTATTATCTTTTATCAAACGTTTCAACCATTTTTGGTTACATTATTTTAAGAGTTTTGACTGCATGTCATATTCTTTAAATAATGTAACCACACAATATTGGATGATAATGATTAATGAAGGATAATATGATATTTTTTTGTACATTTCTATATTTATACTTGCTTTGTAAATGAGGTTTTACAACCTATTCAGACGTAGAACATTGTACATACATGCTACAGCATGGATTACAGTTTGAAAGTTGTATCAGCAAAAACAAGGTTCTCTAATCTGTAAAGTTTACTAGGTTTTGTAATATCTATACCCACTTTTTAAGTACTCATTATTTTCCTTTTGTTTATAGGAAAATAATAAGACAATCAATTACGAAAAGATTGTAGAAATCTAATCTAAAATCCTAACTTAAAAGTTATGTGAGGAACAATAACTAAATATAATGAGTTATTAGGATTATGTAGAAACAATAATAAAAAAAAAAAACCTGTTCAAGGAAAACTTCTGAATTTTCAAATATCATTAATTTTGTATAATATATATGAAAACTAATGTGTTTGAATTTTTTAGAGATGGAGGGGTCACAGGTATATCTAATTTGGTGGCTTGTCAGGTATTTTTGAAGACAAAACCGTTGTTTTGAATTAATGGCTTTTCTCGCAGTCCAATCTTGTTGAAATAATGGGACCTATTCGTGTTTATGATAAATGATAACATAGGTTAGAAAGTTCCTCAATATTCGTTGTAGAATCATTTCAAAATATTCACATCGATTTTTAATATCTTCTATTTAGATGGTATAATCTGATAAGAGATCCCATATTTCTTATATTTATAGAAAAGGGATCATTGCGTTCATAAACTTGTGTGCTTTGATGTAAGAGAAAAATATAATTAGTGATAAGTAGTGTTTTTTTTATTTATTTTATGTTTATGTATATAATATAATATTATATATTTAATTTATAGATTGAATTTTTTTCACCTCTAATCTTTTTCTTTAAGTTGTATTACTAGTCTTAAGATGATCTTAAAGGATGTATCAATGTAATTTAATGAGGATCTATTTCTAGAAATATTTTTTAAAAAGTTATAATAATTTCAAACACTAGAAAAAAATTATAAAAAACATTTTATTGAATTATATTATAGAATCATTTGCATAAAAAACATTTTATTATTATTATTTAGGTATAGGTTTGTTGGCTATAGACACTCATAATATCATTAAATTCAATTTTAATTTCTATAAAAACTTAATACATTTTTAGTTATCAAAAGTGATAATTTTTAGTTCTCATTAAGAATTAAAAACAGATATTTGTGTAAGAAAATGAAAACTAAAAGCATAGTGAACTTTTACAGAAAGATATTTCAAAGAACTAAAAAATATATTTTACGTACATCTTAGGCATCTCATTTATGAAGAGCAAGATGGAGTAAATTAATGGAAGTGTGATGAATGGTGAAAAATGAAGTTGAATAAATGCATCATGCACTTGAACCACCATATGAGTATCATGCATTGCTTGCGCCAAATTTAATGGTATGAAACTTTAGACAATCTCCATTGTTGTTCACACTCTCTACTTGGTTTGAAATAATGTTTGGTCGTACCAACCAAAAGTATATATATAATTCCATGATGTCTTTGAGTTTAAGAAAATTTCCAATCAATCAAATTTAATTATTCAAAACTTTGTTTTGAAGCATTTGGTGTCATCCTCATTCCTATCTCAAAAGTTCAAAAAGAGAAAGAAAAGAATATTTGTGACTCATATCACCAATGAAGTTGAAATGATTTTATAGTAATTGATTCAACAGTGACTCATATCACAAATACTAAATTCAAAATCTACTCACACTATCACCTTAGCGTAAGATCCACCATGCCATGTTTATAAATAGAATGTATATGGTATTAATAAAGGTTTATTAATTTAAATGATATTTTAATATTTGTTATTTAAATAGATTCATGCATGTATTAAACATATAAGAGTGCCTCTAGTGGTTATTTTTTCTTTATTTCTTATGTTAAAAACAATGTTTTTTTTTTCTGAAGAAATTTATATTAAAATAAATCTATGCAGTGTTCTGAAACTTTTTTTCCTTTAAATGAGATCATTATCCAAGAAATTGTGTTTATTTTTATTTTTTATATAAAATTTGTTTCAAATGACTATATTAATTACCATATACAATTTTTAAATTTTTAATGTATAAAAAAAATCTAAATTAGTTTCTCTAATAATAAATGTCTTAACTCAACAATAAAATCATAAAATATTTATTTAATCCATATATAAATAACATAAAACTAAATATTTAAAAATAGTGATCAAATTAATAATAAAATGATTTTAAAATGTATTTTGCATATTAATTATTTATTATAAATTCATCATCTACCTCTTCATTTTATATATTTAATGTGTATAAATTGAGTGAAAGAAATAAGATAATGAATATATTTATATAAGGATAAAATATTGTAATTATAAAAAATAATAGAGATATTTATCTTCGAATGTTAAAATATTCACTTAAAATAAAATATTCACTTAACATAAGATTATATTCGAATATTGTAAAGATTTTGGGTATGATCATTGTACTTAAATATTAATATTCCAATATTATGTTATAATTAATATATTTGAATATTATCGAGGTATTCAAATATTATTATTCAAATTTTATGTTATAATTAATATATTCGAATATTATCGATATATTTTATTATAGTTTATATATTCGAATATTAATATTGTTGAAATATTTTATTTAAATATCTTATTAATTATGTAGTTTAACTATTTTTCGAGACTAAGTGGATAAATACTAAAAGAGGAATGAATAAAAAATTCTGTTCATTCAAGAGTGACTTGAAAATGCAGACTAATTTTAAGGGTTAAATTAAATTAGTATCATGTTGCAATGTGAAAGAGGATTAAAATGATATTTTTGACAGTTAATACGATATTTTATAACTTTAGAAATTGAATATATTAATACTTATGAACCAATTTAATGAGAATATATTTTTGAAATAGGAACTGGAAGCGTATTGACTACTTCAAAAGGTGGTAGAAGCGTCCAATACAATGCCGAATTCTTTGAAGCAATCAAGTGTGAAGGTTTTGCCGTCCACGGCCCGCTTCTACGATGTGGGACATGGCATAGAAAAAAAGATGTAATTTAAGGCCAAAATACAGTGAAAAATAAAAGTCCTCGACTTTCACAACCTGTTCCTACTATTCAACCGGGTGGCACGCATTTGAAGACACTTATCTTATTATCACCAAAAGACAACAAAAGTGGAAAAATGAATGCATGCATGTTCACTTCATAACCCAACGCTGACGTTAAGACTTATCTGGTTATCTATCTTGAGTGAGTCTTTGATTATCATTCCAATTCCACCCCATTACAAAACCCATTTTCGGGTCTAAATTTTTATTTCTGAAAATTGGCACTTCATTGTCACTCTTTCATTTGGGGTTGGAAGAACCCATTGGAGTGATCTAAAGAATGATGAGGACGTTTTACTAGTTAATAAATGGTGAATTCACCCCATTGGTCACCAAATTCAAAAGGGTAACCAGAATAAGTTGCTCTTAAAATCTCAACCTTTGCCATGGCTTTAAATAATCTAATAAATTTAGAAATTTTGGCTCTTAAGACGCGCTTTCTTTATCCCGCGCAAGGAAGTTGACTTTGGTAAGAATAAAGAGAAACCAGCCAACTACTTTCAGCTCTATTAAAGAGAAAAATATGAAATTTCAAAACAAATAATATTTTAAATAAAATAACTAAGCTTAATAATACTTACTTTATTCATATTTCTATCATTCATGTTTTATACAACAGTCATTTGACACAGGAGAATAATGGTGCTTGATTCATTGGATTCCAATCCATGTAGATTATTTGGTTTAATATTATTTTTTTAAATTTCTTTTGTTATTTTTTAACAATGTAGAATCATTATAAAATAGAAATTCAAAGACTAAAACATAAAATTAATGACAGATACATATTAAAATATAAAACTTTTAAATATAATACCTAATATGAAAACTTAACTGGATTTTTTAGAGTTTAATGTCTCTGCAACATAAAATGTTTTACACAATCAGTTAATCACTGTCAAAATAATTATAGTTAAAGTTCTCTACATTACACTCTATTACAAAGAGCATACTAGATTCTCTTTTGTTTCGAAATACACAAATGCGTGTGTGGTTTGTGAAAATAAGAATTAAATATTTTAACCAAAATTAAATATAATTTTTTTTTTAAACTTAACTGATGAGTGTTCTGTGAAATTTTATAAATTAAAAAGAACATAATTAATTTCAGAGCTTAATTTATTACTATAAATAAAAATTTGTGTAAGAATTTCATCTTCTTAATTAAATTTATAGATTTAGAATTTAGGGTGTAGAATTTTTTTTACCTAAAATTCTTGTAGGCTTTCATTTTTATCATATTAGTTAGTGTCGTGCAGCCAATGTAAGCACAAACACCAAGGAAAAAAAAAAAAAAAGCAAGAAAACAGAGAGAGAACAGAGTGACTTAGAGGGGGACATGAAAGTGAGTCAATTCAGTTTTGAATTCCAACCGCTCCACCCATCTTGATTCCTTCACCAAATCCCACACACACTTTCAAAATCCCATTTTTTAAAAGCCCTCCTCTCTTGCAATACCATACCATCCCATGTCTAGTTTTCCCACAATCTCATCGTTTTTCAGTTGCTTAATCTCTGTCATTTGATCGTATCACACACACACATACCCTTTGCTTCAATTCCAATCCTTCAACCATAATCATTCACTCACTGCTCTTCAGCAAAACCATTCATTCCTATTTACTACCGTCCATTCTCTGTTTTTCCCTGTTCATCCATCATCCAATTCAATTCTATTCATTCAATTCAACCCCGCAGAGGCGTTGAATTCAACACCCATCTCCCTCCCCTCCCGGGTTCTCCAAAAGCCGCAATCTTGGGAGGAATTGAGTCATGGGGGTTCAGAAAGACAGGGTGAAATTCAACGTGGGTGGCAGGGTGATGGAAACAACCGCAACGACCCTCGCCAATGCAGGGCGCAATTCGATGTTCGGGGCAATGTTCGACGACAGTTGGAACCTGATACTACAATCAAACAAGGAGGGCGAGAGATTCCTCGATCGCAACCCGGATTGCTTCGGGGTTCTGCTCGATCTGCTCCGAACTGGGGAACTCCACATCCCAGCCAACATCCCGGAGAAGCTCCTCTACAGGGAGGCCCTCTACTACGGCCTCTTGGACCACGTGCGCGCCGCCAAGTGGGGCCCATTTGACGGCAACAGGTTAAGGTTGTCGCGGTCTCTGCAGGGCCAGGCCCCGGGTGACGGAACAGCCATTCGGGCAGGCCCCGATGGTGGCTGCTGCGTTGCGCATGGCAGCATGGTTCATGTGTATGATTGGATGTTGGATGAACACCCTCCTCTTAACCTCGATTACCAGAGGGTTAATGATGTTGGGTGGGTTGACTCCGACAACGTTGTCATCGGAGTGAGCGAACGCCTCGGGAGGGGAGATGGTGGGATGGGACTGTTCAGTTCACACAGCGGGGAGCTTAGGTATAAGTTTCAGGTTTGTCACGAGAATCAAGTGAAGAGTTACACTGCTGGGGCTTTGAGTTTTAGTTCGGATTACAAGATATTTTCTAGTTGTAAGGGGAGGAGTAATGAGTATGGGGTAGGGGTTTGGGACCAGGTAACTGGGAAGCAGATTGACTTTTTCTACGAGCCTTTGGGGTGGTCTCTTGGGGATGCTGATAAGCTTCAGTGGTTGGAAGGGAGTAATTGTTTGTTGGTGGCTACTATGTTTCCGAGGAAGGACAACTGTTACATTAGTCTATTAGATTTCAGGGAGAAGAAAATGGTGTGGTGTTGGTCTGATATGGGGGCTCCTTTTGCCGTGGATGAGAAACGGGTGAGGGATGCTATTGCCATGGAGGATAATAGTTCCATTTGTGTGGTGAATGAGTTTGAGGATTTGGGGTTCATGGATTTGAGAAGTTCTGCTGCCACGAGTATTAGGTGGAGCTCCAGAAGTAGGTTGATGAAGGGGAAGATGCCGGAGGAACCCTGCTATCCGAAACTGGCACTCCATGGGGGACAGCTTTTTTCCTCCATGAATGATTGCATTTCGGTGTTCTGTGGCCCCGAATGGGTTTTGACCTCTAGGCTCAGACGAAGCTATGGGGGTTCAATATGTGACTTTTCCATTGGAGGGGACAGGCTTTTCGCGCTTCACAGTGAGGAGAATGTGTTTGATATTTGGGAGACTCCAACACCACCAATTATATGATTTAGATTTAGATCTACTTTTAGTTTTAGTTTATGGTTACTTTTCCTTGGTCTGCTATAAAACCATACAACTTCTGGTTTTCTATATAGTGTTGAGTTTTAAACTTGTATATTCGAGATTGAGGAGTAGTTTGTAACTTGTGATACATTTAGGTTTAGGTGTGATGGGATATGTGAATATCTACAGAGAAAGATGATACATATGGATTTCATACTTCACTTCACTTAAAGTCTCTTGCAGATTCTAAATTGGACCATCCTCCTTATTCTGTCTCTTTTTTGCTTTTTGAAAGGACATACCCTCATCCTGAAGGGTAAAGTGACTGTCTGACCTTCAAAATGATGAAGGGAATCATGCTAGTGTAGTCCCTTCCCATGTGTGAGCTATTGTAAGCTGTAACACTGCACCTTGGCTTGAATGGAATGGCTTGTAACCAATTATGGTTGAATGTGAACTTTTCATTAGACCAAAAGAAAATGTGTACTTCTTTTTTATATACTTAAATTTCAGCAATATAACCTAAATAACAAAACATTGTCATAGACTGAATCCACTGTGCAACACTCCACGTGCTTTTATATCCCTCAGACAACTTTACAACATGATTCTTATTCCAACGTCATAACAAGAACCCCACTGTTCAGTGGCTTGACATTGGATAATCCGAAAGTTGGTAACACCAATAACCCTAATAAATGTCAACTTTGAGAGCAGCAAGTAAATTTCTCGCTATACGTGATATGAAAATTTTAACCATTTTAAACAATGTCGAAAATGTAAAAACAAAATTAATTAATACATAGAAAAATTCATGAGAAAAAGTGCAACTATACCTGATTGAGCTTCGCTTCAAAAATGTAATGGACGAGAATCTCTAGGGGCAAGTTCGTGGAAAGCAACATCATTTTGCTCTTTATCGTACACATGACACACTCTCCTGATTCTCTTTCATCGATCTCAATTCCAATTAGCCTCATTCAGACACTGTCGAACCATCGCAAACAAAACAAATTAGAAATAATAGCAACGATGATATTTTCTTCGAGTGATTGATTATTGGAATAAACAAAACTTCCAAATCTTTTTCTTGGACTACATCTACGATAAGTTTCAGTGGCAAAGAAATTTTCTAAAAAAATCATTTTTTAAAAAAAGAGAAAGTAAAAAGAGTCATTACTTGTTAATTAAGATAACAATTTTTCTTCCAGGGATTTATGGGCTGCTCTTAATTTAAACTTGTTTGTTTATAATGTTATTCTTTATTTATTTTAAAAAATATATAAAAAATTATAATATCATATTATATTTTTATCTCTTATCTATTTATTTTAATGAAATATTATAAAAAATATTTTTGTTTAGTTTTTATTTAATTTTTATAGTAAACTAAAATTATGGAATAAAAATTATAATATTTCAGAAAAAGCTTTAATTTCCCTTAGTGGCCGTAAAAATATAGAAAAATAGAGAGACCACAAATTAAAAAAAATATTAATTGTCTAGTAAAGTAAAATATATGAGAAATAAGAGTACTTCTTTAAAAGTGGTATAATTTGATTAGTTTAATAAAGAAAAATTATTTGAATAATAATATTCTCATTATTACATCACATAAAATTCCCTCCGATAAATTTTTCAGGAACACGAACAAAATAAAACATGACATGAAAACGAAAAGAACAAGACACCATGAGATACAAAGATTTGTACTTTATTAAACAATTAATATTCATTTTTTTTTTTCTATTTGTATTCTCTATATTTTACGGCCAATTATTGGGCCGCTCTTATCTCATATGGGCCAAATTATATTAAAATTGGGCTGCTCTTATTTCATATGGACCAAAATTGGTTGCTCTCCTGGTAGTATGAACTTCTTCAAATCAAAGTCCCACATCAATTCAATTTAAAAAACCAAAGGTAATAAAATATGAAATCAAGGTACTTTATGATAATGAAGCGGTACTTGAGGCACAAGCAGTGATAAAAATGCTTAATAAAACTCAACGTTTAACTCTGCAGTAAACAAAATTCGTATAATATCCTATCAATAAAAAATTCATTGACCGAATCGAATATTAAATTGGATTCATCAATTCATGTCCAAACTAAAACTATCTTTTAGGTCAATAATCAATCTCAGTTTTTTCCAAAGTAGCACCCACGTCATCCATTCCAGGCTTGCAAGATTTGTCAACACCTACATGCATGGGAAAACCATACCACAAATGACCAAGCAAACATCATCATTAACCAAACACTACACAAATGCATATATTACCATTACATTCCCATCCTTCAACTTCAGAAAGTGTACCTTTTGCCAAGATTATGACTGCTTGCCTTTGATTTTCTGTCACAATTTCAGAAAGCTGGTTTGATGCCACAACCTGGCTTTGTATTTTCTCTATTCCTCTTAATGAAATTTGAAGACTTTAAAATGTCAATGGTACTCTTTTTATGCCTTACTCTCTCATCATAAATTATTATATGACCCTTTACTGTTATCATTTATAGTATGGATCCATCTTTATCATGTAGTCAATTTTTTATTTATTTATGGAAAACTTAAATATCTCAGACAAAAGTTTACTGAAATCATGAATACATTTATGATATAATAATCTCTCTTAAGTATTGGACTATACAGCTACAGTTCTTCATTTGCATGTGAGGTGAGACCAGACCAATGACTTTTGGCTCCTCCATGTAAGTGATGAAAGAACTAAATAATATTTAAAAGTAGATCCACTTAATTTTTAATGAATCCATCCTTATGATATTCACTTTAAAATATTATTTTTATTAATAACAAAACTCATGTAAGAAAATCTAATAGGATATGTTTTCTTGAGATCCTAATCATTCAACCCCACCCAGTTTACCTTCACCTTTTCTTCTTTCCTCACAACAGAACACGATAAAGAGAAAAGAAAGGGAGGCCAACGACTGTCTCTCACTCCATACACAATCCCTTGATTCTCTCTCTTTATGAGGTTGCTTTAAAAGGAGAACCCAGTGTAGCATCCCACCAACCACCATTTCTTCAGCTGAAAGCCTCTTATCCATCAGACATTCATGTCCAATTACAGTACAGTTTGTTAGGGAGAGAGAGAAGAAAAAGAAATAAAAAAGGATATAATTGAGATGGATGTGCACAGGAGAAGGGTTGGGGTTACATGCAGTGTGGTTGCAGGGTCAGTGTGGGAGAGCAGAATGAAGAATGATGAAGTTGGTGTTGGAGTTAAGGTCTTCATTGGAGAACAAGGTTCTGGGGAAGGAGGCAATGGTGACACAAGATTGAAGAGAAGCCAAACCGGGGCTGTAGTTTCCACTGGAAAGAGAAAAACTTGGAAATCGAAAAGGTCTGAGGGGTTAGAAAATAAACAAATTCAAATTGCCAGAGGAAAAGTAGAACAATGTAAGGACCTTAATATATCTTCCGATTCAATAAAAAAGAGCCCAATTCAGAGCCCAATTCAGGTTAGGAAGGTGAAGAATGAAGGAATTGGTGCTTCTGTTAGTTCTGATAAATTAGAACGAAGCCCAATTCACACCAGGAGGAAAAGATCTGAGGAAGGTGAATCTAGTGAAAAGAATATTGAGCAGCTCAGAAAGAAGATATCAGATTCAATTAAGAATGTTGGTAATGAAAATGGAGATAATGCAATACAGCTTAACAAAGACAAATCAGAGTTTGATCATGTTTTGGATGAATCAAGGAATGATGGATTGGCTGGGGGATCTGGAAGAACTGTAATTGACAATGGGAAGAATGACGGTGATGAAAATTGCAAGGATTTTGGTGCGTGTCAAGAGAAGGTCATTTCTAGCAGTTCAGATGATGCTAGCATGGTCAAGTGTTCACCAGTGCATGTTGATGGTGATTCTGATGATGATGATGATGAAGAAGAAGATGAGGAGGAGGTAGAGATGAATGATGAGGAGATTGATATTGAGATGGAGAAAGAGAGCTTTGATGTTAAGGAAATCAATGTATCAGAATCCAAGGTTGTGAATGAGCCAGAAGAGAAGTTTGAGAATGTACCAGAAAAACAGAAGATTCTGAGCGAACCAGAACCTAAAACGGTTTTGAGCACCGACAGACAATTTCATCAGAAAACCGAAAGGATACTGTCGGTCCCTCTAACAGTCAAGCCATCTCCTCCTCCCATTAGAAAGCTCTCCACAATGCATCAAAATTTCTCCAAGGCTGATTCAAGTAAGGTCATTTCATTGAACTTTCTCCCTTCAGTATGATTTTTGGGATTTGTGCTTTTTCCAAGTCTTAATGATCTTTACCATTCAGTTCAAAAGGCAGAACAGTACTGTAGCTTTCCACAATCACAGAACAAACTGCAGAGTCTAGGTGATTTATCTACATTTCAGAATTATGCAAGAGTCAAAATTGTCCACAAATACCAACCATTCTTTAATATTTTTATATTTGTCACTCTTCAGTGGATTTAATCATGTGGAGAGATATCTCAAGATCAGCATTTATCTTTGGGATTGGAACATTCACTGTAGTTTCATCTTCTTATGCAATGGACATCAATCTGAGGTTAGGAATCTTCACCAGAGTTCAATTCATTTTTAACATCCACTTTTGCTACTTAAATGAGAACCCATAATTGACACTTTTTGATCCTTGCTTGTGCAGTCTAATTTCTGTAATGTCCTATCTTGGTCTTGTCTATCTAGCTGTTATCTTCCTCCACAGATCACTAATATGCAGGTAATAATAATTGATAATCCAAGCATAGTGTTGAAAAATAAATGACAGAAGTTTATTACTGCGTACTAAACTCTCTGTGATTCTTCCTTTACTAATCAGGGGGGTCATAGATGTAGAGAGCACAAACTATGTACTTGGAGAAGAAGAAGCAATTTGGGTGCTAAAGTTGATCCTTCCTTACTTGAATGAATTTCTGTCACAACTCAGAACCATGTTTTCTGGAGATCCAGGTACCACAATAAAGGTATTTTTCTTTCGTCACAGATAATAAGATTTTTTCCCTTCTTTCGTCTCCCTTCTTAACATTATAACCTGAGAATAAATCTGTTAACGTTTTGTAAACTGTAGTTGGCAATATCGTTATTTGTTCTTGCTAGATGTGGCAGCTCCATAACCATTTGGAAGATGGCCAAATTCGGTGAGTTGCTAATGCCTAAGTTTTTTCCATTCCTACACAAAATGTGCGCAAACAATTTGCATGCCAATGCAAAGCTTCTTACTCTTTCGCACCACTTGATGTGCAAATGAAACTTCCCTCAATTTTTTCTTATTTTGTTTTTTTGTTTGTTATTACTAATCTTGTTCTCACACTGCCTCAGGCTTCTTTGGATTGTTTACTGTGCCAAAAATCTGCTCCTCCTATTCTGCACAGTTAACTGCATTTGGTAAAATTCTAAATTAAATGTAACTTTTATCTTGCCTTTTCATCATTTTTATACTTAGGATAATTGAAGTAAGTGGCTACCACAAGTAGGGGTAAGGGTAATATTTGATGCTCTATTGTCAAATGCTAACGTTGCAGAATTTGTGTGGGCCCACACCAGTTTGATCATGCATGTATGTATTTATGGTCATGGAAACGGTTCTTTCGTACCCTTGATCTGTATCACTGATTCACTATAATGGATTTAGTGGGTCCTGAAAAGAAAAAAGCTTAGTATTTGTACAGGGTTCAATTACATGAATACCTTCTTCAGTGAAATGATTGAACTCTAAACCTTCTTTAGGGTTTTGTCTTTTTGTATATTTAACAGATTGAAAATCTTAATGCATCACATGCATGAGCATCTTTGCTTTTATTCCTCACACTTTTGGGCCCACTCCTTACAAGTATTATTAGACTTATCATCTGAAGGTTGAGACTTGGGAGCACAATTATGAGATAATAATGCTCATCACATCACACATACATTCCCAAAGTCCACACCTAGTACTTTACTTTCAATTTGTTTAAGCATTTTAGTACAAAATTTTATTTTAAGAATTTAATTTATTGGGTTGTTAGTATAAATTTCAGTAATCATAAATTTCACCTTAAAATTTTCCGCTTAAGGATTTTTTAGAAGAATTCAGCTTCCAAGTTGAATATAATCCTTAATTTAATCTAATAGTATGAATGTTCTTATCTTAACGTGATGAATGATGGCTTTTATTTTCTTCTCTGAAGCAAACTTTTGGATTCGTCGATGCCATGATGCTTGGGATTCTTGTTCTCACAAAAAGGTTGTCGCTTTTGGCATTTTTTGCCTTGTTTGGAATTTGTCATCACTTGTTGCTCGCATTTGGTCAGGTAAGATCGCGTTTGAGTCGCTAATTAAATTTTGCACCAAACTTTCCGTGTAACATTTTGGTACTGAGCATAGTCACATTTGCAGTGATAACTATAAACTAATTAATGAATTGTATAATTGCAGTGTTTGTGCTATTTGTGGCCTTTAGATATTATCAACAACATTATTTGGTAGGAGATGAATGGGTGGAAGATGAAGCAGGATGTGGTGGTGAAACTTGGCAAGAACCTGTTGTTCGGGTTAACGTTGGAATGCAGAGACAACGGGCACCCAATATGTTTGAAACACAAAAAGTAAAGAAAGGATTGTAAAGGGTGTCAAACATTTGTTTTTAGTTCTACAAAGTATTTACTCCGATGTAAACAAATTGCTGTCATTATAAAGTTCATTTTAGTGTTTCTTTTCTAAATAAATCAGCATGGCTAATTTAGATGATTACTTAACCTTTTATGTTTTTTTTTTAATTTTTAATTTGTCTATAGGTTTACTAAATTAACATTAAATAAAGTTAGACCAAAATTTATAATTTATTTTAAAATATAAATTAAATTAAATTATTATTATTGTTTTATTTAGATTATCCATCATCAATATTTTTAAAATTAAGCGGTGAATATACAGTGACGAGGATTTAAAGGTTCACTAAGATTTAAATAAGATCCTATTGGAGTTAGAAAAAAATTATTATGATGATCATCTTAAATTTTAATAAAATATAAATATAAAATATATTATAGAAAATATAAGATAAGATAAATAATTGTTGAAATAAGATAAAAATTACAGTATAATAATTATTATTTAAAGTTGATATAAGATAAAAAAAATATTATATCTTTTATAAAATTATATTAAAAAAAATTGATCTTAATTTTTTTTACAAAATTAATTCTACTAAAAAATTCAATTAATTTTTTCAAATTTATCTCAATTTAATTAAAATTTGATTATTTAAAAATAATAGAGTAAATTTTAGGCTGATTTCTAATTAAATCAATTGGATCCACTAATCCATCCGATTTTAAAATAGTTGAAACCATATTATCTGTAATTAAGAACTCGTTAAACATCTTAATATTCATTTACAATATTTTGTATTTTATCTAATAAATTTTATTTGTTATAATTAAAAAAATAATATTTTTATTATTATATATGTTAGAACTATAGAGGTATGATTAAAAATATCAAAACTATATATTAATCTAGGATTATATTTATATTTTTATTATATTGATTTCTCTTTTTGCTATAAATTAATTATTCGAATCAATACTATAAATAATATATTTAAAAAAATTATTTAAATAAAATTTTTCTACATTTATTTACGAAAACTTATTTACTGTTCATATAATAAATTTCTAACACTAAGCCCTTGTTTGGTTGGAGTGATTTGAGAGAGTGGAAATGAGAGAGTGGAAAAGGAGGGATTTGAAGAGAAATGGAGATGATTAAAAAGTGAAGGGAAAGTTTATGGGAAATTGTGAATGATTTGATTGATATGAGATATAAAAATTATAATTTTATGTTGATTATTTAAGAAAATTACCATTTTACCCTTTGCATGGGTGTTGTGCATTGAAGGAACCTCCTAGATATGTAGGCTAATCCAAATAAATAATAAAAATATTAAAAGAAACATATTAAAAACATTTGTTTTTTAAATATAATGTTATATATTTATAATTACTAAATATATATAAATATTTTTTTTTAAACTGTGTTTATAATATAATTATTTTATACTTATAATATATTTATACTAATTAAAACATGATAACAAATGTCTTTTGTAATTTTTTTTAACTATAATATTGAAATTTATTTATGAATATGAGAAAAAATGAAGTAAAAATATGACAATAAATATAAAAGTTATAACAAATATTTTGTTAAATAAATATTTAATAAATTTATACTAATAAAATTTATAAATATCGATTATAAATTAAGATTCAGTCTCGGGTTGCATTTCGCTCGAGCGACTATATCTCGCTCGAGCGAAAAACGATCCTGATCGATCATAATTTGAAATGATCGATCATAATTTGAGGATATAATAGCGGTTCCTCTGCAACCGCTATCTAAAGTGTATATTAGATAGCGGTTCCAGTGGAACCGCTATCATATACAACCATATTTTAATTTCTTCAGTCTCGGGTTGTGTTTCGCTCGAGCGACCATATCTCGCTCGAGCGAAAAACGATCCTGATCGATCATAATTTGAAATGATCGATCATAATTGGAGCATATAATAGCGGTTCCTCTGTAACCGCTATCTAAAGTGTATATTAGATAGCGGTTCCAGTGGAACCGCTATCATATACAACCATATTCATAGGGATCTTGCATCAAACATTGGATGCATTCGTCCCCCATGTTTGCAGAATGAGGCAAGAAGGAGCCCAGAAGCAAAGGCAGAGCCAAAGCTTCTCAAAGAAAGACAAAACAGAGTGAGCAAATCCTAGGAGCATACAAATACACTCGTCAGAGGGTGTGGAATGGATACTATCAACGAAACGGTGACATTATTTTTCCCTCACAATTAGAGGGTTTTCCCACACAAAATTTGTTTTAGAAACTCCATGCTTACCATTATTGCTTCACTAAACGCTCTGTTATCATTATGCATCAAATAAGGAATTAAATGGGGGAAAATAACAATTTTTGGAACCTTCACAGTAAATCAGTGACAACTCATCCTGGAACAATGGCATTGACGTGCATGGTTGAGTGAGAAGCACCCCATTGCATCTTCGGTATGTGAAAAAGTAGAAGCAACCTAGGGGTAGTAGAGGTGGCAGTGAAGGTGCGAAAGTAACGAAGTGTGTGTGAGAGAGATGAATGTGAATGTAAGAGAAACATAGAAAAGGAGGGAGAAGCGATGATACCTTATGGCTGGAAACTGTTGCAGACAGAGAAGTCTCGGGTTATGTTTCGCTCGAGCGACTATATCTCGCTCGAGCGAAAAAAGATCCTGATCGATTAGATTTAAGAAATGATCGATCATAATTGGAGGATATAATAGCGGTTCCTCTGTAACCGCTATCTAAAGTGATATATAATAGCGGTTAAGATTTAACCGCTATTAGAAGTGATATATAATAGCGGTTAAGTTTTAACCGCTATTACAAGTGCTATTATAATAGCGGTTAAGATTTAACCGCTATTACAAGTGCTATTATAATAGCGGTTAAGATTTAACCGCTATCATATGGAAGAGGGTAAGTTGGACTTTTCATTATCTCCAACAGACTTTCGTCTCTTTTCTTCGCAGATTAGCGAAGAAAGTCTCTCTCCCCTCTCCCCCTTTTCCTCGCCTGCATTTCTTCGCATATCTGTTCAATCAAACGTGGGTGAATCTCGTGTTTCTGTCTTCGTGAATAGTATTTTCTCACAAATCAGTTGAAACAAACACAGCGTAACCCAGTGTGATATGATGTTGACAGATATTGTCACCAGAGAAAATGGGTCTAACAGGAAAAATATTACATGTCTTTTGTGCTAAACAATTTTTAGTAATATTTTTTTAGATATGTTATCTTATGTTTATTTTTAAATATAATTAGTTTTAAGATATAAACACATCTCTAGAGGGAGATTCAAATTTTAATTAATGATACTTTGAAAAACTAAACTTTTCTTACCTGGATCTAATTTCTATTAAACTTTATTTTGAAATATTTAAATTGCAATTCAATTTTAATTTATGATACTTTGAAAAACTAAACTTAATTAAAGTTTAATTTAAAATATTTAAAATTTAGTTTATTTAAAATTTTGGTCTTCTAATTCTGAAAGTTGGTGCTATTGCTATGAGCCTACTACCTGTTACAGCAATCTTGTTTGCAGTTTCTTTGCCTCACCTTGACACATGATTTTACAATTCTATACAAAATTAACCTAAAACTTCAACTTGTTGAAATCCCCGTTCATCCCTTTCATCTAAATCCACACACAGAGGTACTTTCAAACTTCAATTCCTAGGGATTCATTCCTTCGTTCATTCATACTCTTTGTTTTGTCATTTATTCCATTACTTCATGCTATTTTTTGAGTGAATGAGAGACTAACTTTCTAGATAGGGACAGACTTTGTGGTTGGTTTTCTATATAATACTCCCTTTTGTTTGGGACACTCTTTATGCTTGGCTTTCTATATCTTATCCCTTGTTTTATTTTCCATTTTGTTGTGGTTGTGATTCCTTTGTTTCTGGATTATGATTTTGTTGGATGGGTACAATGCAGATGAGTGTTGTTACCGATTCTCCCGTGCATTCGTCCAGCAGCGATGATTTCATTGCATTTCTTGATGCTAAACTTGATGCAAGCTCGCCCGAAGCCTCGCCAGATAAAGAGGCTGAAAACCAAGATAAGCTTGAAAGTGTCAGGTATTCTTTATAACCTTTTTGTTGCATATTATTGTATGTGCTCTGATGAGTTAAGCAACTGTTTTCAACTTTGGTTTCTCAAATTTCTAATATATTGTAGCTTGTTAGATGTGAGTGTGAGATATTTGTATATCAGATTGTGATCTGTCAGGGGACTAAACATTCTTTAGATAGAGTTCTGTAGTGCTTAAATATGTTTTTCGGGAAAATTAGTTTTTTGATAGTGTCAAATGTGATACAATTGATTCATAGAGCTGACTGCTGACTGTAACGAGTATAGATGCAGAGATGAGTACAAAGAGAAATGGTGGCCCAAGACAGTAAAACACATGGCAAATGAGGAGGAAGTAAGGTGTATTACTTGGCTGAAAATAACCTATTCCAAGTTGATTGATTTGACGTTCTCTGAATTTTCCTTTTTACAAATTCTGTTTTTAGGAAGTTGAATATTCCTTGTTTTCAACAAACTTTGGTGGATATCCAAGGAATTTTTCTGTAATTACTTGTTCTATCTCTCTCATTTTTACATTGTTACATTTGGTATTTTCATCCATTAAACATGATAGAAAATACACATCTTAAGGAATTGTCGGTTAACATGGCCAAAATTTTGGAGATGGTCGAAGTTGATAGACAAGAAAATAAGACTTGTTTTGAGACCTTGGAGTCTGTGGTTGATACCTTGCTGAAGCAGAACAGTGGTAATGAAGGGAATTTCAATCAAAATATAGAGGGACCTCACTCCAGTGGGGTATGTTACATCATCCACCCTTCCAGGTTCGAAATGTAAAACTTGATTTTCCTCGCTTCAACAAATCTAAAGTTTTCCAGTGAATCTTCAAGGTAAAAAAGTTTTTTGATTATGACAATACTCCGGATGTTCAACGTCTTACTATTGTAGCCATTCACATGGAAAAAGAGGTAGTTCCTTAGTTTCAAATGGCCAATAAATCTACTCCATTTTAGTCTTGGATTGACTTTACTCGTGCCTTAGAACTTGAATTTGATCCATCTCCTTATGAATGTACTAGATCATAACTATTCAAATTATCACAAGCAGGCTCTGTGCATGAGTATTATACTTAATTCATTGCCCTTGCAAATAGGGTACAAGGAGTTACTAGCAACGCTTTAATGGATTGCTTTGTTGGCGGACTGAAACCATGAATCCAATATGATGTAAATGCTCTATCTCCTACTGCATTGATACGTTGTGTTTCCTTGGCCAAGCTATTTGAGGAAAAATATCTGCCCCAAAACAAGCAACTTCACCATGCTTCTTCTTTTCGAACCCAAAACCAAAACACTATTGTAAACACAAATCCACTTCATCCCAATCCCTAAAATCTACCACCCTTCCTCCCTTACTTACAAGTCCTACTCCAAATTCCACTTTTCCAAAACATGGTAATATCAAAAGAATGTCACTAGTAGAAATGCAATTCCGGAGGAGAAAGGTTTATGCTACACTTGTGATGAAAAGTTCACCCCTCTCATCAGTGCCAAATAAACAATACTTGCCATTACAAATGGATGATGAAGATACGATTCAGCTGATAACCGAGATGGATAATGTAACAGATAATGCGACTCAAGATCATCATTTGTCATATAATGCTTTAAGAGGTTCTTTTGGCTTGGGTAGTATGAAGTTTCAAGGCACAGTTAATAGCATGGTGGTTCAAATCTTGCTTGATAATGGAAGTTCTGATAATTTTTGCAACCCAGGATTGCAAATTGTCTGAAACTACCAGTGGAATCTACTCCTCATTTTCAAGTCTTGGATCAAAAATGGTAATTCCTTAGTTGGTAAAGGATTGGTGAAGTAATTAAACATCATGGTTCAAGGTCACTCCTTAAACCTTCCTATATATCTTTTACCAATTTCGGGTGCAGACTTGGTTTAGGGCACTGCATGACTTGCTACATTGGGCCCTCACATTTCTGATTATAGCAAGCTTACCTTGAAGTTTTACAAAGGAAATAAATTTGTTACTTTACATGGTGATCAGCAGTAGCTGCCTGGACTTGCTCAATTTAATCAACTCAGACGAATGCATAATACTCATGTTATTGCTGAGGTGTTTACTTTGCAATACAATTAAGATGATGCACCTGAGAATACTTCGCTGGACTTATCTGAGGATATGGAACCAGAATTAGTTACATTATTGCATAATTATTGAACTATCGTAACTACAATAATCAAAGAAGACTTTTGGGAGAGTATGCGCGTCAGTTGGGACCTAGACAATTCTCCAGCATAGTCAAGCCAATAAAAGGAGTTGAAATGAAGCCTGTTCTGCTTTCACTCATAACCTTCAATCAATTTGCAGCGATGGAGCACGAAGATCCATATAATCACTTATCCACCTTTTATGAGCTATGTGGTACCATTAGATTGCCTAGAGAGGATGAATAAGCAGTCTACTTAGATTATTTCCCTTTTCTTTGACTAGAAAGGCAAGAACATGGTTGTAGTCTCACCAAAATTAGACCCTTACTAGGTGGGAGGAAGTATAGAGGAAATTCTTGACCAGATTCTTCCCCCTTTCTAGATACATTAGTGCAAAGTCAGCCGTTACAACCTTTTCTCAAACTGTTGATGAGCCCCTGTGTGAAGCATGGGAGAGATACAAATCTTTGTTGAGGAAATGCCCAAACCATAGTTTTGATGATGTAACTCAACATGTTTTGTAATGGATTGAGGCTACAAACTAAAATGTTACTAGATGCCTTTACATGCAAGGTTATCAGAATCGAGAGTCTACGTTGACCCGTGAGAGCTTCGTAGACTCGACTCGTAAACCCGACTCGTAGACTCGTAAGAGTCTACTTCATATGAAAAATTCTATATAATAATATAAATTCAGAATTTCATCATCAAAATTAATGAAAATAAAAAACAATAGTTCAATAATTCTAAAATAACTTGGTTTAACACACATGATTGTTATATAAAGTTCAAATTACACCAAATACATAAGTTAATACAAATCACCAAAACATAAATAACTTCAACTTTCTAGCTCCAATCCTTTAATTATATCATCTCCAACATCGTCATCTTTTTCATCTTCATCATCATCTTCTCCATCACCATCAACCTCTTCCTCGGATGATAAGAGTGCATCATCAACATTGGCATCAAACACTATATTATCAAGATCAATTGGTTCTAAAGTAGGATCAATTGAACTTATTTCAGCTATGTCAACATTTTCCTCATCACCTTCACCTTGAACTGGCTCAATCCCAACATTATCACCATCTTCTCGTTATCCATTCATCATCGGACTCAATATCATCAAATGGAAGAACAATCTGTTTTCCTATTTTGTTTATTTTTGAGCTTCAAGTTGTACATGACATAAACCAAGTCATTCATCTTTTTCTGGTGCAAACGGTTTCTTCTTTTTGTGTGAACCTATAAATAAATATGAATGTTTAAATACAAAAAATTAAAAACAAATAATAACTTAACAAATTTGACTTACCATTTCAAATGAGCTCCAATTACGCTCACACCCGGAAGAACTACAAGTTAAGTTCAAAACTTGAATAGCAAATCGCTTCAACTCGGAGTTCCATCTCCAAACATTTCCCACCATTCTCCAGGAAGCATAACTTTCCTACAATCTTTTGCATTTTCCATTGAGAAAAGTCCTTTTGCAAAATGAAACTCTAGAAGTTGTAAATTAATTTTTTTCCTTTCTCGCAACATCCTTGACCAATCTTTTCATGCATTCATACAACCTTTCTTTTACCTCCACATCATCATTTCTAAAATTAGGTTCATAGTGCATGTGAGGGTTAAGGTAATATGCAACCGCATGCAAAGGTCTATGAAGTTGATTATTCCACCTCTCATCAATTATGTTCCAAACAGGTTCATAACTACAATGATGCAATCATGCAATGTTAGAAATAATTACACAAAATAAAGAATGAAAATCTAAAAAGAGAAAGTTTATAAATTTTACCTTTTCTTAATATTATTAAAGTTAAATTTGATCTTCTCTTTGGCGGAATCCATTTCTTCATAAATGAAACCCATTGCGGGTTTTATATCTGAATCCACTAATCGAAGGACCACCATCAAAGGGGCAGCAACTTTGAGACAAGTGATTACATTCTTCCAGAACCGACTATCTAATACCACATGCTCAATTTTTCTCCCTTCCATTGAAGTTCTAAATTTGCTTGATTTCCACTCATTAGAGCTAAAGAAGCTCATCAATGATGCTTTCAATTCATGAAGACATGCAAGAGTTAGATAAGATGTGGCAAATCTAGTCATACCTGGCCTTATCAAGTCTCTACCTTTGGTAAACTTCTTTAACATGCTAATTAGCATTGCTCTACCATGAATGTAGGTAGTGATTCTTCTTCCCTTCTTGATAGTAGTTTGATGGACCTTCAAATGTTTTTCAAAATCTTCAAAAATCAAATCAATGCAATGGGCAGCACATGGGGTCCAATACAAATGCTCTTGTTTTTGCATCAATAACTCTCCAGCTGCCTTGAAATTTGCAGCATTATCGGTAACCACTTGAACCACATTCTCCTCTCCAACAAATTCCACTACATCATCCAACATCTTAAACACTTTATCTGCAGTTTTTGAGATATTTGAAGTATCCAATGAGTAAAGAAACACAGTCCCTTTAGGACTATTGACTAGAAAGTTACAAATAGAACGTCTTTTTTTGTCAGTCCACCCATCAGACATGATTGTGCAACCTCGTTCTTTTCCTCTCCTCCTTATATTCTTCAAGGATTACATCAGTTTTTTGTACTGCTTGTTTCAAAAGTTTTTCTCTAATATCATGATATGATGGGGGTTTGTAACCAACTCCATATCTTCCAATCATCTCACACATTTTTGCAAAAGCAGGATTTCTAATAACATTGAATGGAATGACACTTGTGTAAAAAAATTCCGCCACTTGAGCATCAACTTTTTCTTTATCCCCTTTCTTATACAGTTGATTTAAAGTAGATTGAACACCTTGACTGAATTTGTCCTTTCCTTTATTTTTGAACATCATACTACTACTACTTTGAGTGGTATCCACCTCTTGAATGTGCTCATCATCATACTCATCAATTACATTCCGTCTCCTTTTCTTTTCTGAAATATCTTTAGCCTCTGCCACAACTTTCATCATTACAACTTTCACTTCTTCTGGAACTGAGGCACATGATTCAGAATCATATCTAGTACCAGCAAGATGATGTTTGAATTTGAAAACTCCTCTATTGATTATTTTTGAGCAATAATTACATTTAACATTTTTTCCATTACCCGAAACATCTGTTCCGTGTTTCCATCCAATGTTGGTCCGGTTTCTTAAAGCATTTTTACTTCTAGGTCTAGGAGGTCTAGTTAGTGAAGATACATTAACATTGGATTCACAAGAATTTGAAGCAGTCCCACTTCCAGACATTGCAAATCAGTCTCAATTAACTAAAAATAAAATAATTTATTTTTTTAGAACAACTATAAAAAAAGCTAAAATAAAAGATAAAATATGCAACAAAAAATAAATTCAATAAATAAAACAGAGAATAAATTATATAAATACTACCTATTCAATAAATAAATAAAAAATATAAAAAAATTTACCAGCTAGATTTTTGCTAATGAATAAAAAAAAAAGTTTCAGTTCAAAAAAATGCATAGCATTTTAGAGAAATGCAACACACATCCTCACACTCACTTACGCAGTACCTGCGACGCGAGGCGAGGCGACCGGAGCTGCTACGGGAGGCGACCGGAGCTGCTATGCGAGACGACCGGAGCTGCGACACGAGGCGATTGGAGGTGCGACGCCACTGAGCTAGGGAGGGGGGGGCGAAACACAACGCGACGCGATGACGCGGAGCTGTGAGGGCTGAGCTACAGGGCGACGACGCGATGCGACGCGACCAGAACTCAACGCGCGACACCAGAGCTGCGGGGGCGAGGGAGGTCAGATCTAGGTTTTCATCTTCGATTTTCTCTTCTTCTTCGATTAGGGTTTTTGATTTGGGTTTCAATCTTTAATTTCGTTTAGGTTTTCGATTTGGGTGGTTAGGGCTTTTGTTTGGGTTTAAAATCGAAATGGTAACGACATTTTTGTTTGTCGTTTCGTCCTCCCTACGAACTCGGTGACTCGCTCTCAAACTCGCGAGTCTATTCCGAGTCAGCGAGTTTATTCTGAGTTCACTCCGAGTCAAACAAAAAATGAGTTTATATGCGAGTTAACCCGTAAACAATAACTTGACTCGCTGACTCGTACGGGTGTACGAGTCAACCCGCGAGTTCGATAACCATGTCTACAGGGGGATCTATGATGATGAAGGATTCATAAGAAGCTATAACAATAATTGATGCATTAATAGCTAGTGACTACCAAGCACATCATGCTAGAAGCCAACAAACACCAACCAAGAGAGAAACTTTGGAGTTAGACACTCAAAATGCAATCTTAGCCCAAAAAAAACTTCTTTCTCAGCAAATGGAGGATTTAAAGAAACAAATGTCAAAAATGCAAATGGGATCATCCTCACAATTTTGATCTCAACACGTAATAAGATGTGATTTTTGTGCAGAATATCATCCAAATGATCATTGTACCATTGCTAACCCACAACAGGAGGAAGAAGTTAGCTACATGAATAATGCAAGAAGGCAGGACAATTACCCTCATAACTTTAATCAGAATCCAGGTTGGAGAAGCAATCTAAATCAATATTTTGTCTGGAATCAAGATGCAGGGACGTCTTAGAGGCAACCTCCTCAAAGACCTGATAGTCGTTCCGCAAGCGTACGGAGTATCGCGTAATAAAAAGTTATCATTCCCACAGAGATTATACCCAAGTATCGGTACACAGTGATTCAATTATCTAAACAAATCGTTTCAAATAGAATATATTGCAAAATGAATAAAAAACCAAAAACTATTGACAAGAGACTCAAGGTGAAAACTTTCTTAGGAGTCGGTAGGTTTATATGTTACGTATTCAATTTAAAGCAATTCGTTTCCCATTATTTAACTTCTATTTCTAAGGTGAATTTTCCTTAATTGATTAATGTATTCCTCTCGAAACCCCACTAACGTATCTAATTACTGAAGAACAACGTTCAATTCGTTAAGTAGATCCTTTATGCTTTATGAAAATTCAATTACCCCTCAAAGAGTTTCGTCTACTTTCGTAACCCAAATCCCTAGGTTCAATTCCATGCTTTTCTAATGATATATCGATCTCTCAATCATCCACATCATTTAATTTCATCTAACCTTATCTCTAAGCCATTAGAAGCTTTAGGTTCTCATGGAAATGAATAGAAAATAGAAATTCAATAACAGAGAAATTCAAAGTATTCAAAATTGATACATAAACATATTCCCCCTAATCCCAAGAATGAGATTTAGTTTGCCATAGAAATGATGATTACAATCCACAATACAATAAATCAAACCCTAACATAAGAGAAAAGTAGAAATGAGACAGGGAGTTAGAGAATAGAAGAGAAGTTCTCACTATCTCCTCTGTAGCTTCTTCAATTTCCCTGTTGATAGAAGAAATCGTTCTCCCTCTTTTGCTCTGGTTTTCTTCAATTTTCTTTTTGGGAAAAACGTCTCTCGTCTCCGTGTCCCTCTTTTTGTTCCGTAACTTATTTTTTATATCTTTTATGCTCAAAAACCGCTCCTCTAATTCAGGGAAAATGTAAAACGTGCAGAATCTACTAGCAGTGGGAAAAACCCACGACCAGTGGATCGTGACAGGGGCCCAATACTCATTTTCCAGTGAAGTCCACGGCCAGTGAGAAAAACCCACGACCAGTGGATCGTGACAGGGGCCCAATACTCATTTTCCAGTGAAGTCCACGACCAGTGGGAAAAACCCACGACCAGTGGATCGTGACAGGGGCCCAATGCTCATTTTCCAGTGAAGTCCACGACCAGTGAGAAAAACCCATGGCCAGTGGATTTGTTTTACGCCACAGTGCCATTTTCCAGTGAAGTCCACTGCCAGTGGGAAAAACCCACTGCCAGTGGATTTCACTTAACTTCACCCAAAATGCTCTTTAACAATATTTTAAGGCTTTGAAGTGTTCTTTTCTCTTTTCTTTTACAATGCAATCCAAGGTTTTATTTTTGTGTTTTTAGTGGCTTGAATTCCTTTCCATCCAATGCTTCATCAAATGCTTCTCGTTTCCAAGTTTATAAACCTATAACAGAGCTATTCCTGCAAAACTGAGACACCCGAATAATATGTGTGGAATGAAGGAAAACAATTGGAATTAAGGGGAATTCTAACACAAATAAACTAGAAAACTCAAATAAAGTGCCATTAAAAATTATGCAAACTAGACACCTATCAAGACCTTACCAAGTTCAACAAAATTATCAGCCAGGTAGGTTAACCAAGATCGATGAAGCCCTTACACAATTTATGCAAGTTTCTACATCAACCGAGAATAACACTGAAACTTTAATAAAAAACTTGGAGATACAGGTGGGACAACTAACTAAGCATTTGGCTGAGCAGTAGGACAATAAATTTTCAGCTAATACCCAAGTAAATCATAAGGAGCATTGTAAGTTTATCACAACTAGGAGAGGCACTGCTATTGGGAGAGGAATTGGTGAGAATTTGGAGAGGAAAACTGATCTAGTTGAAGAAAAAGATGTTGTAACAAAAAATGAGAGGGATAATGAAGTAGAGAGGAATATTGCAGAACAAGAAAATGAGGAACAAGGAGATGAAATAAGAGAGAGTAAGGATGATGGTGAGGAGAATGAGAACATTAAGGAGAGAAATAAAGATGAAAATATCCCTCCATTGAAGAATTTGCCTTATCCACATGCTTCATCAAGGAAAGATAAGGAAAGACAGTTTACTAGATTCCTTGATATTCTCAAGAGGCTATAGATAAACATCGCCTTTACAGAAGCCATGGAACAAATGTCAACTTATACCAAATTCATGAAAGAGTTGTTGACAAGGAAGAGAAAGTTTCATGAACAAGAGACAATTACACTAGAAGCTGGATGCAGTGTCATTATCCAAAAATCTCTACCTCAGAAATCTAGAGATCTAGGAAGTTTCACTTTGTCGGTGACAATTGGAAATCTTACAGTTGGTAAGACATTATTAGATCTTGGAGCCAACATCAATTTGATGCTCTTATCATTGTTGAAAAAGATAGGAGAGGTAGAAATGAGACCTACAAGAATGACATTGCAACTTGCTGATAGATCGGTGAAATATCCACATGGGATAGTTGAGGATCTCTTGGTTAAGATTGATGAATTTCTTTTTCTTGTCGACTTTGTGGTGATGGATATAAAGGAAGATGTTGAAGTTCCATTTATTCTTGGGAGACTCTTCATGAAAATTGTTAAGGTAATCATTGATGTTGACAAAGGAAAATTGAAGGTGCGAGTGCAGGATGATGAAGTTAATTTTGATTGTTTTGAAGCAATGAGGCTAGTGAAACAATAGACATTGCCTAGCCAATTACTTAATTTAGCTGAATAATAGTTTATTAAACATGATGAGAATTTCTCTATTTATAGGGGCTGAGACTTCCTGATGAGGAAATTTATGGTTGCGCGATACAGACATGAAAGAGTTTGTTATGTCGTAAAAAGCTATACTTGGTTCTTGACCTAGATCACACTCTGCTAAAATCTACTCACCTTGCTCATTTGAGTTCAGAAGAGTCACATTTGCTTAATCAGACAGATTCTCTTGGAGGTATGCGTAAATCAATGTGTTTTTCCTTCTGGTAACTGGTATTGGTATTGGTATACTGAATCAGTAGTTTTGCTTTATAGTGTTTTTTGTTTTAATCTCATCATTGATATTAATTAATCTATTTCTTTTTGCAATTGCAACAACCATGCTTCATCTTACAAATGTCATATATAGAATCAAGCTATGTTGTCCTTGTTATGAATGGGGAATAGAAATGTAGAAATATAATTGTATTTTTCTACTTTTCTTTTTGCAATTGCAACAACCATGCTTCATCCAACATATTTCATATATAGAATCAAGTTATGCATCCTTGTTAAGAATGGAGAATAAGATTGGGAAAGAAGAAAAGTCTTATGGGATTGGATGGATAGTGTGGAAAATAGAAGATCTCTCCACCTAGAGTTTTTCCTTCACAAAGAATTGATGCTTTCACAATGATTAAGTTAAATTCACCAATGATGCAAGATAGAGAAAATCTTTTAACCTTTCATCCTCCTATTTGTTTAACTCACTACCAACAAGAGTAACTAATTAATATTCTTAATGTATTAACTTACTTTCAAATCCTAAATTTCTTAAAACATGACATTTCTTATATAGGTGAGAGTTCTTTGAATAGATTCAACTTAAGTCTAGCTTTTTTGTAAAATTAAGGTTTTTACTCACTTATAGGTCGTTGTGTGTGTATTTTCTGATAAATTTAGCTTGATTTCAACCTTTGATGTTCTTGGTTCTTATTGCTTCTTATTATGGACGTTGCCTTTCTGAACATGTATCTCTGAAATCATAGATGTCTCTAATGGTAACCTCTTCAAATTGGAGCACATGCATATGATGACCAAGTAAAGGCCCTTTGTCCGCCCATTTCTGAAAGAAGCTACTGAAGCATTTGAGATGTGCATATATACCTTGGTGATCGGCCATATGCATTGGAGATGGCTAAGCTAGTTGATCCTCAAGCAGAATACTTCAACGCCAAGGATATTTCTCGAGATGATGGGACCCAGAAACATCAGAAGGGTCTGGATGTTGTGTTAGGGCAAGAAAGTGCAGTCGTTATTCTTGATGATACAGAACACGTGAGTATATTACTGGTTTTTTACTAGCATTACTGAGTTACTTAATTGGAATGTATGTTTGATAATAGTTATTATGTGGAAGATAGTCCTAGAATATTTTCCTTTAGTATATATGAATAACTAATGATTTGACATGTATTACTCAATTTTTTATTTTTTAATACTGAGGAAATAGGGTTTGAGATTAATCTCCTTTGTGTATAGACCACACATAGGGTAATATATTTATAATAGAGAGAGGTATAACTAAAAGTACACAGAATAAACAGAAGATATTATGGTTAACAATATCTTGACAATATCTAACATTCCCCTTCAAGTTGGAGCATATAAATCGTATGTGTCAAGCTTGTTACAAATATAATCAATTTTAGGTCCCCGTAAAGACTTAGTAAATATATCTGTTAACTGATCATTTGAATTAACTAATAAAATAAATTTGTTTTCATTTACTTAGATGGGTTGAATATAGAAAAAATAAGGTTTGAGATTAATCTCCATTGTGTATAAACCACACATAGAGTAATCTATTTATAATAGAGAGAGTTACAACTACAAAGAGTAACTAAAAAATAATTAGAGTAAATAGAAGATATTGTTTGATATTGTGATTAACAATATCTAACAATATTTTAACAATATCAAATAATATCTAACATTTCCCCTCAAGCTGGAGCATATAATCGTATGTGTCAGGCTTGTTATAAATATAATTAATTCTAGGCATCCGTAAAGACTTAGTAAAAATATCTGCTAATTGATCACTTGAGTTAACAAACTCAGTCTTAATGTTTTCAGACATAATCTTTTCCCGAATGAAATGACAGTCAACCTCAATATGTTTGATCTTATCATGAAAGATAGGAATAAAGCTAATATGAAGAGCAATCTGATTGTCACACACAAGTGTCATTTGAGTGACATCTCCAAATTGTAACTCTTTAAGCAATTGCTTGAGCCAAATAAGTTCACAGGTAATTGAGGTTATAGTTCTATATTTTGCTTCTACACTGGATCTTGCCACAACACTTTGTTTCTTACTTTTCCACGAGATCAAGTTATCACCAATGAAGACACAATACCCAGATGTGGATCTTTTATCAAAAGGAAATTCTGTCCAATCAGCATTTGAGTAGCAAATAACTCTTGTATGGATATTTAAACCATAAACAATCCTTTTCCAGGAGATCCTTTAATATACTTCAAGATACGAATGACTGCATTTCAATGATCTTCACATGGAGAATTAAGAAATCGGCTTACCATACTGACTGCAAAGGAAATGTCAGGACGAGTAACTGTAAGATATTCAATTTTCCAACTAATGTTTTATACCGTTCAGGATCAGATATAAGTTTTCCCTGATTTGGTAGAAGTTTAGTATTGGGATCCATGGGTGTATCAACAGACTTTGAACTCATTTCCTCCAAAATATCCATGACATACTTTCTCTGAAATATAACAATACCATAATTGGACTATGTCACCTCAATACCCAAGAAATATTTGAGTTTGTCAAGATCTTTTGTTTGAAAAATGTGACAGAGATGTTGTTTCAACTGAGAGATATCATGATTGTCACTACCTGTAAAAATGATGTCATCAACATATACTATCAAGTAAACACATCCAAAACTCGAGTGTCGATAAAACATAGAATGGTCTGCTTCACATCGAGTCATATCAAATTGTTGAACATTGTTAAACTTTCCAAACCAGGCCCTAGGAGACTGTTTTAGGCCATATAGGGACTTGTGAAGATGACATACCATCCTAGAAGACTTCCTTTGAGCAACAAACCTAGGAGGTTGTTCCATATAGATTTCTTCTTACAAATCACCATTGAGAAAAACATTTTCAACATCCAGTTGATAAAAATGTCATTGTTGAAGAGTAGCCATTGCGATAAATAAACGAACAGAAGTCATCTTTGCCACGGGGAAAAAGATATCTCCATAATCCAATCCAAAAATTTGAGTATAACCTTTGGCTACAAGACGAGCTTTGAGGCGATCAATAGTACCATCAGGTCTAACTTTGATACCAAACACCTACCTGCAACCAACAACAGATTTTTCAGATGGTAACGGGACCAATTCCCAAGTTTCACTATTATGAAAAACACTTAATTCATCTGTCATGGTTTGACACCAATCAGGATGGGCTAGAGCTTCGCGGACAATTTTTAGAATGGTCACAGAAGAAATAGAGGAAAGACATGTATAAAAAGGTAATGAACGGGGTCACAGAAGAAATAGAAGAAATAGAGGACAGTCGATGATAATTCAAAGTAATATAATGGGGAGAGGAATTACGTATAGAACGGATACCTTTTCGGAGGGCAATGGGAAGGTCAGACTCAGGTGTCAAAATCAGAGGAGACAGAGTAGTTCGCACTTGAGTGAAGTCACATGGTGGTGGTTGTGATCAGTTTTGGTAACTATAAACCTAAAGGGACGACGGAGAAGAAGCTGACTGCGGAGAAGGAACTAATGATGAAGAAGATACAGTTAGATGATCACAAACAACAGGAACATTAAATGTACTAGGAGTATTGACAGAATTGAATGGAGACAGAGGTGAAAATTGACTTTTAAAATAAAGGGAAAACTCATCAAAGGTGACATATGCAGACACAAAATAACGGTTAAGAGAATGAGAAAAACATTTGTATCCTTTTTGTGATCTTATAAATCCTAAGAAAATACACTTATGTGATATAGGAGAAACCTTGTCAAGACTATGACAGAAATTATGAACAAAATATGTAGAGCCGAAAACTCTTAGAGGTAAGGGATGAAGAGGTTCATGATGGAATAAAATGGAATGAGGTATTTTATTATCATGTGATTAACAAGATAACATGCAGTAAGAATAACAACACCTCAAAAATGTTGAGAAACATTTCCATGAATTAAAAAAGTGCGAGTTGTTTCAATAAGATGTCTATTTTTACGTTCAGCTACACCATTTTGTTGAGGTGTATAAGCACAAGAAGTTTGATGCAGAATACCGTGAGAAGCCATGAATTGTTTAAAAAAATGAGAAAAATATTCATGGTCATTATCACTGCGCAAAACTCTAATAGAAACATCGAACTGAGTTTGAATTTCATTAAAAAAAGATTGAAAGATATGAAATAATTCAGAACAATTTTTTATCAAAAATAACCAAGTACATATGGAATAATCATCAACGAAAGTAACAAAGTGTTGAAAATCTAAAGTAGACTTAATGCGGCTATGTCCTCAAATGTCAGATTTAACCACAGCAAAAGGGGACGAAGCACCACATGTGACACTACGAGGAAAGAAAGTACAACTATGTTTGCCTAATTGATACGACTCACACACCAAACTAGATAACTTGGACAAGGCAGGGACAAGCTGTTGTAACTTGATAAGGTTTGGATGACCTAACTAAGCATGGAGAAGAGAGGGAGACTCCATAACTGCATCAACATGTGTAGAGGGACGAAGATGATAAGGACCATGAGATTCATATCATGTGTCAATCACCTGTTTCAAACTTCGGTCGTATAAACACACAAAATTGTTGGTAAAAGAAACAACACAATCAAAAGAACGAGTTATACGACTGATGGACAATAGGTTAAAAGGAGACCCAGGGACATAAAGAACATTATCAATGGTTAAATAAGGGAAAAGTTTAACAGTTTCGACACCATGAGATAATACTCGAGCCATCATCCAGTGTAACAAAAGGTAAAAGATTAGGAGAGGATAAAGAGGAGAACAAATATGTGTTACCAGTAATATGATCAGTGACTCCTGAATCAAAAAGAAGATTGGGTCAAACCAGTAAAAGATGTACCTGTGTGTGCGATAGACGTAGTGGAACTAGAAGACTATTGATCCTTATACCATTTGAGAAATTTGTTGAACATAGCAAGTGTGTCGGATGAAACAGAAGAAGGAGGATCCCCAACAGACAAATGTGGGGAAAGATCGGTCTAAACAACTGTGGCAGATCGAGGGGAACGACCATGTAATGCATAACACTTGTCAATCTTGTGACCTAGCTTACCACAATATTCACACTCATGTAATGCATAACACTGATCAATCTTGTGACCTAGCTTGCCATAATGTTCACACTTAGGACGCCCTTTTCCCTGTTTGCGAGGGCGAGTCCGGTCATCACGGTGAGATGCCAATGCAGAAGAATCACTAACAGAAGCAGGTGTATCAGGGTTGGGTTTTGCTGGTACACGCAAAAGAGTAGAGCAGGTCGAAGTCAAGGTGGGGACAATCGGGGAACCCAAAATCTGATCACAGATATGTGAATGTTGATCAGCAAGTCCGTGTAATGCCCCTAGCATGAAAAACTTTGATCGTTGTGTTATCTCGGTGGCAGGATCAGGGGAAAGAGGTAATTACTCATTGAATTCATGAAAAAGAGCATGAATTTTGCCCATATAATCAGTTGTGGAGTCTTGATGTTTAGAGGCAATAAGATCTAGAAATTTAGAACAGATACCATAGAGACATTGGGTATCATTGGTGTATAATAATTTGTCATGTTCCCATATTGTAGTATCATTGGTGTATAATAACTTGGCATGTTCCCAGATTTTAGCACACGTTTCGTAGGAACGAAAAATCTGCTTTAACGAAGGATCCAATGTACCCTTGAGAACCACACATAATTGAGCATCAATGGTGTCCCAACGGTCTTCCTCTGCAGAAGTGAGAGTAGGTGCTTTCGGAGCAAGATGATCAAGATATCTTTGACTCTTAAGCCATAATCTGACATCCGATGACCATGTGGCATAATTAGGACCAGTTAACTTGTCAATGGATAAGTGCACATTAACATAGTTAGTGAAGATGGAAAGATTAGACACAGTACTAATAGAAATGGAAGTAGTAGAAGGAGCGGAAGAAGTCATGAAGGGAGGTAGAACAAACCCTAAAAAAAAAAAATCCAAAGTAGTTCAATCAACCCACGAAGCATAAATCAAAATGAGAAGACCAAAACACGTTCGTCGAGACTAAACGGCACTGAAGACAATGGACGACCAACTCTGATAATAGTAATCTCAACTATATGGTGGTCGCCTGATCGAGACAAGCAAAATCGTATGTCGCTGGTAAAAAATGAAACTCCGACGATGACTCCGGTGAAGACTTCGATGATGGCTCCGGCGAAGAATCCGATGATGGCTCTAGTAGCGGCAACAACTCTGGCAGTGGCGGCGGCTCCGGTAACAGCGGCGGTGGTGACCGTAGATAAAGGCGAAAAATATTTTAAAATAACCTTATACTCTAAATATCATGTTGAATATAGAGAAAATAGAGTTTAAGATTAATCTCTCTTGTGTATAAACGATATATAAGATAATCTATTTATAATAGAAAGAAGTACCATTCAAAAGAGTAACTAAAAAATAATTAGAATAAATAGAATATATTATTTGATATTCTGATTAACAATATCTTAACCATATCAAACAATATTCAAATAATATTTAACAATATCTAACAAGATGTTTTAGTATTGAATGTTCGAAACAAACTATTTTAACACAACCTTAGTCAAGCTAATTTCCGATGGTGGTGTCTATGAAACTATATATTTATTTTAGAAAATAAAATAAATATGTTTTCATTTACTGTTAGAAGTATTATATGTTTGAGATCAGGCTGTTTTAAAAATAACGTACGCGGCTGATTTTAGTTGGTATCTATGGAAGTATATATTTATTTTAGGGAAAAAAATCCGTTTTCATTTACTTAGATGTTTTAGTGAGATCAGACCATTTTAATTTATTTATATGTCATTGAAATTATGAATTAAAATTGTCTCTTTTTAATGGGATGAATGAAAATGTTGCAGGCATGGATGAAGCATAAAGATAATCTTATACTGATGTAAAGATACTATTTTTTTTTTTTGCTTCGAGTTGTCGGCGGTTTGGTTTCAATTGCAAATCCCTTGCTGAACCGAGGAATGATGAAGATGAAACTGACTAGTGGCGATTCTTTTTGGGAGTTGAGGGGATCGTGGCTCCCAAAGTTTTATAACTCCAATGTAATTTATGATTTTGGTTCCTCAAACTTAATAAATATTTAATATATTTATTTGTATATTTACAATTATATCCTCTCAAACT